CGGGTCAACAAAGTACAATAGAAAGATTTTCTGGTGCTGGTTTTTGTCTCTGCTTTTCTCACAATTTCAGATTTCACTGAAACAAAAAACAAACGAAAAAGAAGTCAAACAATATGAAGCTCTCGGTACGTCGAGGAAATCATCATTTCTTGTGCAGAGTGCAGCAACCACTAACCATGTCAATCAATTATCGTTTCAGACTATCTCCACCGGCCTTTTCGCATCCCTACTAGCCTTGTTGCAAACTCCTACCGCATTTGGTCAAATCATAGACTACTCTCTCGCGGCACCCACTTGTGCCATCACTGCTGACGACAATGTGCAGTGCGACTTTGCCAGTATCCTCCCTCTGACTGGAAACCTTGCTTTCTCCATCACCGGCTATGGCGACTGTACAGGAACCGCCACTCGTGACCTTGAGATGAGTCTTTCAGCTGCCACGGCAACTGCCGTTGCTGGAGCCAGCACAGTTTCCGTGGACCTCAACACCGGCTTCACCATAGCCGATGGGGCGTCCGAAGCCTTTGAGTTTTGCCTGTTGACCAGCTTGAAGGATGGAAGCGGTAATGAAATGTTCTACCAAGGTCAAAAGATCAGCGCTACATTCACGGCTGATGGCGGATTCACCGTTGCCGGTATTACCTCCGAACAGTTTGATGGAATCAGCGGTACTATTGCCACCGACACAAAGACCTTTGGCGTCACTGCTACCAGATGTGACGGTCACGACACCCGCGTCCCCATCAGCACTCCTGCATTGGCCCTTGGAACCACCTTGTTCATCTGTCTTGACACGGATGACGACAGTGTTGTAATTCAGTCTGTTGACACTTTCTTGGGCAGCAAGACCAATGTGGCCTCGACCAACTTGCTTTCTGGTAACACGGAGGTGCTTGGAGCTAACTCTGCTGCAGCGACTGTTGGAACCCGTCCATTCAGCACTTTCTTTGCCGATACTGACACCATTGACATTGCTGGAACTGTCACTCTGGTCGTTACTAGCAACAATTTGAGACGTCGTCATTTGGCCCGTATCTTGCAAACCGGGGCGGACGAGTTTGATGTGCGTGTTGAAGTGGAGCCCATTGAGGAATCTTCTGCTCCTTCATCATTCAGCGTTGCCAGTTTTGCTTTCTTGGGTGCGGTCGCTGCCGTTGCCGCCATTTAAACCAAATTCGAGGTAGCTTTACCGTCACTGTTGAGAGAATAATATATGGTACAATGGAAAAGAAATAAAAAGAACGACAGATTCAAGATAGAGATAATATTATATTTTATAAAAGAATACAGTACCAAGAAACGAAACAAAATGTAATGATCAGAATTATTACTTGTCGATTGAAGGAGCATGTAGTTTCGGGCACAATAGTAACAGCCAACTTGCCTATAGTTCTATTGTGCGTTGGATATAGTCTTGATATTACTGGGAACAGAAGTAGACCTCGAACCTTCGTCACTATATGGTACCAAGACGATTTGTGAAGCTGCGAGTTTTCACATACCCGCGGGACAATACATGCATAGGTTGCTTCCCTGCTTTTACACTACAGGTATGCTACTACTGTTGCCGTGAGAAATAGGTTCGATGGAGACAAGGTCGCATGGATACTGTAATAACACAAGAGCCAATACAATAACGTAATATCACTACACTTTTATCCTGGTGGATATATAGCTCGGCCGGCTATCATGTCGATCCATAGGAACCATTGGTTCGGAGGGAATCTTCGTTCGAAGCACCATCCATGAGACCGTAGGTTTCGTACAATAGAATGTAGTCTTCGTTATTCCAGCCGAGAAGAAGTACGACATCATCGTCGTTGATAACAACATTGAAGGTGCCATCTCTAAGCGCGTTGAGACATGTTGTAGATGTAGTACGAAGTGGGAGCCTTCTTCTTTTGTCTTCTTCGATATTTCCGACGTTGTTTCAGAGCTCCTCTCCAGCAGGTACTCGTACCGCAATTGCAATCGATGTAGATCTCATGGTGCTACACATGATACGAGAAGCTTCCACGTTTTTTCGATGTATGACGGAAGAAAGAACGTCATTAACTTTGTTGTTACGACCAGAGAACATATAGGTGTACCATCACCTGTCATCTGTGGAGTTGATTTATGCCTGTGAAAAACCAAATCACGTCTCCCGACTTATTGTTGTTCGTCATCATTTATTGGGACTCAAATTTTGTTCCTTCACGGGAAAAATGTTTGTTCTGTGCTTTTTCTCCGATGTTGGTATGGTCATAAAGATGTCATTTTCGAAATTTGTAGTGCAATGTCTCGGCATATATACCGTAGTGCTCAACCAACACAGATCTCTACATCATGACTTCGATAGAAACTATCGGAAATATTAGTAGCTCTAAACAGTCCTTAATATGCCTGCGGATATAAAAGGCTTAGATGTTGTATTGGTGGAACTCATCGGTGTCAATTTGGGTTCGGGTCAACAAAGTACAATAGAAAGATTTTCTGGTGCTGGTTTTTGTCTCTGCTTTTCTCACAATTTCAGATTTCACTGAAACAAAAAACAAACGAAAAAGAAGTCAAACAATATGAAGCTCTCGGTACGTCGAGGAAATCATCATTTCTTGTGCAGAGTGCAGCAACCACTAACCATGTCAATCAATTATCGTTTCAGACTATCTCCACCGGCCTTTTCGCATCCCTACTAGCCTTGTTGCAAACTCCTACCGCATTTGGTCAAATCATAGACTACTCTCTCGCGGCACCCACTTGTGCCATCACTGCTGACGACAATGTGCAGTGCGACTTTGCCAGTATCCTCCCTCTGACTGGAAACCTTGCTTTCTCCATCACCGGCTATGGCGACTGTACAGGAACCGCCACTCGTGACCTTGAGATGAGTCTTTCAGCTGCCACGGCAACTGCCGTTGCTGGAGCCAGCACAGTTTCCGTGGACCTCAACACCGGCTTCACCATAGCCGATGGGGCGTCCGAAGCCTTTGAGTTTTGCCTGTTGACCAGCTTGAAGGATGGAAGCGGTAATGAAATGTTCTACCAAGGTCAAAAGATCAGCGCTACATTCACGGCTGATGGCGGATTCACCGTTGCCGGTATTACCTCCGAACAGTTTGATGGAATCAGCGGTACTATTGCCACCGACACAAAGACCTTTGGCGTCACTGCTACCAGATGTGACGGTCACGACACCCGCGTCCCCATCAGCACTCCTGCATTGGCCCTTGGAACCACCTTGTTCATCTGTCTTGACACGGATGACGACAGTGTTGTAATTCAGTCTGTTGACACTTTCTTGGGCAGCAAGACCAATGTGGCCTCGACCAACTTGCTTTCTGGTAACACGGAGGTGCTTGGAGCTAACTCTGCTGCAGCGACTGTTGGAACCCGTCCATTCAGCACTTTCTTTGCCGATACTGACACCATTGACATTGCTGGAACTGTCACTCTGGTCGTTACTAGCAACAATTTGAGACGTCGTCATTTGGCCCGTATCTTGCAAACCGGGGCGGACGAGTTTGATGTGCGTGTTGAAGTGGAGCCCATTGAGGAATCTTCTGCTCCTTCATCATTCAGCGTTGCCAGTTTTGCTTTCTTGGGTGCGGTCGCTGCCGTTGCCGCCATTTAAACCAAATTCGAGGTAGCTTTACCGTCACTGTTGAGAGAATAATATATGGTACAATGGAAAAGAAATAAAAAGAACGACAGATTCAAGATAGAGATAATATTATATTTTATAAAAGAATACAGTACCAAGAAACGAAACAAAATGTAATGATCAGAATTATTACTTGTCGATTGAAGGAGCATGTAGTTTCGGGCACAATAGTAACAGCCAACTTGCCTATAGTTCTATTGTGCGTTGGATATAGTCTTGATATTACTGGGAACAGAAGTAGACCTCGAACCTTCGTCACTATATGGTACCAAGACGATTTGTGAAGCTGCGAGTTTTCACATACCCGCGGGACAATACATGCATAGGTTGCTTCCCTGCTTTTACACTACAGGTATGCTACTACTGTTGCCGTGAGAAATAGGTTCGATGGAGACAAGGTCGCATGGATACTGTAATAACACAAGAGCCAATACAATAACGTAATATCACTACACTTTTATCCTGGTGGATATATAGCTCGGCCGGCTATCATGTCGATCCATAGGAACCATTGGTTCGGAGGGAATCTTCGTTCGAAGCACCATCCATGAGACCGTAGGTTTCGTACAATAGAATGTAGTCTTCGTTATTCCAGCCGAGAAGAAGTACGACATCATCGTCGTTGATAACAACATTGAAGGTGCCATCTCTAAGCGCGTTGAGACATGTTGTAGATGTAGTACGAAGTGGGAGCCTTCTTCTTTTGTCTTCTTCGATATTTCCGACGTTGTTTCAGAGCTCCTCTCCAGCAGGTACTCGTACCGCAATTGCAATCGATGTAGATCTCATGGTGCTATACACATGATACGAGAAGCTTCCACGTTTTTTCGATGTATGACGGAAGAAAGAACGTCATTAACTTTGTTGTTACGACCAGAGAACATATAGGTGTACCATCACCTGTCATCTGTGGAGTTGATTTATGCCTGTGAAAAACCAAATCACGTCTCCCGACTTATTGTTGTTCGTCATCATTTATTGGGACTCAAATTTTGTTCCTTCACCGGAAAAATGTTTGTTCTGTGCTTTTTCTCCGATGTTGGTATGGTCATAAAGATGTCATTTTCGAAATTTGTAGTGTCTCGGCATATATACCGTAGTGCTCAACCAACACAGATCTCTACATCATGACTTCGATAGAAACTATCGGAAATATTAGTAGCTCTAAACAGTCCTTAATATGCCTGCGGATATAAAAGGCTTAGATGTTGTATTGGTGGAACTCATCGGTGTCAATTTGGGTTCGGGTCAACAAAGTACAATAGAAAGATTTTCTGGTGCTGGTTTTTGTCTCTGCTTTTCTCACAATTTCAGATTTCACTGAAACAAAAAACAAACGAAAAAGAAGTCAAACAATATGAAGCTCTCGGTACGTCGAGGAAATCATCATTTCTTGTGCAGAGTGCAGCAACCACTAACCATGTCAATCAATTATCGTTTCAGACTATCTCCACCGGCCTTTTCGCATCCCTACTAGCCTTGTTGCAAACTCCTACCGCATTTGGTCAAATCATAGACTACTCTCTCGCGGCACCCACTTGTGCCATCACTGCTGACGACAATGTGCAGTGCGACTTTGCCAGTATCCTCCCTCTGACTGGAAACCTTGCTTTCTCCATCACCGGCTATGGCGACTGTACAGGAACCGCCACTCGTGACCTTGAGATGAGTCTTTCAGCTGCCACGGCAACTGCCGTTGCTGGAGCCAGCACAGTTTCCGTGGACCTCAACACCGGCTTCACCATAGCCGATGGGGCGTCCGAAGCCTTTGAGTTTTGCCTGTTGACCAGCTTGAAGGATGGAAGCGGTAATGAAATGTTCTACCAAGGTCAAAAGATCAGCGCTACATTCACGGCTGATGGCGGATTCACCGTTGCCGGTATTACCTCCGAACAGTTTGATGGAATCAGCGGTACTATTGCCACCGACACAAAGACCTTTGGCGTCACTGCTACCAGATGTGACGGTCACGACACCCGCGTCCCCATCAGCACTCCTGCATTGGCCCTTGGAACCACCTTGTTCATCTGTCTTGACACGGATGACGACAGTGTTGTAATTCAGTCTGTTGACACTTTCTTGGGCAGCAAGACCAATGTGGCCTCGACCAACTTGCTTTCTGGTAACACGGAGGTGCTTGGAGCTAACTCTGCTGCAGCGACTGTTGGAACCCGTCCATTCAGCACTTTCTTTGCCGATACTGACACCATTGACATTGCTGGAACTGTCACTCTGGTCGTTACTAGCAACAATTTGAGACGTCGTCATTTGGCCCGTATCTTGCAAACCGGGGCGGACGAGTTTGATGTGCGTGTTGAAGTGGAGCCCATTGAGGAATCTTCTGCTCCTTCATCATTCAGCGTTGCCAGTTTTGCTTTCTTGGGTGCGGTCGCTGCCGTTGCCGCCATTTAAACCAAATTCGAGGTAGCTTTACCGTCACTGTTGAGAGAATAATATATGGTACAATGGAAAAGAAATAAAAAGAACGACAGATTCAAGATAGAGATAATATTATATTTTATAAAAGAATACAGTACCAAGAAACGAAACAAAATGTAATGATCAGAATTATTACTTGTCGATTGAAGGAGCATGTAGTTTCGGGCACAATAGTAACAGCCAACTTGCCCATATCTCTACATGTGTTTATTTGAATTGATTATGATTCGAACAGAAATAGACCTCGAACCTTCGTCACTATATATATGGTACCAAAACGATTCGTGAATGCTGCGAGTAGTACATGAATAGGTTCGCGTGCACCGAAGGTGGTACCTTTATACTACTACTGTTGGCATGAGAAATAAGTTCGATGGAGACAAGGTCGTACAGATACTGTAATAACACAAGAGCCAATACAGTAATGTAATAACACTCCACTTTTTATCCTGGTGGATAGCTCGGCCGGCTATCATGTCGATCCATAGGAACCATTGGTTCGGAGGGAATCTTCGTTCGGAGCCCCATCCATGAGACCGGAGGCTTCGTACAATGGAATGTAGTCTTCGTTATTTCCGCCGTCAAGAAATAGGCCATCATCGTCATCCTCGTGATTCCGACGTGAATTGGCCAACTCCTTGGGTAGCGCCAGAGCTGCTGCCACAGCACACAAGTACAAGCCACCGGCAAAAACAAACATGCTTCCGGGACCCAATGGACCATCCTTGGTAATGCTACTAACATATCGCAGTGAGACTGGACCAACCCCAGACGCCAAAGCTTGGAGAGAATACAAGGCTCCTTGAATGCGTCCTTGTTCGGATTCGTCCTAATAGGAACAGAAGGCACTGATCAGTGAAAATTCATAAAAACTACAACAACAACAGGCCAATCGCAAAAGCCAGGATACCAAACGTACCACATTGTTACTCTTAATTGCCGAAATGGTTGGAAATGCCATTCCCGTAAAGGCGGAGAGAGCCACCGCGGCAAAAATGGTTCCCTTATTGGTCGCAATTCCATACATGGTATTGTCCACAGCCCCGATGAAAAAGCATAAGGCCACAACCAATTTCTCTCCGATACACTCATTCAATGGCTTTAGAACAATGGCTTGGGCCATCATGCCCATGATACCAATAATCAAAAACATGGTAGCCACATCCTTGTTCGTGAAATCCAACTGTTCTTCGAGGTAATAGACCAAGAGCAATTGATCACCCGAGGAGACCATGCCAGAGAAAAAGGCAAGCAGAGAAATCAAACGGAAAAAAGTATTCCGATTGAGAATGGAAAGTTCTCGAATCGGCCGAATGATGAGCCACTTGATGTTATTTTGGAGTCGGGTTTGAAAGGATGCTCCTGTGTCGTTTTGGTTGTGATATAGTTCACTGCGTCGCCTCCTCGCTTCGGCCGCCACGTGGGGTGGCAAGGTTTCCGGCACGACAAAAATGGTACAGACAAATCCCGCAAAGGATACTAGAAAACTAACCAGCGCCAAGTGCACATTGCTCAAAAAGGTGGAAAAGATGGGCGCCAAGGAAAATCCCAACATGAATCCCGCCAAGAACAAGCCCAATCCCGGAGCTCGGAACCGTTGGGGCAAGACATCATTCAAGGAGGACAAGGCGACGGCCACCCAATTGACAAAGCCTGTCGTAATGTGGACTCCATAATAGCACCAAGGATTCAGCGTGGGGACCAATTGAATCACGAAGAGACTCAAGGGTGATAACATGGAGATGAAGAGTCCAACAACCAAAATCGCTGTAACGATAGTAGTCACGATGATGATTAGATACATGCATATTCAATATATGCCACCACAACAATAAAAGAAAAGACAATAATGGTCTTGCGTACCTTTTCGACCATGTTCGTCACTCAACGATCCCATCAAGGAGGATGTCAAAAACGTCAAGACATTCATGGCCAGACTGGCTTCTGCCGCGGCATTTTGGGCATCCGCACTCCCCGCAAAGCAAGCCGCCGGTTTTTCGCTCACACTCAATGCCGCACACGCCTCCAAACCAGTGTATCCATGATTCAATCGGGCAAACCGATCCGACATGACGGCGGGAACCACGCCAATGGTCGATCCCAATCCAATGGCCACCAACATCATAATCATGGTAATCTGAGGAGGCCCTTTGGTCTTGGCAAATTGAACAATAAAGGATTCTCGGCGCATCGAGCGGGAGGGTGGCGGAAGGTTGGGATCCATTTGTTGGGAACTAGGAAAGAGAAAGCTGCTTCTGCCTGAGGGGGGTGTGCTGACGTCTTCTCGTTCTTGCTGTTTCTGAGAAGTATTAGAAGTGGTGATGTCTTGATGTTGAGGAGGCATAGTGGTGATGGTGATGGTGATGGTGATGGTGATTATAATTCACAGAGCCAGAGGATGATACTTTATGGAACCGTCACGTGTCAATAATAATACTTCGGTTCCGCAAGAGTGTGGAAATAAGAAAGAATGTCACAATTGACGACGTATAGAGGATGATGATTCTTGAAACTGCAGCCTGCTTTGGTTGCTTCAACGGAGGAAGGTGACTTGATGGTGTCTGTCTGATGAGAAAGACAGAAAGACAGAAAGATAAATAGATACGCTTGTACTGTTGGATCTTTCTAATGGCAACAAATCAAGGAATGTGATTTGCACCTTCGTAATGAGCTTCTTTCTTGTTCCTATTATTTGTTTGTTTTCTTTTTTCTGACTCGTCATCATCAATACCTGTACGTGTACGATCGACACGATTCAATTCAATGATGTGTTCCTTTGTTCGGTCAATGGACAGACACTGCTGAAATTTCAAATCGTGAAAATGAGAAATTCAAATATAAATAAGCGTGATGAATGCGAGCACATACATATTACCGTACGTGATAACTTTCTTCTATTTCGGAACACGACCATTATTGCATAATAAATCATCATCAGTCAGGACAATTCGGTTTCTTCCCCCAACGACGACTTTCCAGCAGCAACAGCCACAAACACGAAACCAATCTATCTCTTCCTCACCCCATCAGAGTTAAAGATCAAACCTTGCCACAATAATGACTAATACTACCAGACGACAAAAGAACAACAAGAACAAGAACAACAAGAATAACACGAACAATAACAATAACAATAACGCATCAACAATAACTCGAAAGCGAATATCCGAACACATTTTGATGGATGAGAATACGTCCACGTCCTATGAATTTCAGCTCTACAACTTTTTCGTTGGAATACTGTTTCTGGCGTTTGGTCTGAATCTGATAAGGTCAGTCATGCTATGATGTCTTGTTGGTGGATATAGTAGGCTATATGGCATCCTCGTCCGCTGTGTATATGTATTCACTTATTTACTTACATCATCCACAATGTTGTTTCCTTTGTCAATATTATTTATTCTCAGTGGATCTATGATGCTGCTCAATATATGCATTGCCTTTGTACATTTGGACTTGGGATTTACCAGTTACGATGCGATGCAATTGTGGAATCGGATCCAAATTATTTTGGGATTGGCCGGCTTGGTATTTTTGTATGTGGGACTCTTGTACAGTGCGGGGGAATCGATAGTCCAAGAAGGATTCACGGGGCCGGGGTTGCTTCTGTTGATTGGGGTAGTGGGGGCGGAGACTCAGCTATGGGATGTTTGTCGACAAGCAGCTGCGACGTCGACTCGTCCTCGGCTGGAAAAAGGACAAGATGCTAGTACGATCACCAACACGAAGTGAACAAAGTACTTGTATCGATGACTGTGACGAACAGACCGGATTTTGCAGTTGCAACAGTGTTGCAAGATAGATTGTATAAATAGGATTCATAATAATATATGAAGGCTGCAGGTTTTCCCAGGATCATGCCACGGAAGCCAAGCTCGCTATGTAATCCTGGACATCCGAGTTTACTTTTTTCAGTGGACGATTGCACCTTGTATTGCTGTCAATAGCAAACGGGCTGTCCTTACTTATTTCGGAAGCCTTTGCTGCCAATTCTTCAGATCAAAACCATCATGCTCGTCACTTGCAATCGATTGCTTTCCGTGTTCGTCGTCGTTGAACCTTTCATTGAAATCTGTCTTGGGTATACGCGTGGCTGTGTATACTAGGCATCATTTGTCATACGCTTTGGCTTTTGGATTGACTAATATGCGTATTTGTTTGCATTAATAGCCAACCACATGGCTGCTCACGGCGATACAAAAGAGAGTAAAAAAGACTTGGGCATGCCCATATGTCTTGAATCAAAGTATATCTATCGGCACGGATATCACAGCATGCTGGACAAAACGGTGGACTTTCTCCATTCACCCATTGTAATCTACTAGACGAAACTGCTATAGAATGATGCATTTTTAAAATAGATAATAAAGATTCTGGACTTTGTATAGTATGTAGGTTTCAAAATTTGGTATAGCAGACTCTTAAACCCTTGTCCAGCTTTTTGATCGTTATGCCTCAATTCAGGAACCACACGATAATATAAACCGTGGTGACATCAAGGAGAGGGCTCAATCGAATACATATGCCACAGTATTTTCATCAGGCAGATAGGCCCCTTCTCATGAGATCAAAGATCTAGCGGGGCCGTCTTTCCTGTTCCCGGTGATGTGGCTGTGGTGATCGTCGGGCTGGTCTCGGTGATCTTCGAGAGGAACCTTTCAGCCTATCGAATAGGTGGTTCTGTCTCCCCCGTTTGTCGACCTGCAGGCCATTGCTGTCGTTCTCGGAAACCTTATTAGTAGTATTCTTCGATTCAGCCTTGCCTTCTTCTCTTCCACAAACTAGAGTGTGTGCTTGGTTCAATCCTCGTTCATGTGCCAAGTCTGAAGATTCGGCAGCGTGCTTGCCGTATATCCTGGCGATTTGTTCTTCCATTTTCACGTGTTCCATAGGTGCAGCAGCTGTTGAAAAGTCTTGTCCACTCCATAACCTACTTTGTTCATCCAGGACCGATTGCATGGCCCGGAACATGCGCACATGTCGTTTTCGTTTCTCTTCCGACGACTCGAGACCATCCAGGTACAGTCTACTTGTACCATCGACCATCTTACTTGATAGCATAGAATTCATCTTCAGAAAGTTGAAACTTTTTTTGCAACCATGCGCTTGCTTCAGAATCTCTTCGTGGGACACCCAAAGCTGTGACTTGAGATCGTCTGATATGGCAGAACGAGATGGGACTCGTCTCACCCTGACCTTGTCCTTGAAATGCACGGTCTTAGTGGGGGTATTCATGTTGATGATGATTCTACAAGTTGGAAGTTCGTTGGCTTCTCTGCTGATGTTTGAATTTAGTGAATTTTGAACAGATGTCAAAGGAGATAGACCTATGCTATTCATTCGAATATCAGGTTTTTGTGCAACTAAGTTCGGTGAAACAGAATTCGACTCACAAAACGGTATTTTCTTAATTGCGGTACAATTATCAAGATCATCTTCATCGTGACTGGACTTAATGATAACAATGACATGTGAACATGTATATTTATGTCATCCGTGATCCAGCACTTAGGGAAAGTGCCTAAATGATTCAAAATGTTGGCATTTAGAATGAGCATGCTCCCATAATGTAAGATGCCCAGAAGCCAATCGATTACAAACATTTAATTTGTTGCTGGAAGCCCATGTCAACTATGAAACGTTCCGATCTTATCATTAGTCAGTCTTGCATCATTGACGTTTATCAGTGGATATGTTATGCTAGTAATAAATAATTCAAAGCCACATACAAGCACAAGACACTCGGTCTTGCTTCCCACTAGGGCTTATGCAGCTGCCATGTTTTTTTCAATAGATGTAAGTATACAAGCATAAAAGCACGAATTAGACTTCCATTTTTGGATGACGATGCTTCTGACAAGAAGCCGTCCTTTTTTTGGTAGAGTCAGTGGATGAGGATGAAACTGCACGGGACTTCTTTTGTTGTTGAGGTTTCCTTCTTCGTCCTTGGCCATCCGTACTTTGGCTTCTTATTCTCTGCTTCTCGCCTCTGCTGCTTGTTCTTGGAGCGTGCCACCTCATTCTTTGGTAGTTCAGCAATCTTGAATCCAAAAAGTGTGTAGAGACAAAGTCTTTGTACTCTCTTTCGTCGATCCTAGTATCGTACAAATCAACACCAAAGTGGGTTTTGAGGAAGTTGGCAATATTTCTCTCTCCCGGGCCGATAATTCGTTCTGGAATGGCATTGTCCACGGATAATGCCTTTTGTAAGCTGGGTACATGTTCATTTTCTCCGCTTCGACTTTTGCGAGCGGTACTGTTGCTGCTGCTGCAGCGATGATCAATGGCGTGGTCTTCGCTAATGCTTCTTGGTATCACCACGTCTTCATCGTTTTCGTCCTCGAAACTGAGGCCAGAAAGGTCCTCAGAGGAAGTGGATTCGACGTCGTCGTCCATGTAGAACCTTTTGGAATCGGATCCCAGTTCTAGCAAGGGATTGATAAGGCGTTTTATTTGTCTTGCCATGGCATCAGATGCTCCAAGCATGGTGTCATCATGATTGTTCTGGTGATGCTGTGTTGGGAAGCGATTATTTAAAAGAAGTATCTGCCCAAGCTCTGTCAAAGACATTTCACAGCCAAGGAGGAATTGGTCTTCGTTTTGTATTGTCTTTTTTCCGTCCTCGGGTGCTTCTTCTTTGGGCGCTAGTTCTTCTTCTGTGGTAGGTTCTTCATATGGATTGTCTTCAACAATAGCAATCGACCTATCCACATCTTCGTTCGTTGCATATTCTTTGCCAATATGCGAAAGGACCGCCAAGAAATAGTCTTGGTTGTCATAGCGGACAATTTCGGATGAACTTTCTTTCCTTGAGCGAGCTTTCTTGGTGGCTTCCATGTTCTCAGCAGGAATATCATCGCCATCATTTCCTGCATCCTTGTCATCATCCTCGCCACTCCTTGAGGGAGGACGCAAAACAGAATCGAGGTAGGCATCAGCGTGTTCCATATCTGCGGAATTGATCTCTTCCAGTTTCACCTCGGTCTCTTTATGTGTCGAGAGTACTGCATAACCTGGTGAGTCTTCATTGTCGTTCAGAATGAATTCGCCTGTCTTCACTGTCATGTCGTCGTCGTCGTCGTCGTCGTGCGATGCTTCCTCTCGTTCTTCCTCATCTGAATCATAATGCGCTGATTCATCGTCATATGTACTCCTCTCGTCCACCTCCCAATCATCCTCCTCTTCCTCATCGTCCATCAAGTTCTGTTCATACATTATGTTTTCGCCTTGGTTGTCCCAAACTTTTGCCAGAGCATTGTCAAGTTCCTTTTGTTCGGGAGTGGTATCTTCTGTGTCACCCGCCGAAAAGCCATGTTTCAGATTGAATTTGATTTTCACCTTGATTTCTACTTCTACCCCGGCAGCAGCGGACTCTAAGTTATCAGAGGCTCTCGAGACAAAGGGCATATTGTTTAACTAGTATAGTATAGGTATACTACAGTACTAGTCCTATGGTATTTGGATGGAAGTATTTTGTGAAGGATCATCGTCTGCCTTCTGGTTGATCAGATGAGAAAGAATTGAGTGATGGTCAAACGGACTATGTATCGATTGTTTTAGGTCGCGTTCAAAATGTATTTAGCACCATATTTGCGTAGATAGGCGTTGGGAATATTTTTTGGTGCGTGCAACTTTCATCCGTTTCGCGAGCAAGCCGTCATAGCTCTTTTTGCGAATGATCATGAATCACTTTTGGCGAAACGGAGTAGTCTAGCATTTGTTACGAGATATAACACGGTAGGTACTAGTGCTGAAAAGAGCACCGAGAAGGGTACCGCAACCCCTTCTGAGTTTTCAAAATGCTACACTGGATACGGTTTTTTTCAACGTAGAATTATTATTATTCATTGTCACGTAAATCAATCGTCATTATCACATCACCACCCAAAACATACTAGCACACAAGAACACCAGCACCAGGACCACAGGAACACGACATAGCTTTCTTTTTTCACCTGAAACTTCACAACAATTAGTCTACCGTTTTGGTGGCTCCATTTGGCTTGTTTGACGATGACCCCATCCTTCGAAAGCGAATTGAGTAGCCAAAGAGAGGAGCATATGTGAATACTTGTCGCCACGTACAACCCACGGCCACAAACCAAAACAAAAGTCTTGCGGCGTGATCATTATACATCATTGAATCAATAGCGTTCTGCAGCACCAAGGGGTAGATGATTGTTGAAAGTAGAGTGTTGATTGCCCAGACGTAAATGGCTGGCATGAGTCGTCGCAATTTGGAGCTGGGAAAGGAAATAATGAAAATGGTCTTCAATCCGACCGATTTGGTCAAGATACTGTCTGCAGGGTACAAGAGTCGGAAAAAGACCATGACATAACCCAAATACAAACTGATCGCATAGACTCGATGATAATCAAAGGATGTGACCTTGCCCTTGCGGACCAACGTCATCATGAGGGGAGCCATTTGAATGGCCAACAGAGGTGCAAAGTTGAGGGTAGCATCGGGAAGTAGGCAAGAAGCCGTGGCGGCAAATTGGGAAAGCATGTACTGCTTTTTAATCACGGGTCGTTCGGTTTCAGGATCGACGGTACTGGGGTACGGCATGGAATTGGTGGTTCGTTGTTCCCGGTTTCCCCACTTGTCTGTAATAAAGGAAGCTGCTTTGACGGTACCACACAACACCAACCCTCGGGCGAGCGCATGCGCCAATATCGATGCCTCTTCATTGGGCCACCAGTCCAATAAGGTAACAATGGTAGTCACAATGTGCCGAGACGCAAACGCAATGGAATGCAATCGAAATTCAGGCCAAATCATGGGCTTGGTAAAATTCCGTTTGATCGGAAGTGGCAGGAGGAGTGACGACCAAGACAGCATGGCGTGTAAAAAGACACCCGCAGCCGCTCTTTGTGGACTTTCAAAGGCAGGGAAGGCAGTTCCATATTGAAAGAGCAAGGCAAACCTGTACAAATAATGCAACAAGACAGAGACTCCCAAAATCTTATGAATGTGATATGGATCGTGATTGGTAATCAGTTTGGCCATTATTCTTTCGTTCTGTCTTTGTATTTATTTAAAAAAGGCTGGAGGACAGTGAACGAACTGACTGATTAATTCTGATATTCTAATGCTGATGCTGATGCTGATACTGCTGGTGCTGTTGATAGGCGGTGATCACTGCTGGTTGAATCAATAATGCAGTACACTACTGTACAGTGCAAAAGATTATGTTCAATGATTATAGGATATATATTTTATAGGCCGTAATGTACAGTATGTGTGCAAATAATAACGGACACGTGGGTTTTTGAAAACTTTGCAATGCCACGAATGCGGGATTGATTGATTCATTGATTCATTGATTCATTCACCCATTCACCCATTCGTGGTTGATTCAAGTTTGACACCTTCGACCCAATTACGTAAGCGCGGTAGTGCTAAGGTCAAAGGTCCCAGAAGCGAACAAAAGGAACTCCAGATACCGTTCAACGGCGCTAGCTAGTAAGAAAGAAGATCAATCTCTTCAATAGACAATAGAACTGGCAGAACCCACTACCGTGATGATGTGTAGTAAAGATGTAGTACTTCTAGTATATGATGTATTATATAATTGTATTGCTCGTTCTTGTTGTCTATAGTAAGCTCGACTCGTTGGATGGAAATGTTCCCATTATTGAAGGGGGAGAGGAAACAATAGAGCATGGTTACCTCCCCTTCTGATTCCATTCTTTACTGCTTTGGTTCGTCAGAAGTAGTAGTGGGCGAATGAGCAGATGATGGAGCACCACCAGGCACCAAGAAGCAGTCTTCCTCCTCGACAACAGCAATTGCTTCGTCGAGAATGGAGAGTAGATGGTTCTTTTGTTCTTGCTTTGAATGAAAGTGAAGAGGACAAAGATCTTCGAGCACTAGTGGACCAGGCAAGCTCATGTTTGCTCTTGGTGGAATGGCATGATCATGATAGTGGTTCGTACTTGTAATGGTGTTGTCAGCATTGAGAATAGAAAGAAACAGTCTGGCCATTGGATCATTGTTGGAACTCATCGGATCCACTTCCAGGGCGGCATCATCATTTGGACCATCGCGAAGATTGATCTCGTTACCATCCCCGTCTCCCATCATGTATCTCCTGTTTGACGCACCGGAAGCGTCCATGATCATTTGACAGTTGTTTCCACTTATAGAAGGAGTCATCATCGTTGCAAAGAAGTAGAATTTGATGAAATGTGCACTGACAAGAGACACACAGTGACAATTCCGAAACCTGACGTTAAGCTTTATGACCATTTCAGACGATTGACCATCTTTCGTCGGGTCTCAGTGAAAAAAACTTTTGTGGGGCGAATGTGGGGCTCTAACGCCTTGGCGAAGAAGAATATTGATAAAACCACGAGCAAGTGAGGGTCCCATTGATTAAATGTTTTGATGTTCGAAATTCTGCTCGACATCCTATTTGTTCGCATGACCCAATGACGAACATGGTCAGTTGTCAGTTTCCCCCAAACGAACAGCAAAAAGACAAAGTATCAAGAAGATTCCAGAAGATTTCCAGAAGTATTTTCTGCAGGATATAAGCGCGACGCGGTCAACGGAGGTGTGATTCCTTCACAAATAGGTTAAGAGTACAACTTCTGATCGGTATCCGATCAAACAACATGGCAGTGGTACCGTAATATCAAGATGTTTTTCACTTTCTCTTGGTGCACGAAAAAATTAATCGAATTTGCTGATAGACGGGTCCAGACGGTAGATGGTAGATAGTGGGTTTGTGAATTGTGGCTTGAACAATAGAGTACGGTATGAAGCTATGTCTACAATATTAAAGTTTTTCCTATATGATCAGACTGTCTGGCTGTGCATTGCAAAGCTCCTCGTTTGATAGAGTACATTACTGCCGTGCTAGTTCAAAAGTGAAAGTAGAGGAACCAGATGGAAAATCGGATGCGCCTGTATCCATAAAGTCGGAAGTCTCGAGAACTGCAAGAGCTTGGTCGAGAATGGAAACTAGGTGTTTCTTGTGTTCCTCTTCTGAGTGAAAAGGGAGAGGACACTGTCCTTCGGGCAGTGGATATGGGCATGTCGTACTGTTTGTTGCTCTTGGAATGGCATCATTATGGCTGATGATGTCGCCATTCAGAATGGAAAGCAGGCTTGGCATTGGATTCGGGCTCATCTGGTCTGCTGAGACAGTATCATTCATTGTGTTGCCATCATCGCCGATGAAAACGGAAGCGGTCACTTGGCAGTTCCTTTCAGTTGTAGAAGGATTCATCTTTGTGGTGAAAAATATGTTTTACGAATTGTGGGAGAAAACTTTGTGCTGACAGTTCGAAACAATTGACACTTCGAAGAAACACGGTAGTAAGGATTGAAAAACCTAGATTCCTCGAAGGTGGCTCGAACGCCTTTACGATTTGAAGGATAAAAGTTTTCCTAATCAGTGTTGACGTCATAGAACGATCCAATAAGTATTTTGAAAACACACAATTAATTGGTATCAAAATTCTGATTGTGATCGCTGGCAATCGAAAATCTGCTCGGGATCCAAATGTTTCTTGCGAAGTTCCAGTACGGAACTTTGGCAGTTTCTCCCCCGGAACTTATTCCATTTCGGAATGTCGAAGTATCAAGGAATTCAAGGAGATGTTTCAAGAAGATAGACAGCAAGTGTGACCTCAGCAACAGATCTGCGATTCATTCATTCCTTCAAATTAAAAATTCTGCTAGGAAGATAGGAAGCAAGTGTGACCTCAGCAACAGGTCTGCGAGGCACTCGGTCATTCCAAGAAGATAGGCAGCAAGTGTGACCTCAGCAACAGGTCTGCGAGGCACTCATTCCTTCAAATTAAAAATTCTGCTCAGCATCCTACTTCAATATATATCACTAGGTCTTCTTTGTATAGGATCAATCTATCTGCGGTAAGATACTCCATTGTGGTCAGGGAAGTTGTCTTCAATCTTACTTTTCTTTGATCAAGCTGCTGCTGGAAGGCTCCCAAACTCCTGCTACGTTTCTACTCCGTGCTTTTGGAATCTCTCTAGGCCAAGCCTGCATCATGACGCACAGTCTTATAGACTTTATGCAATTGCCCATGTTTCAATGCACGCCCCATATACGGTAGTTCCTACAAGGCATAACCGCGAATAGTGCAGTTGTCCGTCTTATGTCCGTCATGCGAGCAAGCACTGTCCGACAGAAGCTGACAGTAGCTCCTCATTTGATGCTTTACAGTACTGCGCTGCTCTCTACAGTAGCTGAGTAGTGAAAGAACCACGAGGTGGCAATTCGGGTGCTTCTGCTTCCAAGAAATGAACAGCCTCAATAACAGCAACCGCTTCTTGGTCGAGAATGAAAAGCAGTTTTCTGTTGTTCTACCTTTGAGCGAAAGTGGACGAGAGGAGGACGCAATTTCTCCTCATACTGTATTGCATGGACCCAGGTTGGTGGCCATGCTTGCTCGTTGAGTGACATCCTTATCGGTAATGTTGCCCCAAATAATAGAAACCAACCCTCTGGGGGGCATTGTATTCAGACCCCCCAAATAGCGTATCCCCTACAACGGCGGCATCGTCATTTGGACCACTAGCTAGTATAAAAGAAGATTGGTTTTGTTCTTTTCTCTCTCAAGTTGGTATGGTGTGTTAAGCGCAGAAGTGTTCATTTGGCAGTTGTTTCCATGTGTAGAATATATCATTGCGGTTGGAGAATGTTTTATGATTGTCGGAAAACGAATCACAAACTCACTGCAGCCTCTCATGTGCGGGAATTTTGTATCCGCCTGAACCCGCAACTTTTGATCCCGGTATTCCAAGATCTGATCGGCTTCCAAATTATTTAATAGCATACTTGCTGTCAAGTGAGGAACGTCTCACGAATACCCAGAATGGAAGGAGCAGGAACATACCAAACACCACCCAGCTGAACTAAAAGGAGCCGATTTGGAAGATATCAAGGACCAATAAGTAATTTGAAAATCCAACTGATCACATCCGCAAAAAGCACGAACCCAACCGGCATCCAAATTGCTAAAGCATGTCTCTTGCCAAGTGAGGAACGTGGTCGGTTTTTTCTAAAGGAACACAGATTGAGCAATTATTTTAAGATTCAAGAAGATTCACGAAGATTGGTCATGAGCAACCGCGACAACGGTCAACGGTATGTTGTTCCTTCTCGAAATAATGTGATTCTACAAATAACTACCACAAACTTCTGCTCGTGATCCAGTCAAATAACCTAACTGACGTCTGTAGCATTAAAATATTTAATATTGGTGCAAGAAAGGAGGAGCTGCATTGTTGTTGTAATCTGGCTTCTGTCGTTGCAAGAAATGTTACTTTGTTCTTCCATGTATTCGATTAGCATTTGCAATGCATTGCTACATTGGCGAGTCTATTTATACTTTGGTTGTTACTGCATTGGCTCATTGGTAGTGAGAGACGAACCGGGCTCAGATGGATAGTATTCGGATTCTCCCGCATCCACCAAGAAATCATCCGTCTCAAGAACAGCAAGAACTTGGTCGAGTATGGTAATTAGGTTTTCCTGTTGTGCTTGTTCCCTTGAGTGAAAGTGGAGAGGACCTGATTCTTCGGGTAGTAGATAGTATGGACCCGGGAAGCCTCGACTGGCATTGTCGGCAATATTGTCATCAAGCACCGTAGGATTGGGGCTCGGCACCCTCCTCTGATCAACCAGCACTGCGATGGAATCGTCAATTGGACTTGCGTTGCCCTCCTCGATATATCTGTTAGGCGCAGAAACGTTCTCCACTTGACAGTTGTTTCCAGTTGGAGAAGAGTTCATTGTTGCCGAAAAACGAGGTTTAAAAAAATGAGTTTCAGAAATTGTGAAAATGCTGAAAATGCGTGTTGATATCCCAATGCGCGCTCAATTATGTCAGTTCATACGGCCTGTCTTATATTGGAACGGCCTGTACCCGTACACCTGTACGTGTACGGTAGGTTCCCTATTCGTTCCTTCGCATTCAGGTCGTAAAAAGTTTTCTGTTCCAAGAAGATTCACGAAGATTGGTCACGACCAACCGCGACGTGTGGTCAACGGGTATGTTCCTTCTCGAAATAATGAGATTCTACCAAGTACCAAGTACCAACTTCTTCCCGGGATATAGAGTCAAATTGAATGACTCAACGGACGTCTGTAGTATCAAGATATTTCATATGTTTGCAAGAAGAAGAAAGGATCTACATTATTGTCACTAGAATCTACTTCCTGTCGTTACAAGACTCTTTTGATATTTGATACTATGGTTTACTGCATTAGTTCAGTGGTGGTGAGGGAACCGGGCCCAGACGGATAGTATTCGGACTCTCCTGTTTCCAAGAAGTCTCCGGTCTCAAGAACAGCAAGAATTTGGTCGAGTATGGAATTTAGGTTTACCTGTTGTTCTTCCTCTGAGTGCAAATCGAGAAGACCTGATTCCTCGGGTAGTGTGTAGCATGAACCCAATAAATTCATGCTTGCGCTTCGACTGACATTGCCGGCAATGTTGTCATTAAGTGCATCAAGCAGCGTTATGAGCACTTGGTTTGGGTTTGGCATCCTCCTCTGATAGACCACTGCGATGGAATCATCATTTGGACCTTCGTTGCTGTCAGGGGCAGAAACGTTCGCCACTTGGCAGTTGTTTCCAGTTGTCGAAGAATTCATTGTTGCAAATTAGAAATTGTGAAACTGATGAAAATATGTGTTCATCCCAAGACCCGCTCATTTCTATCAGTTCACCATACGGCTTTTCTTGTTCTAGCCGATACCAGTACGTTGTAGTGACGCCTATAAAGCCCGTATTCCCTATTCGTTCCTTCGCATTCGCGTCGTAAAAAGGTTTCTGTTCCAATGGGACCAACAAGAAGTTCACGGAGATTGGTCATGTGCAACCGCGACGTGTTCAAAGGGTATGTTCCTCTCGAAATAATGAGATTCTTCCACCAACTGGTACTATCATAACTTCTGCTCGGGATCGAGTCAAATAACCTAACTCACGGACGTCTGTAGTATCTTGATACTTCAAATTGGTGCAAGAAGAACAAAGGACCTGCATTGTTACTGTAATCTGGCTCCTGCCTGTCGTTACAAGAATCTTACTTTGCTTTTCCCTGCATTTGATTAGGATGTGCAACGCAGAACTACAGTAGTGACTCTTTCGATATTTTGGTTACTGCATTACTCCTGCATCCACCAAGAAGTCTCCCGGCTCAAGAACAGCAAGAACTTGGTCGAGCTTGCCTTGTACCGGCCTGTACCCGTACCGGTAGACTCACTATTGGTTCCTTCGCATTCGCATCGTAAAAAAGTTCTCTGTTCCAATGGGGCGGATCAACAGACTCACAAAGAATGGTCATGAGGAACCGCGACGTGTTCAACGGGCAATGACCCGTAGCGACGGAAGGCCTTGTTGGTATTCAGTAAAGCTTACCGGTTTTCGTTCCTTCGCATTCTCGTCGTAAACAAGTTTTCTGTTCCAATGGGATCAGCCAGTGGGTGCAGAAAGATGCGTGTAGAGTACAGGTATCTGGTACAACCTATTATGGCCCAACGATGAAACATCGAATATGTTTCGGTATATATAGGTACGTCAGAATATGGAATAGTCGACCAATATGACTACTATACTTGTGGCTTACTATTCATATATACGGTATTACCATAGTGTCTATAGAGACAAGAGATGTCGTAATCGGTAGGTGCTTTAGGAAGATTATGATGAGACATCCATCTCTGATGTGAATGCTGATTTTGAACCTCACAGAGGACGAATGCGTGAACGACGGGCGTGCTATACTGTGCTTGCTCGGATCATAACATGGCCGTGAAAAAAAATGCAACACGTATTTTAAAAAATACTGCGGTATACCAGCAGTACCGTACACGTGTACAGTGTATATATTCCTACCGCGGTATCTACCGGTACAATATTGCGTACTGCGCTCATCGACATGTTGAGGTTGGACTTACATTACAACAATCATCCGTAGTACTCGCTCCAGTAGTTAGTCTCATGGTTAATGTTCTCCCGGCATGATCGAAGCGCTATTACTTCTGTCGCTGCAGACATGGAGAAGAATGAATCAATCATGGTGAGCACATCATCTCATCTGCCATCATTTTTTGTGAGATTATTATTGAAACGATTTGCACTCACGTTTGGGATGATGCAGCTGTGAAAGACATTTCGCTTCATTCACTGAGAGATTTCGTTGATCATATGGTCGGATTTCAAACTTGTTACGGTTTGACATTGCGGCCCAAAGTTGATTGGATTTGGTGTTGTCGCAAGTTCTCAATTCAAGGAACCGGTTGTTGATAGAGGAGAAACAGAGGTTGGAACCATGGACTCGGATTTGGTCGCCAGAGTTTGGATTTTCTATAATCTCAAACCGTTTTCTCGTTTCACGGCACCTTTGGATCCACATCAGATGACCTTCTTCACATTTGTCATTTTCAGGCACAACACATCCTCCTTCCCATCCATCGCCCGTGGTGAGAGAATCACATGCAGTGCAGGTCATGCACCAAAAGGTCTCATCATTCGATTCCTGCCAGTAGTAGTTGTCCCAATAAAGTTTCAGCTTTTTGGCAGGAGCGCTTTCCTTTGGAATGCAGTAATCTGTGCTGGAATTGTCAGACCCGGAACAACCGGGGATGCTTTCTCCGTGTGATCGTTGCCAACATATCAGTCCATCTTGGCAATCGTGATTGTAATCGCAATCGCCTGAGAGTTTTTAGGAATGATGCAATGAAATCCTGTGGTGAGAACAAAAGGAACGAACAGACCACACAGCGTGGCAAAATGACTGCGACTGGCTATTACCTTCACATTTCCCGAGTGGAAAGTTTGTGCTCCAAGATATTTGGTTGGCATCGCTGGTGATGCTCGTGGACGGGGGAGAGATTTGACCTTGTCTTGCCACCGTTGGGGGTACACAATAGTCTGTTCGGCTGCCATCAGCAGACCCTCCAGAGCATCCCGGGACGGGTTCATTTTCATTTCGTTGGAAGCAAACCAAATTTCCCTGGCCTGTGATGAAAGAATGGCTTTGCATGAGCATTACAGAAGGCATAAGAATAGGAGTATATCTGCAGGAACTGTGAATACGTACAATCAAAATCTGAATCGCAATCACCTGTTGGAAAAGGGAAGAAGACGCGATTGTCAGTCGAGATCGTAACGAAAGATTGCAGTACAAATGACATTGAGGAGTCTCACCTTGACAGCGTGCCAGAGGAAAGATTGTGCTCCATTGGATTGCGAGTTCAGCTGGAGGTAAAGAAGACGGAGGGATGCAGTAGTCCGTTCGGCTGCCGTCATTTTCACCTCCAATACAGCCAGGAACTGCTTCATGTTCATTTCTTTGGAAACAAATCAAGTCACCAATACAGTCATCATTGGTATCACAATCCCCTAAAAGTAGATTCGGTATGTAAATGAAGCAAGGAATATGAGAGATGCTCGCATGAATTGGCACGATGTGATAAAGGAAACAACGGAACGATTACCTTCGCAACGAGATAGTGGAAATTCTGTAGTGTATTTCAGCGTAAGGTCCTCCAATGTAGACCCACTATTCAAATCGCTTTTCCTAACACAATAGTCACTAAGCGATCCGTCTTGTAAGCCTCCCAAGCAACCTGGAACGGGCTCATGTGCATCTCTTTGGAAGCAAACAAGTTCGTCACCATTGCTGTGCAGCAGCATGATAAAAGGAGAAAATTCGAGATTGTTAATGACAGAATAGAGCCATCCAAGGTGTACCGAAGACAATCTGCAAACTCACCAATCCTGGTCACTATCACAGTCGCCCTCACAGTGCCCAAGTGTGTGCTGTGGGTTGGAGCCATATTCTCGAAGGGTTCCAAGCTGCTGTGTTTTCCGACGACGATTGTTATTCACAAGTGATGATCCAAGCTTGGCAGTCGCCAATACATCACACAGGAGGATGGAAAGGGCAATAGATTTCATTGTAGAGTTGTAATAATGTGTATTCGTTGAAAGTTATGAAACGGAGGTACATGGTAGGATCCATTCGGCATGTCTGGAAGCATTATTCATTATTCGCCGCACCATGATCATGATTCATTTTTTGCACTGCCGGTTAATTCCCGCAAAAATGTAGTCACGTCTATTGGGTGCATGGAGAGAGGCAGGCAGTGCTAGGCAGGTGCGCGTGTCTCAGTCGTAGACATGAATGAAATGAACGACGAATTCAGTTTGTGTTGCAAGACAATCCGAAGACGGTCACCGTGCTTCTGACTCAAGTGAGAGGTGGTGTCTTCCAAAATAATAATTCTTGGATTATGGGAGCCATCAAGCAGGCCATTGACCAAGTGGAAGACCTTGTCACAAAGCCATGTGGGATTGGATTGGACATTCGAATGGTCCATTTTGGAGAGATCGATACTGATTACATGTCATTGGAACAACAATAAGAGTCGGGGCAATGATCCAAAATATACACGTAATAGATGCAGTCTGTTGCAGCGATGGGGTGATTATACAGCATAAAGCCGGGGGCAATGATCCAACAACGGATACATTCGGTTGCAAGTATGGTGTATGGTGGATGATCATAACTTGCGCATAAATGTAGGAGTAGAAATAGAGATATCGGCAACAAAATTATAATAATAGTGTATCATGTATACTCAATTGAGCATTGTGGAAGTGGCTGCTGCAAGATAGAGTAATTGCCAGTATTGTTCTTATTTATTGACACTGCCCATATTGATACATCGCCATATCTTCAATTCGAAGAGTTGCTTTTAATAATTCGACATCTACAGGATGGTTGCCAAAGGGGTGAAACTGTATGCTTTTGCCTCCTCCCGTCAAAGTGAAAGCGTTGTCACTAAAGCGACCGGGAGCTTGTGTGGTCAACATCACCAGCAGTGCCACTGGAACGGATGCAGTGATTTCCAAAGTCACCACATTCATAGCCGTGGCCAGGATACTCCAGTTCAAACCGCTATCGCAAGCTATTTGATTCGTCAGTTCTTTCGGTGGCTTGAGAAGGATGGGCGTATTGTGAACTATCAAGTCGCTCCCGTACATTAGAATATCAATCGACAAGAAATGTGTACTTCCGTCCACAATGGGGCAGTCAAAAACCTGCAAGGAGCCAGGACCCTGTGGCAAGGTGATGTTCTTGTGGTACACCTGCGCATCGCCAGCTACACCAGTTTCCAAGCTGACAACATGGATGACTACGCCTCCATGAAAGCCAAAACCTGCTGCATCATTTCGAATGTACCCTACTCCTTTCCCATCGCATGTAGCGATGATATCAGCAAAAACCGATTGGCGAAAAAAGTAGTGCAATGGCTTCCAGCGACCACCGACTACCTGCCCTGACATGTCGCCATTTCCATATTCCAGACTTCCCCATCCACCTGTAGGCCAAATTTCATTTAGCTGCCACACCAAGTGACCCAATTCATTCTTGGAGCGGCGTTCTTCTATAATACTCTTCATGTGAAGCGCTTGTGCGATCATGCAATGATACAACTGTCGCTGGAACTCGTTTTTGCCGACCTTGTCAAAGTAATCTGATTCTGTTTGGAAGTATGTCTTGATGATGCTGTCGCAGGGATAGTTGCGTTGTGCCATGACATTGTTCCCCTCACATTTTCGGTTGAAGCCATCGGAACACTTGTCTGGTGGACCACCGCCATGGAGACTCCAGTGCTCTGGGGCCAATGTTGCGGACATGGATTCAAAAGACGACATGACACCTCCAGTTCCGAATTCGGAAGCAAAAACTGAAGTTTTTGCCACGCCCATTTCCTCTGGCTTCGGGTCGATTGTTATTGGTAACTTGGCCGCGGCAGGCTCATCGCCAGCATCATTCCCATTAACCGCCGGAAAGCCACCGCCATGAATGTATGGCCCATGGACTTCGATACGCCGTGGTGCTGTTTTAGGTGTCACCAAATCCTTGTCTGGAATAGGCCGAGACGTCAATTTGTCAACACCCGACTGCCAGCCATTCGACGGACAACTTGGCCATATCGATCGTGACCCATCTTCTTCTCCCACAACTCGCATCACAAAAGTAGCATAGATACTACTCGGTTTCTCCATCTCGACCAAGCATTCGTTGCACCCATCCCAAATGACAATAGACGGGTGGTGCGAAAGCAATCGGACATTGTGCCGAATTTCCATTTCTTGTGTCTCCGTCTTCTTGGGATCATGACCACCTTGGGCGTACATTTGATCTTGAATCACCATGATCCCATAGTCATCACAGGCATCGTACCAAGCTGATGGAAGAAACATGCCTCCGCCCCAGACCCTCAAGGTGTTCATATTTGCCAGTGCAGCAGATTGAACCACTTGCACATGGGCCTCAGCGTTCAAGCGGCCCTCCAACGCATCCATGGGGATCATATTGGCACCACGACTCCACATGGCAACACCATTCACACGATAATACATACCATTAAACTCGGTTCCTTCGTGTCCAGTTGCATTGTGAACATATTCAGGATCCGTGTCGTTTCCAGTGACCAATGCAAAGTATCGAAAGCCAATTCTTCGGGAATCTTGAACGCTAATAGCTTCGACGCCTTCCTCCATAGGATCGGGAACGAACTCGACTCGAACCTCATACATGGGGCGCTTGGCCGATTCACGCGGATTTGTTCCCATTCCGTTTGGCCACCACAGCTTGATATTCTTGGCAGTGGCAGTGATGGACAGCGTGGTAATGAAATCTCCGCCCATCCATTCCACCACTTGAGTTTCATTGGCACCCCAAGAACCGTATATGTTGAGTCTTCCCTTCATTTCCCCGGGTGGTGACCACAAGTGTATCGTCACCTCAACTTCAAACCCCGCATGACGGCCATCTCGAAGAGCTTCCATTGGATAGTCGCCCATGTAGTAGACTTGAGGAACAATTGCTGTAATAGCAGCTGAAGAAACCCGAGTCAAGTATACCGATTTGGTAATGCCCTTGGAAAATTGATGGGAGTGAGTGTCTTGGGTCATTGGGCAGCTGGAAAAGGGTGCCCAATCCCAACCACCGCTGCAGGCTGAAAATCGTCCATCGGTCAGAATGTTGGAATCAAAAGTGATGGTGAGGACATTGGTTGTTACTGATGATGACTGCTCAGTGACATTGTTTGTATCATCTAGGGTGTTCCAGTTCAGCAAATCCTTGACTGGGTATCGATACCGCAAAAACTGGTCCGTAACAACTCCAAGCCGCTGTTGGTTCAAGTCGATGCGAGCCCCCATTTTGATGCCATCCGCAGCACCAAGAGAACTTCACCCACCATATCACTTGGAATGGTCCCATTTACTGATTCGCCTTTTCCATCAGTTGGAAGAAGAAATTCCCTGGAAGTATTGAACTGTATCTTGTAGACCCAAAATGGTTTCCCATCTTCTTCATCACAAAAGTAGCTATCTTGAAAGTTGTTTTCAAAATACGGCTCGTTCCAAACACCAGCATTGACTAAATCTGTCAGCAAATCACCGGGAACATTGGCACCTATTATTCTGCCACCGTCACCAGTCAGCAGTTTCCATTGATTTTGCTCAGAGGAATCCTTATATTGATTGTTGTTATCCAAATTAAGAATGGAACTTCCTTGAATAGGTGGATCAGAGAGCGAATATTCAAAAGATTTCCCTTGCTGGTAGCTGCCGGAAGATATTGATTCCTCATGGTGGATGGTTTCAATGACTCCTAATATTGTTGCTTTGGATTTTGTGGTTGTCTGTCTTTCCGTTGCTAATACGTCGGATGATGATGAAGAAGGTACGGATGACACTGCGAAACGATGATTGGATATCAGCAACAGTAACGACAAAAGCTGCATCCTTAATGGGTATATCGATAGTTCCTTTTTCATACTGTGTCTTGCGGCATAATCGAGCGATAATGAAATCAAAAGATGGAAATGGTCGATGGGGAAGCAACACTACTGACTATATATGTATAGTTCTGATGATGATGATAGATACAAAATGGTCATCAATGCGTCTTGCCCCCGTTCGAGAAGACCGACGCCCTTACAATAAAAAGAAATACCCGAACGATGATATTAGCTATCGTACAACTATGATCTGCCCCTAGTGCTACAGTATCCCTATGTTCCTACAATAACCATTGGTCTATTAGAGGAATCGGAACAATGTATCACTATATTTCGCCTTTGGCCACCTTGCGTCTCTTGATTTCCTGTCGAAGGTGATCCCTTTCTTCTCGCATGGCGGTCCTATGGGATTCTCGGATAGTTGCATTACATTCCTGCAGTTCCATGTTCATGTGCGCAAGTAGGTCTCTCTCCTTTTGGGATTGTTGCAGCTGAGATCTCAACGCCAACTTTGCTTTCCACTCTTGAGCGATTTTGTTGAGTAGCTCCTCTCTGGTGAGTCCTTCCAAGTTACCAGTGTTACCAGCAACATCTACAGTCCCCTTGTCCTTGTAAGTGTGCTTTGAATCCATGCCAATGTGCGTTTGTCTCCCTTGGACGGTTGACTCTTCGGAAGAACCGTCAATTTTGGTTTCATCATCCTCACTGCCAGCCTCCCATTCGAGCTCAGTGTCATTGTCAAGATCTTCACCACCACTTGGACTCCTCTCATCCTTGGAATCGTTGCAAACGGATGAGCTCTTCGACGACATGATACTAGCGCCTTGTGTGCCATTGTCATGAGACCTGCGCAGTGGTAGTCTTCTTCTTTTTGATTCTCGAGGGGCCATCTTCTTTGCATTCGTCGCATCCCTTGCCTTTCGCTTTTTGCTTGACCTGGATGCCGCTTCTTGACGCTCGTCCTCCTGGTGCCCCCCTTCATCTTGCCCCAAGGCCCCAGTGCTACAAGGCGGAGGTTTTCTGCTGCCCTTCTTTCTAGAAGCCATTCGCCGTGTTTGACGTGTTACAGACACTGGCTCTTCAGGCGACGATTCGTCATTATCACCTTTATCCTCATCTGCAGAGGGGTGCTCATCTTCATCCTCATCTGCAGAGAGGTGCTGCGGTTGAGAAGGGAACCCCATTGCGTTTTCCACCGTATTGGATTTGATGGGGTATAGAGGTCGCTTGTTTTTGGCGACCCACAAAAATCCAAGCTTCTCGAGTTCAATGATTCGCTCTTGCGTCATCAAGGACTTATCCTCTCCCTTGTTCTTCCGTTTCATGTATTCTTTTCTCTGCTTTTGAACCCAAAGCCCCAATGTCCTGTTGGCTGGAAAATAAATTGGTACATTGCAATGCCCATGAAACTCCTTAAAGTCTTTCAACTCAAGGAGTCGAGTTTTCCAAAGTGCCTTCTGGGCAGACCACACAAATCCAAGATTATCGAGTTCAACAGAACGCTCTTGTGTCATCGGGCACTTGCCGTCTGCCTTATTCTTCCATTTCTTGTAGTCGCGACGTTGTCTGCTGACCCATCTGCCTAGGACTTTGTTTTCTGAATAATGCATTGGTACATTGCAATGTCCAGTAAGCTTCTTGAAGGCTTGCAGTTCTTGGATTCGGAGATTCCAAGCTCTCTCATTCGCTGTCTTCATAATGCCACCCCACTCAAATCCAATTCTTTCAAGCTTCGTCACCAACTCTTGTGACATACTAGATTTCTCTCCAGCCTTCCATTTCTTGTAGTCCTGCTTTTGATGTGAGAGCCAATTTCCTAGTGCAGTCTTGCACGGTACATTGCAATGGCCATGTTCCTTTTGGAACTCAACAAGTTCGTTGATTCGTTCCAATTGTTTGAATGAGAAAACCATGACATTGATTGATTGATTGATTTTTTAAATGATTGATTAAACTGGCTGGCTTGACTCTTGCTCTCCAATGTGTGTAGTATTGTATTGTAGTTGAGACGTCAATAGGCTGAGCAAGATGCTTTTTGTCACGCAGAGGTCTAGTGTAGTTCAGAGGTTATCTATCGTTCATGCGATGATGAGATGTTCATGTATGACCGTATATGATGAAAAGAATATAAGCGTATTTCAAACAAGAGTTTCAAACGATGAATATGATGAGACAGACAGACAAGATACAGACATTCTGATTGGTGGATTGAAATCCAATCCTGTCGGCCAATATTTTTCTCGAAAAACGCGCCTGCAGCACCTCTATCGCCAGTTCATCGCGAAAACTTTTTTTTGGAATTTTGGAAGCTTTCTATGTGTGGAAAAAGCAATATACCTAATCGCACCATCGATGAAAGTAAAAGCATCCTTGGCGAAAAGTGTGCAAAGTTACAGGGAACCACAGCCAAAACGGCGGAGGATTGGTTCTGTCAACTAAGAGAAAAGGCAATCTCAAAACTGACGGCAGCTCAATTCATTCATTCATTCATTCAGGAGAATCCTCATACTATCACTTTGACGGCCATCACATCATCACCATGGCTTCCAACACCATGTGGGATATATTCGATTCATTCCTGGATAAAACGCAAGAGAGGAATGTATGTCATGAAATGGCAGTCAAGATCACTGGTGACGATGATATTGAAATAGTATTTTCATTGAGCAGCGACGATCCATCCTACTTTGAAGAAGAAGTATGCTCGGTCGATTCGTATTCCGCCGAAGAAGAACCATCGGCTCACTTTGATCAATATTCTGAACCTTCCAACTCGTTGCTCTTGGAGGAACATGTAGAAGAACGACGAGCGAAAAAGCGCGGCAAAAAAGACAAATACGCAACAAGCTTATCCAGGACGTCAACGACAATGACCACGGAAACAAATTCTACAAGGACTGTCAGCAACACTGTTTCAGGCAAGACTCTGTCCACGAAATCCGTCTTTGTTGATTTGGATGAATTTGAACAAGAGCAAGTTCAACGAGACAAGGAACGAAAACAACGGAGACTGAGGCGACAGCGAAGGCAAGACAATAGTGATGAGGTCGACGACCAAGAAGATGACGACCACCGAAGGAACGGCCCATTGCAACGGAAGGCCTCCGAGGAAACCGAAGATTCAGATATCGATGATTCGCTTGTATTTGACGATGACTTTGTTGGAAGTTTTGGTGACGATGATGAGCAAAATAATGATATACTCGTCTACGATGCTGATGACGATCTTGTGATGCAACTTGTGGACGACGATGATATTGACGATGATGAAGCTTTGACCCGTCTTATTGATATACATGTTGGTGATATGATGGATGGGTCATCCCATATGGACGCGATTAGCATGAGGTTACGGCCAACATTTGCATTGCCTCCAATGCCAGCAGCACCAGCCGCAACAGTAATTCCCATCCTTCCAAACCACTCCAAGAGTAGCAGCAAGAGAAGGAATCTACTGTCACTGCCACAGATCGTCGAACAGGAAGTTGAAGACGAACAAGAAGGATCAGAAAGACAAGCATGCATAGAAGAAATCGAAGATCCTCATCTTCGAACACTCCTCAAGACCATTAGCAGAACGTCCAAATGTTCCGAAAATTTCGACATGGATGCGCTTATGGAACATTTTCAAGAGGACGACGTTCAAGATCCCTCGATCAACATAGCATTAGAGAACTTGAGCTCGCGCATCCGAAAGGCCAATCCTAAGTCAAAGTCATTGACAGGGGGGAAAATTGAAGAGATCGATTTGGACCTTTTCTTTGATGATGTTCGTAAAGGGGTTCAACGAGAGTCCCGACACGACGCACCGACCAAGCGAAAGCTAGCAGTTTCAACTGAAAATAGAGATAGTGCCCCATCATCAGACTTGTTCTTGGACGACATTGTGCTTGAACGCGGGATGAGTTCTCTCACCATGGGACACAAGACGTGCATCAGCGCATCAACCGTTGAAGATTCCCTGATTGTTGCCCTGCTAAATAGGCCTCTTGTCGCAGATGGCAACAGCGAAAACAAAGTCAGCATGTTCAGTCGAAACAGAAACAAAAAGCATAAGATTGAAAAGAACAACACGAGGGAAGAGAGTATACAACCTTTCAGTACCCTGAACAACAAGGGAAATCTAAGCAAGCTCAAGAAAAAACTCACGAGGAACAGCAACAAAGTGGGCAAAACGGTTGGAAAACTATTGTCCATTACTCCATCTTCGATCAATACGGAGAATTCTTCAACTTTCACAAGCACCACTCTTGACTTGAGTAGCTCCGCTTACATGAATGACAAGCCGTTTGAATCAGAAGACAAAGCTCTCAAGGCGCATAACCCACCCCGGAAGAACAGAATGGCACAACTTTGGCACAAGACCAAAAAAGGAGCTACTGCAAGAAGAGGAGAAACGTACCAAACTCTGGATCCCATCGGCGAACTAGCTTCTGCTTGATAAACCTGCAAGGAAACATTTGAATTCGAGACGGGAAATCTGTGGGGAAGGGGAAAGATGGCACGGGCTCTTGCCTTCGTTTATAACTTCATAACAAATTCCTTTTGACTATCACTTGTATTGATTCACTTACCCTCGGAGTTCCTCGAAATAGCTATCGGTTCAAAAAGAAGGTAAATGTGGCTACTACTGGGCCAGTGGAATAATGGGCATCAGATGGATAGCGAAATATCTTTAGTAGCTGATATTATAATAGCTAGCGTACCATCATTGCTATACGCCAGGTGCTCCTGCTTCTCGCAAGAGACTCGCCATACTATCTAGATCGTCGATGCCTTGTTGCACCAACTTTTTCGTTTCCACAAAGATATCAGCTATCATAGTCGTACCTTTCATAGCAAAGAGGACTGAATAAAAATTTCCGTCTGCTTTTTGTGTCCCATAGATCACTCGATCTGCCAATTCTTCAAAGCGTTCCAAGTCGAATTTATCTCGCCATGCCGTGTCTGGATCATTTTTATTGGACCCTTCCAATACTGCCTTGCGGACTGTGACAAAGGCAACGTCAATTCGATAGAGCGGTGTATTCTTTGCGGCATCGATCGCTGCTGCTCCGGCCTGTGGAGCAATACCACCCAGTATGCGTCGGGCCCCATCAGTACTTCGGGCTCGACCTTCACTGTCAATCGAGGCATAGTCCGACCAATTGTTCAGGAGCATCTTCAGTGACAGAGCACCATCTTGTATCTGTTGAATTGATGCGCCAACATCATTCGATCCTGGGGCTCGTGCAGAAGAAGAATCCGGAAAAAGTGACCAGGAAGCTAGAACAAGTGACCCCATACCTCCCAACATGGACCGACGCGCATAATTTATGCATGAGGAAGGTTTGGAATTTTCTACTGTTTGTTGTGCTCCTTTCGTCGGGTAAGGGCTTCTTATTGATAGCCCAGTTGACATATCAACAAATATTGAAAACCAAGTCAACAGCAAAAGAAGGATCTGCGTCTTTGAGTCACCGACAAGATATGGATTCATCGTCAAATGTGTTATTGAAGTGAAAAGATATTGACGATGATGACATAAAATAATAAAAAGGCGAGAGAGAGATTGATTGATGTCGAAGACATACTGATGAAGTCCCGAATCCAAAGTTGATTGAAATGCCCGCCTTGTATTTGTAACGGACACCAATATAGTAGGCGTCCGAACCCAGAATTCAAAAACTACTCGTAGTCTTTTTCTAATCGAGTAGCTATATGACGAATGCAGTATACATCTGCAAAGCTTGCTTTTGCCATACTATAAGAGACGAAAATAAGCAGAACAGGACTAGTCCTAAAAGTGATACTTAGTGTTCGCTTTCGCCAATGATGCCACTAATTCATATCAGTCAGAAGTTTCCTTTTTAGCTGCATCAAGAGCCTCCTCTTTAGCCGCATCAAGCTCTATCCTTCTTTTCTTCCCAATATGACGTTCAAGGTGGCTGAATCGGCATCGATCTCCGCGGCTGCATTCTCCTGTCTGCTGAAATTCATAACACATGTTCTGCTTCTGGTCCACCCTCTTCCGATCTTTGCTTCGAGCGATGCCTATTTTGAAAGTGCACTTTTTGCATTGAGAGGGCTTGGCCCACCCCTTTTCTTTGAACTTGTCTTTATCTCCAAACAAAAACAGCTGGCTGCAGTTTCGACAAGTCAAGGGTTCAAATCCTGGACCAGCTGCTTCGATCAGGGCTGTGTCCCAAGCTTTCTTGGCGGCAGTTTTTGCTCTTCGTAAATCTTTACTGGTTTTGTCTGTTTTGAATGCCTCCAGAGCCTTTCTATAGAATGCTTCTAGCTCCTTTATTTTCGGGTCTTCAAAGATACTATTATCTTCCCCTTCTTCTTCTTCTTTGCTAATATCGGCTACTTCTTCGACGGCTCCTTCTTTTTTTGGCTCCTGTTCGCCAATACTGATAACAGTCTCTTCAGCTTGGTGGTGGTCTGGGGCTGATTTGTCTTCAACGTCGACGTCTCGCTTCTTTTTCTCCTTCTTTTCCTTCTTTGATTTCTTTGCTTTCTTGTCTTTTTTCGACTTCTTCTTGTCCTTCGTTGTAAGTTCTTGTTTCCTCGTCTCCTCATCCGTTTCGACGGCGTTTTCATCATCGGTGGCCCTCATTCTTGATAAAAGTGTATTGTAGTTGCTTGGTTTGATTGATATTGCTAGTATAATGCTACGTTGCAGCTATTGATTAAATCAAGGTGAATGGTGCAGGGCAATGAACGAAGGATATGCAATTGATGTGTTGTTTTCAATGCAGTCTTTCAGATTGAGATTTTTCATTTTATTTGCTTGGTGATGGATGTCAGTCTGGCCATAGTACGTTTCACAATGAGTGACAGTCGGGTGTTCGACACTTTATTGCAGGGATGAATAACTCTGTGTATCCCAGATAGAGGACTATCCTTGCGGGGTGGTACTGTAGAACCATAAATCGCCTTATCCTCCTGCCATCTACAATCACCCCTTCTGTACTGGTACTACAGTTTCTAGACGCTTACAGCATATGCATGGATCAAATATGGTTTCTTCTATTAGTACTCTTCATGATGATGACTCATTATTTACTTCTTTTCTTCATCCTTCTTTTCGTCTTCCTTCTTCTCCTCGTCGTCGGACTTTTCCTTAAAGTCGGCATCCACCGTGTTGTCATCCTTAGGCTCCTCCGCTTGTGCGTCGCCACTTCCGTACATGGCTTGTCCAATCTTCATGGCGGCAGCATTCAGGGCATCCTTCTTGGCAACGATGGCATCTCCATCATCTCCGTCCTTGACTTCCTTGGCCTCAGCAATGGCCTTTTCAACCTCTGCCTTGGTTTCGTCGTCAAGCTTGTCAGCATTGTCCGTCAGACTCTTTTCAGTAGAGTAGATCAAGGAATCAATTTCGTTCTTGGCTTCGATGGTTTTGCGTCTCTTGGCATCAGCTTCGGCGTTGGCTTCGGCATCACGAACCATTTGTTCGATATCGTCTTCTGACAAACCTCCACTTGACTTGATGATAATATTTTGCTCCTTTCCAGTTCCCTTATCCTTGGCGCTGACGTTCAAGATACCGTCGGCGTCAATGTCAAAGCTCACTTCGATTTGTGGAACACCTCTTGGGGCTGGTGGAATACCAACCAAATCGAATTCTCCCAACATCTTGTTATCGGCAGCCATTTCACGTTCTCCTTGCATGACCTTGATTTGCACTTGAGGTTGGTTATCTGCGGCTGTGGAAAAGGTTTGTTGTTTCTTGGTGGGGATGGTAGTATTTCTGGGGATAAGCTTGGTCATGACTCCTCCCAAAGTTTCGATACCAAGGGAAAGTGGGGTTACATCGAGAAGCAAGATATCCTTGACATCTCCCTTAAGGACACCACCTTGGATTGCGGCTCCCATTGCCACAACCTCATCGGGGTTGACTCCTCGCGATGGCTTCTTTCCAAAGAATTCGGCAACTGTGTCTTGAACCTTGGGCATTCTTGTCATACCACCGACCAAAATGACTTCGTGGATATCACTTTTTGAAACATCGGCATCCTTGATACAGTTCTATAATCGTCCAGGAAAGGGATAGAGAGAAAGAGAAAGAGACGTGAGCACCACGATTGGACAAAATCGCATTCGACAATGGTCATGGTTCGATTCCTTTCCATTGTCGCATCGTTCTTTTTCTCTTTCGTCAGAACGTTCAGGTCCAATTCCAACATACCTTGCAAGGATCAATGGTTCGGTCAACCAACTTTTGAACCATGTTTTCGAATTGAGAACGGGAAATCTTGGTGTTCATGTGCTTGGGTCCACTGGCATCGGCAGTGATAAATGGCAAACTGACATCGGTTTGGGCCAGTCCATCCAATTCACGCTTAGCTTTTTCGGCGGCTTCTCTGAGACGTTGCATGGCCAAGTTATCGCCAGACAAGTCAATTCCGGAATCCTTCTTGAATTGACCAAGCAAGTATGACAACAGTTCTTCATCGAAATCTTCTCCTCCCAACATGGTGTCTCCATTTGTGGCCTTGACCTCAAAGACTCCACCTTGAATTTCCAAAACACTGACATCGAAAGTACCACCTCCCAAATCAAAGACAGCAATGGTCTTTCCATCAGCCTTATCCATACCATAAGCCAAAGACGCAGCAGTAGGTTCGTTGATGATACGCAAGACGTCCAAACCAGCAATCTTTCCGGCATCCTTGGTGGCTTGACGTTGGGAGTCATTGAAATAGGCAGGAACAGTAATGACGGCCTTGCTGACAGTGCGTCCCAGGAATCCTTCTGCAGTCTCCTTCATCTTTCCCAAAACCATGGAACCGATTTGACTGGGAGAGTACTTGGTTCCTCGGGAAGAAACCCAGGCATCGTCATTGTGGTCCGACTTGACAATGTCATAGGGGACCAATCCTTGAATGGTGGTAACCTCTTTGTCTCCAAAACGACGTCCAATCAATCGCTTGACAGCGTACATGGTGTTTTCAGGGTTGGTGACAGCCTGTCGCTTGGCAGCCATACCGACCAAACGTTCCCCGTCGTCAGTGAATGCCACGACAGAAGGAGTAGTACGGGAACCCTCCGAGTTTTCAATCACACGGGCATTGCGTCCTTCCTATCATTATTATTCCAATAAATAAATAAATAAATAGATCAATTGATAAATCAAAGTGAGGATAGAACAGGTAGACAATGGTCCATGCCATGGAAGGTAGGTTTCATTTGTAGATTGCGCAAATTTCGACAAGAAAATCAACGCCAACACATCATTGTGGAATGTGAACGTGAAATCGTGTAGGTAGCGAAAGAAGATCATACATCATATATATTCCATCAGTTGAAAGAATAACCAGCAGTGTAGCATATTCATGTTTCAGTTGAAACATTGGTTTCAACGCATGCAAAGATGAGAGAAGTTCAGGAGAATTTGCAAATTCAGGAAGCATCGATTGGGAGAGAAAAAAGGATACAAGAATTGTGGTTAGCATTCATCTTTTTCTTCAGTTGCATATTGCATAGTATTGTTCAAGCCAATCCAATTCAAGTCAAGTGAAGTTTAGTGGATTGCCATACGTGTTGCAACATGTCGTCATCGTTCTGAAAGATATGTGGATCCGTTCTGAATTTTTTGTGTGACGTCGTAGGCTCTAGTACTTTTCGTACGTACCATAATGGCAACACACGAGTTGGTGGTCCCCAAATCAATTCCAATCACGTCTCCTGCATCATCGGACTTCCATCTCTTTCCGAGAAGGGAATTAGCAGTAGAAGCACCGAAGGATGGCTTCTTGAAGACTGCAGAGGCAGCTCCGGATGAATGTGCAGCCGTTCTCCGAAGAAGGGTCGAACTGGCGGTCGAAAGCATCTTGGTGTTGTATTTGTCTTCTGATGATGAACGAGAAAGATGTGAGAGGAGGGAAATTGGTCGATTCTCGACTCCTTGGAAGCAAACTTTCACCTGTCTGCGGTGGAGAAACAGAAGCAGTACGGACTGCAGACAGACAATAGAAGCGAATCGAAAACTCGGTTGAATCCTGACACGAATGAGTGGTCGAGGTAGTCTATTTTAATAGTTTTCATCGTAGCGGTAGATAGATCTGTTAAAGTTGGGAGTGGGACGCTCGATGAGGTGAAGGGGACGAGACTACGATAGAGAGGAGGCTCTCGATTTTTAGAAACAGTCCATTTCATCGCGGATGAACTCTATCCATTATATAAATCCTACAAAGTCGACGAAATCCCAGTATCATAGTTGTAGTAACTTCTTGTTCGCTCTTCTTTGCAGGTAGCAATTTTCACCGTTGCTTATTCCATTTCCATTTCTGATTGAAACCAGTCTTTCTTTTCCATTCAGTATCCTTCCGACACACCCCCATGAAAACAACATCAATTACTTTTTTAAGGAGCTGCTCCGCCTGCGCCTGCACCATCGTCACCCAAGGGGGGTGCTGACTTTCCAAACAAGTTGAAGATTTGTACCACACTGGATCCAATCACCACAAACATGAAAAAGTAAATCAATGCTCTACTGGCGGGTGGATCATCTTCTTTTTCGGCGGCCTTTCCAGCTGGAACATTTCCACGTTTGGTAATGTTCTTGTCAAATTTCTTGTTGCGATTGCGAATGTTTCTGGGAAGTGGCTGTGTATGTGTTTGGTATTTTGTATTGTGGTGATTGTGATTGTCGATATGCATGATGCGTAGACCAATCAATTAATCAATTGATCAATCAGTCAATAAATAAATCATGGTTGCAGTAGTATTGTGTCCAAGTTGAGGGAAATAATATTCGTATCGGTTGTGCATATGCAAAATCAATGAACACGTATTGTTCAAACCAACATGTGTATTCGTGGTGGATTGAACAAGAGACAGGCAGAAAGGGGAGAGACTGTGTCAGTATTGATTGTATTGATCGATTGATAGATAGATGGACTGATTGATGATAGACCTAGTCAAAAGCGGACCGTCGAGCCAAGATGAAGATCTCATTGCTGCCGTCGTCAATCACAAAAAAGTGATCCATCCGCCGATGGGACTGACTATACAAATCGTATCATCATTGTGTTGGTCGGCCAATCATTCTGTCTTTCGTCCCATCTTTTAGGTCTTTCTGATCGCTACAGTATAGAGCTCCTTAATCCCGTGTCCTCTTTCAACTTTCTTTCTCATTGCAATACTCACCATATTTAAAAGTTGGTTGCTATATGATTTACCCTGTGATTTTGGAGTAACGACGGTAATGGTGCAGCAATGGTCAGGAACTGTGGTCCGATTAGTCATTTCACGCGCAATAGCAACTTTAACAAAGGGAATTCAGAATCTTGCGGGCGGAATCTTGAAAAATCATTGAAGCGACCAACTTATCCGCGAGTGAGTCAGTCCACAAACGGTCAGTCAAAATAGCACGGCTCGGCTATGCGGAGTGCAGATGGACAGGAAAAAAGCATGCCCGTCCCCTCTAATCATATTCCCGTAAAAGTGCGGCCCTCCGGGTTACGGGTTACCGGCCGCTCCTGGACAAGCAGACGGGCCACTTTGCCGATGTTTCGTCAGCTCCTAAAGTGCTGCGGGTTTAATGTGGACGATGAACGTCAAGAAGAACCTTCCGAGGCGCAATCTTCTGAAGAGGACCAGCAGCCTTATGGTGGTACCATCACGATACAAGATTTGCTCAAGCCATACCAACTCTTTGACATGACGGGCGACCCACGGCATGTCCACAACCACAAACAAAAGACGTCTTGAGATCGCTTCCAATGACAGCAACAAGCGCCGTCGTGCTGAGGATAACACTAAGGGAGTGACTGGTACAGAATAAGGGGCAGATACCGATCATAAACCCAAAGCATCGTCCACGAAAGCAGCACACTTTAGCATGAAAAGATGGGATCCAAATGATTTCTTTGGGTTCTTGAATTTGGCAAATTCCGACATGACAGGTCTAACGATTTCAGCAGAGGACAATGGCCTTGCATCATTGAATGCCGTACGACGCTTCTACAAGACAATGACTAATGGATCAATGGAGGATAAAGAAGTCGGAAATGAATCGATTATGGAAGGATATATGATGACACGATTTGGAAAACTGGAAAAGATTTTTGCTTCGTGTCAACTGCCTGAGGAATATAAAGAGCTTTTTTTGGCCAGAAATGCGAAATGAAACAAAAAAGTGTTTTGAGCGTTGGCCCTGACAGTGCCTCCGACATGATTTTTGTACACATACGGCCTAATGGCAATAACCATGTAGCACTGGTACCCATGGAAAACAAAGTTCCATGGAACTTTCCGGGTGGATCGTTGACCTCAAGTGAGAAAGATTTTGCCCGCCTTGGACGGGACCTGAAGCTATATGATCTCAAACCAGACACCCCAGTTACTTCCCGGGCAGACAGAGACACCACTGGACAAATAGACATTGGGAATCCTCACGAAGGTGAAGATCATGTGGAAGCAATGCCCGAGGAGGCTAATGGCGAATCTGCAGCAAACAGCAGTGTACCGACTCATTCAAAGAGCCGGACGTACACAATGAAACACAACGTCTTCCCGGTGCGTCAAATTATGTCGTACATGTTGTCCATGAAGACGCGATACGGGATTTTGTCAACGGGGTATTGATTTGCTTTCTCAAGCTCGAGGTGACAGACGACGGGAAATTGGTTGTTCACATTATTGCAGGTCCTTTTTGGTCCTTAAAACAACTAAACACTTATATCACCGAAGATCAAGGAGATGAAGGCAAGAGAATAGCGACCGAATACTACACCCATATTCACAAATACCCTGACACCCAAGTCTCCATTTGCGACCCTGATGCTTGGACAACAAATATTGGCGAGTATCCCTTCTTGGTGGGTTTGTTTTGCTTCCTCTTTGCTGCTTCTGTTCTGGTAGATTGCCGTGACGGACAGGAAAGTAAACCTTACAACGATGGTGATCATGAGGACGATGGCATTCATGCAGAGGACGGTATTGATGAGGATGATGGTGATCATGGGAACGATGATAATTCTTGCTCCAATCAGCAACTACGCCCCCAATCATGCATGCGAGTTTCCGAGATGCTGAGGTGGTACGACAATTACATGCAAAGAATCAACTGACAACAGCCGAGCAGAGGAGTGGTCAAGGAATACGAAGAGCTTTGTAGAGATAAAGTTGGTCTGTTTTCGTTTACGAGTGATGCGGAAAGAGCAGCATACATTGAAATGACGAGAGACAAATACCAATGCGATTGGCCAGAACCTGACACCATTTTGATTGTCGACAAGGAGGGGGGGAATCATTGTGGAAGCCAGCACCAACACGATCTGGACCACTGACACTTGCCGAGCTTGAGGGTGGCAAACCACGGCCAATCGGATCTGGCAGAATAGGGGATGCTGTCAGGGCAAAGCTTGGTATTCTCGACATCGCTTGCAAGTTGCTATGTCGAAGCTCATGGAACGACGAGGACTACAACACTGGCATTTGTGAGCTAAAGCATGAGGAGCAAGTCTACAACATCTTGTGTCATCTTCAAGGAGTGGTGATTCCTCGATTTTTTTATGTTGGCTCGATAGTCAATGCATCGTATTGGGTGATTCCTGAACATGGCGAAATGGTTGCCTTTGCTACTACATATGAAGGTCCATCTCTTGAGGACATGGTCCCACCTCAGAGTGCAAAAGGCTTTTGATTGGAATCCAGTGTCTACGACCAAGCGTTTGCTGACCTTGCAGCGGTACATGATGCTGGCGTCGTCCACGGAGATTTGGAATTACGCAATCTTGTCTTTGACGGTGAGAAGATCAAGTTTATTGACTTTGGGAATGCGCTGCTTCAAAGTGAGTACGGTTCCGACATTGAGTCGTTGGAGAAGGACAAGGAAAAGGATCTCAGACAGTTGAGATTGATTCTGAGTTGGATTCGGCCTCTCCAAGAGAAGGGGGAGGCTCAGTTCGCACAAGATAAGGATCATACACAAGAGTGCGCCCCTGTCAATAATTGAAGTATGTAAACAGAAGCAGGGCAAAGACTGGATAAAGCTACAAAGGTTGGTCCCATCATGTTCAATTCAAGGTATGGTGGGCAGTTGTTGAAGTGAGGCAGACTGTGATACACTAGTTACACGCAAATAAAGATAAAATGTACATCTCTTTGCACGATCATTTTGTATGCGGATATGAGAAGGAGATGGATTGAATCAAGCAACTGCATTGGAGACAGATTGAATCAATCAACACATTTCGCACTTGGGAGAGAACACAGCCAAAATTCTCGTTTGTTTGTTGTTGATTGTTTGTTTGTTGATTGTTTGTTTGTTTGTTTTTATTTGTTTGTTTGTTGTTGTTATGGTTCCAGGGCGCTTGGGGATCCAACAAAATGGCATCCAAACCCTCCATATAACTAGGATACAAGAGCTTTTGATTGTCAATAAGCTCCGTATCTTGTTCCCATTGAGTACCACACAAATTGGATTGATTTCTCCAGTTTCCTTTTTGGGCATATGATCCTTCTTTCCACCGACAATAACCCTAACCCCAACCCTACGATCCATATTGGTACCAATGTGTGGAAATACCCGTCCACCGTATCCAGCAGCTATGAAGACTTCAGACTTGTGGAAAAAGATACACTGTTAGAAACTGAGATATCACCAGTCATAGTCAAACCCTCCTTTTTTCATGGCATTAGCAGCAGTAGCATCCATATCTGTAGACGGTCCTGTCATTGTCATTACTTCAATGCCCTAAATCTCCAACCTGTTAAAGTGAGGACTTGGCATGGCACAATGTAGATTTTATGCTACCTACTGGTTTTCGCTTTCCACAATGAAAGTTGAGGAACAGATATGTAAAATGCTCTATATGCAGAAGCGGATGGAGGAACCTGTCTCTGAGCAGATTGGAAATGCCACTAGCTGGTACCGATGAAAGGAGAAGGAAGATTTCAGATTATTCACAGGGTTCAGTTGGAACAACACAAACAAAAGGATAGCAATAGTGCGTTGTGGTTGTGATGTCTTTGATCTCAAGATGTGTGTATATAATATTTTGTCTTGGCTGTTTCTGGAAGCAATATTTGTGTGAGCTAGGCGGTTATTCCTTGTGTGTGGGAGGTGGAGGTCAGACTAACAGTGCTGGTGCCTTTTGGTAAATATAATGTACTTGTATATGAGAAGCTCAATCTCAACCTGGAATTCCTTGTTTTGGCTTGAGTGATCAAGAGCAAACGCTTGGTCGTAGACACTGGATTCCAATCAAAAGCCTTTTGCACTCTGAGGTGGGACCATGTCCTCAAGAGATTGACCTTCATATGTAGTAGCAAAGGCAACCATTTTGCCACATTCAGGAATCACCCAATACGATGCATTGACTATCAAGCCAACATACAAAAATCAAGGAATCACCACCCTTTGAAGATGACACAAGATGTTGTAGACTTGCTCCTCATGCTTCAGCTCACCAATACCAGTGTTGTACTCCTCGTTGTTCCATGAGCTCCAACATAGCAACTTGAAAGCAATGTCAAGAATACCAAGCTTTGCTCTGAGAGCTTTCCTATTCTACCAGATCCGATTGGTTGTGGTTTGCCACCTGCCAGCTTCAGAAGCATCAGTGGCCAATACCATGGCAAAGTTGGTTTCCATGATGATTCAATCCCTGGAGCCGGGTTCTGGCCAATCGCATTGGTATTTGTCTCTCATCATTTCAATGTATGCTGCTCTTTCTGTGTCACTCGTAAAAAAAACAGACCAACTTTATCTCTACAAAAACTCTTCGTATTCCTTGACCACTTGTTAGAATCAAGCAAAATGTGCTCTATCATGAGTGGCTTTAGCGCTCAGAACAAACTTTCTGCAATCTAAATTCCTAATCGACTGTACAACACTTTCACGACAATAGTTCTCCTGTGTTAGATATACTTTGAGTGAAATTGTTCCTATTTGATTAATGTTTGGCTTGAATTGATGATTCAATCACAAAAGTGAGTTCAGCAATTTTCCTTTGGAAAATCCCTTGTTTACAGAACTTGATTTGGCTTCTACAAGGATTCTGTGTCAAATACAGTACTTTGGGACATCTTGTATTATTCCCTACTGTATCGTACACAACATCGATATTCCACTTGTATTGGGTCTTTCCCTTTTCATGTGGATACAGATTGTCCGGCAGACTTGGGTCGGATCCTGACATCACGATCAAAATCCAATTGTGCGTGTCAAAAATGGGTACTTGAATAGTTTTGCTTGGAACATAAAAAGTCATATTTCGTCATATCCCAACACACTCCTGCCATTGTGACAGTCACCATTGGCAGCAATGGGACATGCCCTCATTCACTGTTTATTTTGTTTTGTATTTTCTTTTGAACATATACATACTTGTCTGACCTAGTCCTGTGGACCAAGAATCAGATCCCTGAACTTGCAAAACTTCTCACCTTAGTCATGAAATCCGCAATCATATTGTCAGTTGGACAGTATCGATCTTAACATTTCCTTTCTCCACTTGATCTGTGATAAAGAAATAACACATATTGATAGCTTGGCTTCTTTTGCCCGCGCTCTTGCGACCATTCTCTTCCAGTAGAATCTGATACAAGATATTCTTCTCGATCAGATACCCTTGCCACTCCATGAACAACTTAGTCCATAGTATCATCGTGACAACATTGTCAACAGCAATCAGTTCCGCTTCTGTACTGCTTCTGCTGTTTACATCACTTGAGCTGCACCTCCTCCAAAGGACAGAGTGCCGCCAGTATGGCTCTTGAAATCTGGATGCACAGCAAATGATGCGCCTATCATCCATTTCATGACTCGTAGTGATTCTGCGGAAAGTGTCAGGTGATACAACAATGTACAAAACAAATATCGCATCATGCAAACACACTTCTTCCAATCAGACTCTGTAGGTTCTCAAACTCTCAAGGCAAGAATAGTAATCGTTGGATGGATATCCAAACGAGCTCTCTTAGAGACATAAAGTCCCGTTGCAGCAGTAATATGAAAGATCTGACAGTACTCAGTATTGAGTAACTTTCCTTTACGAGCTTCCAGTAAATCGTTACCAGCTGGTGTTTCCTGCTTTGAATCCTTATTGAACTTGATAGGAAACTCCTACTAACGACGGTAACGGTGCAGTCATTCTCACACCGTCAACCGCACACATGTGTATGCGCGTGATCGCGCATTCGATTGAGACGAATGAATGAATGAATCGTAAAATTTGTCTCATTCGACTACAATAGACCGCCGCCCATCATCGATCGCGCATCTGAATTTTTAAAAATTCTTGTCATTGTCACAACAACAATAATACTGTAATCTGTAATATATAGGCCTCTGCGTGATAGAAACCATCTTGCTCAGCCTTTTGACGTCTTGACTACAATACAACACTACATACATTGGAGAGCAGGAGTCAAGCCAGTCAGTTCAATCAGTTCAATCAGTTCAATCATTCAGGCATCAGTGTCATGGTTTTCTCAGTGAAACAAGAAAAACGAATCAACGAACTTGTTGAGTTCCAAAAGGAACATGGCCATTGCCATGTACCGTGCAAGACTGCACTAGGAAATTGGCTCTCACATCAAAGGCGGGAATACAAGAAATGGAAGACTGGAGAGAAAGCATCTTGTATTACACAAGAATTGGTGACGAAGCTTGAAAGAATTGGATTTGAGTGGGGTGGCAGGAGGGAGAGAAATTGGAAGCTCCGAATCCAAGAACTTATCCAATTCAAAAGGGAACACGGACATTGCAATGTGCCTCAATATTATTCAGAGAACAAGACCTTAGGGTTCTGGGTACACAAGCAACGTTCGGAATACACGCTTTGGAAGAAGGGTACGACTTCCTGCTGGATGACACAAGAGCGCGTTGGTGAGCTTGAGAATCTTGGATTTGTGTGGGACGCCCAGAAGGCTGCTTGGAAGACTCTAATACAAGAGCTGGTAGCCTTTAAGGAACTTCATGGCCATTGCAAAGTTCCCCAAAAATTCCCAAGCAATCAACTTCTTTCTACCTGGGCCAGAAACACTCGAAATCACTACAAGAAATACCAGAAGGGAAATGAATCGCGGTTGACAAAGGAGCGATTTCTTGAGCTCAAGAGTCTTGGATTTGATGGAGCCAGTATTGATAGCGATGGCGATGACGATGAGGAAATGTCGTCTAATGATTTAGTATGCGAGACACGCAAAACACCGCGAATGACCTCTGGAACTACAAAGAAGGGTGGCAGCAAAGCTCCTCGTTACAACACTGGAGGCTTTGGGCAAGTTCGAGGAGGACACGAAACGGACGAGCGCCAAGAAGCGGCATCCGGGTCAAGCAAAAAGCGAAAGACAATGGACCAGACCAATGCAACCAAAGTGGCCAAGAACAAGGGAACTGCAGTTCTTGGTAACCCTTTTAAATTATTGGAAGGACTCACCAGAAAGGAGCTACTTCACCAACTTGCTCAAGAGAGGAAAGCAAATTTGGCGTTGAGATATCAGCTGCAACAATCTAAAAAGGAAAGGGACTTACTTTTGCAGACGAACATGGAACTGGAGGAGTGCAATGCAACTATCCGAGAATCTCATAGGACCGCCATGCTGGAAGAAAGGGATCACCTTCGACGGGAAATCAAGAGACGCAAGGTGGCCGAAGGTCGTTTGTCAAAGGCGAAATGCCGCTGATCCACTTTTTAATAGATCAATCATTAGCAGCATACGGGCAAAATCATAGGTGGATCAGTAGTCTTAAGCTTTGAAATGCGACCTTCTATTGTCGGTTTGAAAGAGGTGGTGATTATACGTGATTCTCGAACGGAGGAAAGACATTGGGATAACAATGACACGCAATTCTCATCTGTCACCATCAGAGGACGACCATTCATCTTTTGATTTCACTGTTCCTCGAAAAATGCCGCAAGACCCGATACTAAACTCATCAAGGATTAGCCTCTGTTGCTACTTTTGCTGTCATCCAATTGTTTTGCAATGTTCTTCAACAATTGGTGGATTTGTATTACATCATTCTGTACCGACACGAGTAGACGGAGCAAGACCATCGTCTCTTGCATTTGCAGTTTTCTAATATAACAATTCCCTTTGTCTATGTGAGGAGTTTATAAGTAAAGGTTTTACATTTGCGTGCCCTTTGAGCACAGGATCTCAAGCGACATCTAGTAGATGCAATGCCGGTCGTAAATTCGGATTGATTCATTCCTGCTTCCTCGTGTAGCAGCCAGCGAGATTGATCTAATGATCATCGTGCGTCAATTCCAAATTGCCAATTGCTTGTACTTCATTTCGGATTTGCAATGCTAAGGAGCATACAGGAATACCAATATCGTAAGGCTGAGTCTTTTGTCCCCGAGTGATAATGTCCGATGCCGCTCCGTCCTCACCAACCGACACAAAAAGGGCATTTTCTCCCTCCAGCTTGTCTCCCATGAAAGGTTGTTCAATCAAGTGGCCAATTTCTTCAATTCCAAGCATAGCGTAACCAGTAGCAACAGTGATAGGAAGGACCAGCCACTTGTTGACTGTTCCAACTAGAGCAAGTGGGAGAGTGCCAATCCACAAACTCAAGAAACGAGAAGTGTGTCGTGAGTAACTCCAGGGAACAGGAGTGCGAAGAATCTTCTCACAGTTGGCAAACTTGGTCATCAAACTGTCAATCATGTGGGATGCAGCGCTGTGATGAGCAGATTCGATCAGGTTCCATTTTGCCGTCTTGGATTCCCTTTCCGCCTCGTGGAGGGTCTTTTGCATTTCAGTACATAGCAGCATCCCAGGCCAGGCGTGATTGACCTGGTAATCCATATCTGTCTTTGGGAGCAACTTGGCAGCGAATTCGGGGAGACGTGCAGCTCCTCCCAGACAGAGATGCATCAAGGTCAAAGGATAAGCAGCAAGTAGTTCCATAAATTTTTCGGTAGCTTTTGGGGAGCTTGGTCCAATATGAGTCTTCATCATCATTGCCAAATTGCGGCAGGTTGCCTTGGTATTGGTCCAATGTCCTCGTGCTTCCCAGAATCGAGCGTATGCCGAGTTGGTTCGGTAAGAAAGCAAAAGACCGAGGGATGATGCCACTAGGGAATGTCCAGCCATTGGGATTCCGATCCAGGGGTAGCGTTCGTGCGCAAGGATAATCAGGATACACCCAACGACATTTGTCAGAAGATGGAATCGCACACGCTTCAAGATATAAGAGGTTGGAGTCAGCAACAAGTTGATCAACCAATCATTGCTGGAATACCGCAATCCGGAATCCAATTGTGGTCGTCTCCTTCGGATGGGCTGCAAGAATTCATCGGTTGGTTCGGTGATCGGCACAGTGGCCTTCAACGAGGTGGATGTGCTGGATGAAAGAGAATTATGCACAATCTGTGACGTGGGTGAAGAAAATTGTTGAGCGGTTGATGGACGGTGGGCAGTGGATGCCCTGCTGAAAGCGCAGCAGTGCATCAGAATGAGCAAAAGCCCTGCAACTGAAAGCCTTGTGTTATTCATCTTCACTAAGATTCCGATTGTAAAGTCAATTGAATTCAGTGATATCGTTCGTCAACGAAGGCTGATTTGACAATAGGATATGACAGCACTTGGTGGATTCCAGCGATGTGTACCTACGTTTTTTTTTTGGCTTCAAATTTTTTTTTGTGTGTGACGTCAGTGAATCATCAAAACATCTTTAATGTCGGGGTTCAACAGTAATCCCCAGAATATATAATCCCCATAATAAAATACCCCCCGACCCATTTGGATCTCTCATCCCATCGGTACCGGTACCACCTGGTACCCTGGTACCGGTACCGGCGGTACTGGCGTTCGGAGATCGCTTTGGTTCAAAAGATAAATTTTAGAGCCCCTCATTCCGGTGACTTTGTTTTCTCCCATTGCAAAACGACATTCTCGGCATTTTGCTCAGTTCGAACAAGTTTGTCGGTCCACTTTTGAACTTCAGCGAATCCTCGTCTCGGTACCTGCTAGCTATCTTCTATGTACATCATAAAAGCATTGGTACTTGTACCACTTTCACTAGCTAGAGCTGCTACACGCACTACCGTATACCCCCGTTTTCGCATCGAAGCGCCCCACCTTGTTGCTTAAAAAAAAGGGTCACGGCTTTCTTGAAGTTTCGCGAGGATACCAAAAGTCTAACTGGACTACTTTGCGTTTCGCGAATGAATCCTTCACAGCCACAAGAACGATTGGACTGGGTTGTACCTAAAATGTTTCTAAAAAGCGTGACAGCTGTTCAGAAAATGGAGAAGTACTGAGTAAGCTTTGAGTTGTCCGAGGAGGAGAACAGGTGGCTGGAATGCATTGCTTTTTGGCGAGTGGAACAATTATAATATCACACTCCGCTTTCTGAACAGATGTCAAGCGACACGAGACGAATGATAAACTCTCGACTTAACGCATTCACGTGGAAAGTGCAAAGCTTCACTTTGAGAAGAGTTTCACTTAACGCATTTACGTGGATCTCTCTACAGTTTCGTTTTACACAACTTCAAAAGTAGAACAATAAGGCTCCGAAGCCAGATGGTCTTAAAACCGCAGGCAGAGGCCACAGACACTGTTTTGCCATAAAATTTCAAAACGAGAACTTTTGATACTGCACCCATCTACTCATCATTCGAAAGAATACAACAACAACCACAAGAACAACAATGCCCTGCTTTCAAAGTCATTCGATTCCATTGACAAGTATCAGCTCTGGTATGAGTCCTCCGCCTCCTCCCTTTCGTTTGCCTTCGAATATTCCAACATCAGAAGGAAATGGTGAAGAGTCGGAAAGGAGGAGACTTCTTGCCATCATCGATGCCGCGCTTGCCATCCTAGAGGAAGATATTTTTGACGACAATGGAACGGAAGAATCCCAAAGACAGTAAGACTGTGGCTACGGGGCATCGATCGTGATGCCCAGGTCCAACAGAACACAGGACTGCTACTATGCTACAGCATTACGCAAAAATTCGAACAAGCGCGAAACACGAGTAAATCATCCTCGCTAACTGAGAGCTTGTATTCCTGTTTTTGGATGCCATATACTCAGTGCAAAGAGCCTTGACTTTGCCAAGTGATCATCTTGTCCACTGAAGACTATACATTCAAATTTTCCATTTCATGGAACTGCTAGCTATAAGAGACCATAGATGTTCCTTCTTTATGCATGATCTTATCTTAACTCTACTGTAGTAATCTATCGTCTCCAGTCTTTCGTTTGCCGGCAGCTCATGCATTAGCAGTCTTGGCCTGCTGAGTCTTGGCCTGATCCAGTGACAGAAAAAACGCCGTTTATGTACACGTTCTAAAGAATGACCCATCAGGACAATGGGTACCACTTTTGATATCCCTCTTCGCATGAGACTCACCTTTTAGATATATCTACAGTGCAGATAATACTTTACAAGTGTTAATATGCATTTATCATTGCACTTCGTTGTTTCTACCTACGTAGGTACAGTATAGACTTAGCTTTTGGATATATCTACCAGGACAGATAATACTTTACAATTGATAATTAGCATTTATCATTATACTTTTTGTTCGTATCTACGTAGGTACAGTACAGTTCTATTTCAATTAGAATGTACCACGACCGGCAGCATAGTCCTTTTCTCTCTGCCGCCGTTCCTTTCTCCTCTCGTAGGATGCTTCTTTCCGAATGGAACGAATTTCCTTGCGGGTCAACCACAGATTGGAACGAATCCTCCGAGGATAGTCACTTGCCGCAAATACACTCACCACTTGCACTTCCGTATCAAAGTTCACCTTGGGCTTAAATTGTGGAGAATGCAAGTTGGAAAGATCTGGACAGGAATGTGCCCGGTAGAACTCTGGCAGCTCCTGTAGCGTTGGCAATCCTCCAAAGGAACGGCGTCGGAGTGGTACCAACTCATTTTCCACAGGTCGCTTCTTTGGTTCTCGTAAGCAGCTTGGCAGCTCATCTGATTCTTCCTCTTCCAATGGTCGTAACGGCAATGCGGATCGAAATTGGGTTGGCAACGACCGCCGTGCCAGAGTGCTAATCGGACTGGGGCCATCAATGTCTTGCATCAGCAATTTATCTTCCTCCAGTGTGATGTAATACAAGTCACATTCATCCGAGTTCATGCCATCTTCAAACAGAATTGGAGCCAAGAAACCTTCTTCGTCGTCCATGAGGTACCATTCATTAAAGTATTCCTCCCCGTATTCCTCGTTGTCACTGACATCTACACCAGCGAAAGCTCGAGCAATCAGATCGTCGTCGTCTTGGCCCGAAAAGTCGAACTCCTCTTCTTGCCTGGCATCTTGATATTCTTCCACGTCATCCAAATCATCGTCATTATCATTTTCTTCATTGTCCACATCGCCGAGATCGTCATCGGCCAACAGTCGCGTATTGAATCCAGAAAGTCGAGTATTGAATCCAGGCGAAGGTGGTGCGGTCTCATCGTTTTCGGGAATATCAATGTTTGGATGTTCGTCATAGTTACTACTATTGCTATCATCCGGATTGTCTTTATGTTCTAAATTCCCACCGTTACTGTTGTCATTATCATTATGACTGCTGTTTGTTCTTTGCTGTTGCTGATGATGGTCATTTGATGATGATTCATCAGCGTTGCTGTGAATTCCATCATTATTATTATTCGCGTCCTCGTCGTCTTGTAAATCCTCTTCATCGAGAAGTGCTGGTGGAGGAAGACCAGCGGTTGTTGATGTTGTTGTGGAATCCTGCTGTTGGTTCGAAGCCCTTATTCGAAAGCTTCTCTTTAATGCCGCAACTGGTGACCACATTTCAGCAGTAGATCGATTGTTTGAATTGCTGTTTGCATTTGCATCCGCTAGATCCTCGTCATTGAGAAGCGCTGGTGGAGGAAGATTCGCGTCGTCACCGGACTTTCGGAAGCTCTTCTTGATTGCTGCGACTGGTGACCACATATTATTCTATATGCTGACTGTCTGATATAGACTGATTGATTGATTGGCTGATTCCCTATTCTTTTGGAATTAATGATCAACGGTCATCATTCATTCCACTTCTAAGACTATTGATTATATTAAAGATTACAAAAAGCTGTGGGCTGCTGCGGCAACGTATGATGTGTGATGGTAGTCTTTCTTTTCTTCCTGCGTTTTTGATAAAATTGGTACGATCGCACTGGCATTATTCGATGGGTCCGTTGGGAAACCGGGAAAGGGAATACTCAAAACGGGGATTTCATTGGGTGGAACCATCCGATGTACTGAAAGAGTCTCAAGTCCTTTATTTTGATGACAGATACTGTAGGAGGGAAAGCCTCACTTACTAATACTCCAATTTGAACTGCTGAATATAAACTGCACGGCTGGCGGCGGGGAATGTACGGTAGTAGCAACAGCATTCCTATGACATTCTGCGCATTTCGTCTACTACCTACAGCACTTATGAATGTGGACATAATTCAAGAAATATAATACTCACAGTAGTAGTGCATTCTGCATTCTTTCCTAATCCTATAACCCTATACTAATAATTGACTTGGTATTATACTCAACACCAATATATACGCATTGTCCCTTGTTCCAAATAAGTATAAAAGTAAGCCAAGTTGTTTGATATTCACCATCGGTTGTTTCAATGATGTCTCCCCTATACTGCGAGCAGTCGTCGCTGGTCATTGTCGTTGGACAAACAGAAGCAGAAGCAGCAGCAGCAGCAGCAGTAGTCTAACACCAAAGGGCCGGACCTGTTTCAAATTCTTCGTCACCTTCCAAAAGGGTTGTTTCATCATCGTAAATCGATGCCGAGTCTTCGTCAAGGTCAAACGATTTCTCCAGGACTGTCATGACAGGTGAACTGGGCATGTCACCAGGAGTAGCAGTAGTAGAAGCAGTAGGATCCTTGTCCACATCCTTCTTGTCGCCATCATCGTGGGGCATGGGCTCCTCAGATGGCATGGTACTGGTTGGACTTGAAGAATAAGAAGATGATGACGCATTCGGACCATCGACAATCGACTTGACAGTGGAATCTAGGGTCTCTGGATCCAACACCACCAATCGAAGACTTCTTTTTTTTCGAAGCAATTTAATGGCTTGCTTCATGGTAGTAATCTTGGTGCCATTGATTCCCCACAAAATATGACCTTCAGCAATCTCGGGATACATTCCATTCGGATTGACCTTGGTGATCTCTACCACTTCTTGGATTGCCCGCAGTCCATTGGGCAAGGCGAGTGGAAATTTGGTCATGTTCAATGCTAGGCCTGCCTTTTCGTCCTTGGTAGTCTTTTCGACTGGATAGTATTTGCCATAGGTCTCGACAGGAACAGGCCCAGGCGGTGCCAACTTGACCAAACGATTGGCTTGTTCTGCATTCCGAACCCAATGGTCACAGATCTTACTCACTCGCAAGCCTGGAATAATGTCAATCTTTTTCATTCTTCCTCCCTTGACAGTCCAAATGAATACCGGATGAACCGCGTTGCCATCATCTGATTTCGGACCACCGAAAGTGATTCCAATGTTGCTGTTTATTTCTTTCTTTTCTAATACCCATCGGACGGTCATCTTGGGGTTCGTTTTTGGTGTACCAGTATGTATCTGCTGCTGCTTGGTGTTCTTCTTCTTTTATGATGCTTCTGCTGCGGAAGGAATGGTGGGATTCAGTACTATTTATATAAATGTGTGTTTTTGCGTTGAGTATATGCCAAAGTTCCTAGTCTAACGGTGGATGGGTCTTTGATAAGAATGATGATGAGTCTTAATACCGGTAGGAGAAGATGGTGTCATGCATGAAATATCAAATTCGCTTGCCCGGCGGGAAGAAAATTTCTGAATTGCCAAACTTTTTCCGTCCTTCCACCGTGGAAACTCCGAAATTTGTTCGCCAAAAATTCGAAAATATCCGCCGAATTCCGGATTCCGCCAATCAAGATTTTAATAATCATTGTGTAATAATGACATACCGGCGGTACCTGGTACAAGGTACCGGTACTGCAATCAATCAGCATCCTTTCAAAAGATCCAAAAAGTCAAAGCATCAAGGTTCCATCATCTCTTATTTCACTATTCATAATATACCTACCATACCTACTATACCTACTATACCTACCTACAAATGATGATGCCAGCTTTCACCCAAGCCCTTTCCATACTTTTCCTTGTCCTTGTTGTGCATCAGCCAAATTTCACCGCTGCCTTTCATGTCCCAGAAGGTTCCACGACCACCACCGCCGCAGGTATGATTAGCAGAGGAGGAGCTACCGAAAAGGGAGTTCTTCCGCCCGGCAGCACATCATCACACAGATTCTTCAAATCACGGAAACCTTCCACCACCACTACCTTGAAGCTCTCTTCTCAGCAGCCTGCTGGTGGTGGTGGTGGTGATGGTGGTGGTGGTGGTGACGCGATTACTGTCATAGATCGGGACTTTCGAGTTGCCAGCATTTTCTTGTTGGGCGCCGTTGGATTTGCCCAAATTCCCATTTTGAAATTCGTACTGGCTCCAGTCGCGGGTCTTTTGGGAGTCTTGTTTTTAGTACAAACCTTTCGGTTGCAATTTGTGTGCGACGCTCAAGCCTTTGAACTTTTGAACACTTCCAAGGCATCAGGAGAAAACATTCTGGTGGGTGGACAAAATCGATGGACGTATAATTCTTTTGTGAATTACGAATTCTTTCCCAAGGGCTGGATTGATCAACCACAGGGACCTATCTTGGTGTATTTCAAAGAAACTCAAACTCCAAAGGATCAATGGGAAAAGGGTCCAGGTGCTGCTGCAAATTCGGAACAAGCGAAAGAAAAGGGAGCGGTTCCTGGGCAAGCTCACTTTTTCCCTGCCTTGTGCAACACTCAACAATTGCGAGCGGAATGGGAAAAGAGAGGTTGTTCCAAACTTGAATAATAAAAAGAATATTAAAAAAAAGAGGATTAAGGGAATCAATGTGCAGTTGGTGCGAAGGAAGGAAGAAATGAATGCAAGTGTGAAAGAATGAATGAATGAATGAATCAGTCAATCAATCAGACACCGTCAAAACATTTATCTTTTGAAAGAATATTGAAGAATCCGTTTCAAAATGACAAATGCACGCATCAGTATGTACGGTATGTGTTGGATCAGAGCGAGGAATGATGATGATGCCGCACTATCAATACATCGAAACCTGAGGACCACATCATAGTACAGTAGTCACTTCTTTGTTTCTACTTAGCATATCTGAACATCACGACATACAAAGTATTACATTCCATGAAGATACGGTACATGTATATGAAATGTATAATCGATCTACGATCTAAGAAAGGTACATCTTTTGTTTTATTCTAGTGTGTATCTTTATATGTTAAAAATATATCACAACAGATCTATGTATGCATCATTTTCATGCATTTACTTGAGGTGTCCAATGATTGGAAGATCGGCATCATATCCCAATGGGATGATGAGCTCGTGAACCATAAGTCCAAGGATTCCGAATTGAGCGGCACGTCCGTTGTTCAATTCAATGGCACGCTTTTGAAGCTTGGTCTCTTCATCAAAGTCATCCCATCCAAAGTCAATGTATCCGTTACGGAAGTCACCTGGGAATTCGGCCATTCCTGGGACCTCACGCATAAAGGCGCACTCCAAGATACCAACAGTGGCGATCATCTGAACGATTCCTGCGGTAGGAATGTGGTTTGGTCCAAAGATGGCGGCAACTCCGTTGGGGAACGAGTCGAAACTGTCTCCGGCGTAGTTGATGGATCCTGGAAGGTGGATTCCGGCACGGGTGGTGATTTGACCCAAGAAGGCCAACATACAGATGCGTCCGTGCTTCAATTCGACGTAACGAAGACGTTCGAATCGCTCTTCGGTGGCATCTCCGGAGAGCATACCGAAAGGATCGAAGAATCCAAGTGGTGGCTGAACACCAAGCTCGCTCTCGAAAGCATTCAAGGAGCTGGTCTTGGTGGCTGCTTGTTGGGCAGGTGCGAAGGCACTGGCGGCGGCGATAAGGGATGCAAGGACGGCGGTCTTCATGTTGTTTGACTTTGACTTCTTGTTCCAAAAAGAAATTGTGAGAAGATGGATTCTTCTGCTTTTTGGGAGAAAAGATTCGTGCAAGTTTCAAGTTGCAGTTCGGCTTGCGGAACATGGATACCGGTACAAAGTACGGCAGCAAGTGTACCACGTCATAAATACGATCGTACGTAGGATATGTACTGATGGATGAAGTTCTTTGGTGAAGTGATCGTGGGAGTCGATTACCATTCACGATTTACAGTAAATTCATTCAACAACTATCCGACGAAACCCTTCAGCTGAGCTCGCAATTATAGACCTACCAGCATTCTGACTTCAGGTAGATTGGACATTTCTAGACAAGGCTAAGGGGTGGAGAAGCTACTCTAAGTGATCTGGTAAACTCGAAATCTTGGTCGGAAAACGGACAGATTACGCCGTTTTTACGAACGACAACACGTTTTGCGCTGGTACACGTTCTACATGTTAACGGACATAATTGGTCTTAAACTCGTACCAGATAGTCTATATTTAGTGAATGGCCCGCTGTGATTGGTTCAGACCACAAGTGGGTTGTTTTTTAGTGATTTGACTAACTCTCATTGGCTGAAAACCTACTAAAAGTTGCATCTGCATAAGACCCGTCGACATAGAGACAGAAACTCATGGACCAATGAAAACAAATGGACGACACAAGTGGACCAAAAGACCAAACACATATGGACCAGAGAACACATATGGACCAGAGAACACATATGGACCAGAGAACACATATGGACCAGAGAACATGAATGGACCAAATAACACAAAATGACCCAGTAATCCGAACCTCTGGCCTACCAAATCTCAACAAATCTGGAGGCAGTCTTGCCTACCTATTTGGAAAAAGACTGGAAAGTTGGGCAGTTGGTTTGGATACCATATCTACTTCCGGGTCTCCTTCTTCTTGACACCAGTACCGGTAATTGATAATGGTAATGGATCTTCAAGTCTATCCTTGGCGCAAAAATCCTCGCTGGGAAAAGCATCTTGATTACTACAATGAAGAACTGTCTGGGCTCTCCGGCTTTGGAAGTGGAAAAGGCTCATGGCGGCGGATGCTGTAGGAGCAGTAGTGGACAACAACAAAAACAGCAACAACAAGTCCCCTACTACTACTTGTAGTATTCCATCCACCACCAGCACATCCATGGAGGACGATTCCAATACTAGTACTGTGAGCACTACTCCGCGCACCTCGGCTACGGTCACCTTGAATCCACCCACGACCTTGCCCTTGACCCAGTCCATTACTAGGGATTCCTGGTGTTCCGAATGGATGAGTCTTTGCAAGTCGCGGGGATTGCCATGGAACAATAATCATCGGCGATGGGCGGCTCCAGCAGCACCGCTTCTGGAACTACCGGAGGTACTCGTTACAACGAGTACGCATAGTAAGTACGAAGGCAAGCTGATGGAATCAATCGGGGAAGTCTCCCATTCGTGCCTACTCGAATGCACCATTCATCGAGTTGTTTGTCAACAATGCTTCCCAAGGAATACTGCCCGTTGCGACCATGATCCTAGGCGAAGGGTCGTATGCGGAATTCGAAGACATGGAATGGAAGGCTTATTGTTCTCTTGCAGCAGTTGCTCGGATGGAAGAAGATGACGACGCTGCAGTATCCACAGAAGTCACAGCTTGTGGTCCTCCACTCGCTTTGAAACTGAGTATCCATTGCTCTTTGCCTCACACTGGAATAGGAAGTGCCCTCTTTTTGAATGGTCAAGATGCGGCACTGATCCGAGCCTCCTCCATCGTCGATGCAACTGGGCAGGTGGTACTACACATGGTCAATAGTCAAAATGTCTCCTTTGCCATTTTGAGCGGACCAGGAGAGATCCAAGGAAGTGTGCGGCAATCCAAAATCATAGGAAGCCAACAATGCTCCGTGGCACATTGCACTACATGGATTGGTCCGAGCGGTAGTCCGTGTGCTAGTTTGTCGGAATATGAAAAGGCCAGGCTGCAAGCAATTAATGGTGAGGATGACTTTGCCGAGGATCTATTGTATTGGTGGAATCGTTGGAGTCTCCCGCCAGTTGGGACTGCACCAAGGGCAACACGCCAAGAATTTTTCATGCCTACTCGAATGCGGCAATCATCGAATTGTATGTCAACAATGCTTCCCAAGGAATACTACCTGTTGCGACCATGGTGCGAGGTGAAGGGTCGTATGCAGAATTCGAAGACGTGGAATGGAAGGCTGGTTCTCTTGCAGCAGTTGCTAGGATGGAAGAAGATGGCGACGCTGTCGCCTTTACAGAACTCATGAATTGTGGCGCGCCAGTAAGTATCAATTGCCCTCCGCCTCACATTGGAAGCGGAAGTACCCTCTTTTTGGATGGCCAAGATGCGGCACTGATCCAAGCCTCGATCGTTGATGCAACCGGCCAAAATAGTCAAAAGGTTTCCTTTGTCATTGTGAGTGGACCAGGAGAGATCCAAGGAAGTGGAAGTGGCAATTCAAAGCCATCCAACAATACTCCGTGGCATATTGCGTATCATGGATTGGTCCGAGCGGTGGTTCTATAAAAAGGCCATACTGCCATCAATTGACTGACCATCGGGATTGACCTTGAATCGCAATGAACAAGATATTGTATTGGAGGCTAGTAGTTCGCCACATTCATCATACCTTGGTTATATATTGTCCCTGCTGCCACAACTCCCCACGGAAGTAAGCAAGAACGATCAAGTACAGCATTGAAAGATGGAGGTAACAGAGTACCGATTCCGAGGTGAAGAAGGAGAAGAAGTGCCAGAAAGTGTCGAAATATTGACTTTCAATCCAGGCATTCAGGTTGTGCCGGAGCAACTGTGCTATTAATATGAGTTCATACGGGTTACTACTCTGCCCAAAGGACTAACCAAGATTTGTGATAGTGCTTTTCATTATTGCGAAAACTTGTTGGAAATCAAAATTTGTACCACTGTGGAGCATATTGGTAGATTTGCATTTCAGCACTGCCATCAGCTGACGAACGTAGAGTTTGAACAGTCATTGTCATCTTCTCCCCATCAGCTACGGACAATTGGAAAATACGCCTTTGCATCATGCGGCTCTCTGCAACGAATCAGGATTCCTTCGTCGGTGAACATAATTGGGGAAAATGCCTTTGAGTCCTGTAGTGCCATGATAGTAGCCGATTTATCTGCAACGGCCATCATTACAGAGATGAATTGTTTCCCAGAATGTTTCGCCCTACAAACTGTGAGTTTACCAAAGACATTGGAGCGTATTTCTCAGCTGGCATTCTATGAATGCGGATCTTTGGTGACAGTGACAGTGGCAGTGACAGTGACAATGCCCCTTCTTCATTCACAGCCGATCCATATTGGCGATTCATCATTTGTGCACTGCGATTCTCTTGCAAACCTTGTCATTCCAAAAGGGTCCATTTTCGATCCAGACGCTTTCTACCCTTTTGGAGGTTGCACACTTTTTGAAGATCGCTTTGGTAAAGATTCGGAAAGCATTATCGCAGGATTAATGTCCCGGTTCGACGACTTTCCACTTCACAAGCGTTGTTACGACCATTCCTCGACCACTGCTCAGGAGCTCCTGTTACTTTTGATCGAAGACCAAGGTGCTATGGAAGCATCATCCCTGGTAGATGACTTTGGAATGACACCACTTCACGTCTTCTTTTCTTCGACTATTGACCCAAGACAAGACTTGCTCCAAGTCCTTCTGGAAAAGCTGCCATGCTGTATTCTAGACTTGAAGGACGCCAATGACAAACGACCGCTGGACTACCTGATGGCCAACTGGACTGAGGAAAACAAGATACTATTGCAAATGACACTGCAAAAGTGGATGTTGGATCCATTTGATCGTTGGGGGATTGCATCCTGAAAAAAAGGCATGAACAGTAGAATGCAAGCTATACTTGCCGAAACTGAAATGGATCAAACGGCACCTTTGTGCACAGAAGCATATGCTGCTTTTGCACGATACGAAGCAATGGAAGCCACATCGATATTGGAGATGACTCTGTGGAAAGGAAAACTAACGTCTGGCTGGAGTAATCATGATACTACCAAGAGACAAGCTCTGGATCGAGACAGTTGCCGAGTTGTCTGTGGATCAGATGTTATACTTCCAAGGATAGTGCAATTCTTGGACATTCCAATGGGTTCTTCTGCCTAACCTCTATTGAATCTGATTGATTGAAATGTGAAATTATATCCCCAATGAGCAATTTCAATCGCCTATGAATAATCATAATAACAATCTTTAAAATTTTAATCAATGTTGGTTGAAGGTCTAAAATACAGTCGTGTGGGTCAATGCACATCGACGAATTCGTGAGATATAAAAGGTACTATATGAACAATGATTGTGTTTTTTTCAATGCACACGCATTAGATCATCGACATGGTCGCCCCGCACGGATCGCAGTAAGCAAGAACAACCACGTACAGCATTGAAAGATGCGGATGAACGTCTACCAATTCCAAGGTGACGAAGGAGAAATAGTTCCAACCAGCGTTCGAGAGCTGACTTTCAATCCAGGCATTCCAGTTGTACCTCCGCAATTGTGCTACTCTCGTGAGCTTTTGCGGCAAGTAACTCTGCCGGAAGGATCAATCAAGATTTGTGATGGTGCCTTTGGATATTGCAAAAGCTTGTTGGAAATCAATATTGTTTGCACGGTAGAATCCATTGGGGATGAGGCATGACAGAATTGTTCCCTCCTGGAGAACGTAGAATTGGAATGTTCCTCGTCGTCGTCGTCGTCGTCGTCGTCCGCCGCCCATAATCAGCTAAAGACAATTGGTCACGCCGCCTTTTTGAATTGCCCTAAATTGCAACAAGTGAAGAAGATCCCCTCGTCGGTGAACATGATTGGCATACGGGTCTTTGCCCACTGCCAAGTCTTGGCAGAAGTTGATCTATCTGCAACGGCCATCAAGGAGATTCCCATGTGTGCGTTCGAAGCTTGTTCCTCCTTGCAAACAGTGAGCCTACCAAGGTCATTGGAGCGTATTGGTCACGCTTCATTTATGGAATGCACCGATTTGGTTACAATCATTGTACCCCTGGATTCGAAGCAACCAATCGAGATTGAAGAAACATCCTTCCAATTCTGCAGATCTCTTGCAAACCTTGTGCTCCCACGAGGGTCCACCAAAGTCAGCATGGCAAGGTATAACGCGTCACCTGGTCCTCCACTATTACAAGATCGCTTTGGTGAAGATATGGATAGTGTTATCGCAGGATTAATATCCCGGTTCGATGACTACCCACTTCACAAGTGTTGTTACGACCATTCCTCAACAACCACTACTGCTCAGGAGCTCCGACTTTTGATCGGCAAAGACCAAGGTGCTATGGAAGCATCATCACTTGTGGATGCTTTTGGAATGACACCATTTCACATTCTCTTTTCCACCATTAGTCCAAGGCGAGATCTGCTTCAAGTCCTTCTAGACAAGTTGCCATGCAGTGGTATCATTCTAGACTGGAAGGATGCCAATGGCAAACTGGCGGTGGACTACCTATTATTGAGTAACTTTTGGAATTCAGATGACAACAAGATGATACTATTTCAAATGACGATTCAAGCATGGATGGTGGATCGATTGGAGCGCTGGGGTGCGACCGTTTGGCGAAGTAGAATGATTTCCCTCATTGACAATCTTCTAGTAGTACTACTACTACCAGCGGAAGATCATGACAAGGAACGTAGAATGACTGCTTTCAGGGAGACATTATGGTCCACCTGGAAACGGTATGAAGCTGTGGAAAGCACATCCATATTGGAGAAGGCCTTGTGGAAACGAACACTGAAATCTAAATGGAACAATGATAATGCTTTGGATCGAAACGGTTACCGAGTTATCTGTGGAGCTGGCTTTGTAATTCCAAAGGTATTGCAGTTCTTGGACACTCCTATTGGTTCGTCCCGACGCATGCAGTAGTCTCCGTTGAATGAATGAAGCTGATTGATGATATGATTGGCATACGAAACGATAGTCACTTTGAATAATCATATACTAATTATATAAAATATAATAAACGGATTACTCAATGAGGCAACAACAGTCTTTTTTAATTGCTGCATCTATTATCGCTCTCGTTGCTTTCCCTTCCCTAAATTCCCTAGTGCTGCAACTTTGACTACATTTCCTCCAAAACTACTACTTGACGGCGATGACATATCGTATACACAAGTACTGACTGCGTATCACAATACTTTGTAAATACCAGTACATACATACATGGATACATACATGCAGCCAAGACAAACAAGGTATCCATCAAATCAGATCACATTGTTACCACGCTCCTACCTTGATTGCGGTGGCGGATATTGCTGCATATATTGTTGTTGCTGCATATATTGTTGTTGCATGTGTTGTTGTTGCTGCTGCTGCTGCATGTGTTGTTGCTGCTGTTGTTGTTGTTGTTGCATATGTGGTGGCATCATGTGCAAGGGCACGGTAGGTACGTGAACTGGAATGACAGCCCCCGGAGGAATTCCTTCGGGGACTTGCACTTGAATGGGGTATCCACCACCCATGGGTGACTGCACCAGCATTTGTCGATTGGGTGGCAGAAATGGAGGAACTTGCACTTGGATCGTAATGAATCCAGGGGGTGGCGGTGGTGGCATTTGCTGGTGTTGATGATGATGTTGATGCTGCATATTATGCGGAGGGGGAGGATAGGATGGGGGGTTTGGATTTGGCTGTGGGGCCGGCATTTGAGATGGTGATTTCAATGCTGCCATTAGATTGACACCCGTGTTGCTTTCCTTGACTGGTGGTGGTAGTGGCGGTGGTAGTGGCGTCGTCGTTGGTGGTGGCGTTGGTGGTTGCGGTGGTTTTGGTGGAGTCTTTGCGACAGTGTTAGTGCTAGTGCTAGTATTAGTGTTAGCCTTTGCTGCTGCTGCTGCTGTATCAGTAGCAGTAGCAGTATTGCCACCACCAACAGCATTGGCATAGGAAGTAGGAGCAGGACGAGCAGGTGGGATCTGCTTGATGGGTTTTGGCTGATTCGGTGAAAACGCAGGAATTGGAAGCTTGGAAGCATCAGGTGAGGACTGAAAGGCTGACCATGCAAAGTTGGTATCTGGTGCTGGACGTTGTTCCTTGTTCTTTTGATTGTTTCCCTTTTGTTGCTTTTTGTTTTTATTCTTTCCCTTGTTTTGATTCTGCTGTTGATTCTGCTGTTGATTCTGCTGTTGATTCTGATTCGCATTCTGATTCTGCTGTTGCTTTTTGTTTCGGTTCTTGTTGTTCTTCTTTCCCTTATTGTTCTTTTGGTTTTGGTTTTGGTTATTGTTGTTGGAAGCGTTGGAAGCGTTGGCTGGTCCAGACTTGACTGCATCATTGTTGGAAGCTGAAGGTTGAGCTGCTGCTGCAGCAGCAGCAGAAGCAGCAGCTGCCGCACCATTGATGCCCAACATTCCCTTTAATTGAGCGGTAGCGTCCATGCTTTCTGTTTTATTTTATGAGATACCAAATAGAACCAAAGGACTTGCAAACAAAGGACTTTCTTTTCACTGAGTTGATTGCTTGATTGCTTGATTGCTTGATTGCTTGATTGCTTGCTACAGTATGCTTGGTGATTGGCCCACCGCGTCGTGTCAGCTGTTCTTGGTGTTTGCGTTTTGCATCCCTTTTCAGGCTGGACCCAACGGACCCCAAACATGACTTCATAGATGCCTTTGGAACGTTGAGGAATTATTGAACGACCGTTATTTCAGCAACGGTCCCATTCGTATCGGACGATTGATTCACCCCACGCCATGCCAACTTTTTTTTTACTGAAGCACACTACCTATAAAAAAGGATACTGTGCTGTACCTGCCTGATACACTACGGGGATAGAACGCATCATCTAACGCATCATTGTTAACCATATGAAATGGATCTATTGCAACCGGGAGTAATGGGATTCCGAAGGACAAACTCTGCCTGGCATCCTTCTTCTTTGTGGAACATCCATCCAGCATTTGTTGGCACTAGCACTGTCGTAGACAATCGAAAAGCAAGCCCCCCAAAAGAACATGAAGAAACCAAGTTTGTCTTAAAATTGTGGTGGGTTTTGACATGATCCAAATGTAGACGCAGTTCAGCCATAGGTGCTGCTGAAACATGTTCATGTGTGGCCAAAAGCGCTTGTCTATGGTAGTGTTCAGTGTACCTGAAATCGAACAAAAGAAAGAATATCACTACACACATCCATGGAGCCTACTGCCCTGAAAGAATTCTTCAATTGCACAGCGCACAAAATGGAATCTTTGTCTCCGTATGTATGTATGTATGTATGTATGTATGTATGTATGTATGGCTATACACCTACACCTCGACTACAAGACATCTTGGATAACAAGAGTGGCCGCAACATTCTGCTGGCTCCCTTACGATTTGGAGCGACCGGGCATCAAGGGAAAGAATTCTAGACGCTTGGATGAATGGTATGCCTGTAATTACGACTCCGATTGGTGAAAGCGAGGGAATAGTTTCAAGTTACAAGAAATGATGATGACCTTGGTGGTGCTGTAGAAATGTCGAACCATAGGACAATACACTGTCACAGTAGTAGAAGCAAATAATACACGTTCGTCCGACTATAGTATATGACTCTCTAAAAAATTTATCTATAGAGCACGACGCAATATTCAATATGACCGAACCAAACATGCAAAACTATCATTCATGGAATGGGTCGGGTTCGGAGACGATACGTACTGTGTTGTGTCTGCAACAATTGTTCTGTTGTTTTTCGGAGGAGGAGGAGGAGGATGATGCGGTCTAGTATATGCTCATGATCCTGAATACAATGTGATTCGTATGTTACTTCAATCCAAACTTATTACTCCGTCTTCTTAGTGTAGCGTTTGCAGCAATGAAGCTTCATCTTGAATGCAGAGGAGATTAAGAGATTCTAATAGTCTTCCATACCTTGCTAGATTACCCATGGTGGCAATCATCAATGATATGATGCATATATAATCATCGACGATCATAATCTTCTCCGATCATTCATTATAGTATCATCCGCTCGCATCATGCATCATCGTCCTCGCACTTTTTCAAAATGTACCGGTACCAAACAGTAGTATAATAATAATAATAATAATTGTACAGTATTGTAATAGACCAGCAATACATTGTACTCCTATTCTACATGATGATCTCTACTGTAAGTATCTAAAGTGTGTGTGTGTGTGTGTCGTGTGTAATACGCATGCATGCAAAAAACATGAATGATCGATCAATGTTGATCCGATCACCATGGATCAATGAATGAATGAATGAATGAACCCATGCCAACGATATGGCAATATACTGTAATCACATGCGAGGCAGGTCGTTCACGGTACCCATATATATATAGTCTCCCTCCTCGCTTCTTTTTTCTAATTCTAAAACAAATATAACCGACAAAAACGTGTTGTTGTTGTTGTTGTTGTTTCCACGCACATCGTCATTGTCATCTCTCTAACGGATGCTCTTCCTCCATGTCTTCCAATAATTGCCGATTGTTCCCACCACGGTTGAACCCATAAATCAATTGCAAATCTTTGAGACGATTTCCACCTCGTTGACGAGCCAATTTGAACTGGTCTTCCTTGAGCGCACCCGAAACGGAGCGTTCCTTTCGGTCATACTGCCCAGTGGGAGCAAACGTGGGGGGTGGTGTGCGAGGAAGAGTGGGCCGTGGGGTGGGTCCGGGAGTTGGTGGCGGTGTGGGAAGTGCCGTTGGCCCAGGAGTGGGCGGAAGTGTTGGTCCTGGAGTCGGTCGTGGTGTGGGCATTGGGGTTGGCATGCGAGTGGGTGGTGGTGTGGGCCTTTGCGTGGGCCGAGGGGTCGGTCGTGCGGTTGGCATTCGTGTGGGTGGACGAGTCGGTGGCCTCGTGGGTCTGGGAGTGTTGCGTTTGATCCTTCGATCCAGCTGAATGCGGACGGTGGCCGTGCCTGCCGCCAAATTGACACCCAGAACCATGATGGTCAGGATATCTCCTGGAACCCGGTTGAAATTGCTAATGGTAACGGCCTGTCCCGAGGATAGATCAGCAATTCGTTTCGAGGCATTTCCAATCTCGGCTGCCCTTTCGTAGACAATGACTTGATTCTGTCCATTCATCACTCCCGCATTGAATCCCTTGGCGGCATTGAAGCCAAAGACATAGTTGATTTGGACCGATGGTTGGACAATTTCCACCAAGACGAGGTCTCTCGTGGAGCGATAGTCCACAATGTTGGAAATCGCAATGACTTGATCATCACGGAAACTGCTATGGGTTGGATTCAAAGAAACAGACTTGTCGCTATACCATCCCAGTTCAAAGCTTTTAGCAGCGCTGCAATGGAAAGAATGGAGAAAGTGTTTGTTAGTTGCCATCAGTTGTCGTGCAATGCTATATTATCAATGCAATATTCTCAATTCAATTCGATACAATATGGTCCATCACAGTACGTACTTGAAACACATGCGAGGAGCCTCTGACATTTGTCGATTGCGACCCATGACTCCACTTAGATCTCCATAGGGATCACCATTGGCACTCGAATGTCCCAATCCCAAGTTGTGTCCAACTTCGTGCAATTGGGAGGTCACCGAGGTGCACCAAACATCATTGAAAATGGACAATCCCTCATTGACATAGGCGTAACCGACACCACCAAAGGTACCGGGTGGCAAGCAGTACATGACATGGTCCGCAATGTTTTTCCGCGTCATGCCAAACTCATTTCTCAATGCTGTGGAAACCGCATTGACCATGGCGGAATGTCCCACACTGACGGGAACACTCAATCGAATCGTCACGACACCATTTCGAATGTTAGTCGAACGACCATTTTTATTAGGGCGCTTGTTAAAGTTGAGCTTTCCGTGAGAACATGCAGCATATTGAGACTTTAGATTGACGGCATCCCCGGGACCCCCAAAGACACTCCAACTCAGTTGGTCTTCTGTACGGGAAAAGGCACTATTGGCTGCAATCACTCGGACTGCCAAGACAGTTTTGGAACCTGTTTTGCCCATGAGGTTGCGATGTCTTCTTTCACTGTTGTTATCGTCATTGTCGCTAGCATTATCGTCATTAATGAATTCGGGTGGATCGACAAGTTGCAAGGTTGCCGTTTCAGGATCCATCAACGTAGAACTGGAAATGTTGAGCATGGTGGAACCACTTTTCAAGGCTCCCGAAAGCATGTTTTGTTCAATCCAATCTACGTCCACCGATGGGACTTTGTACAACATTCCAGAGGGTGTCTGACACATTAGTTCCTTTTGTTCTAACCTACTACTACTACTACTATCATCATCATCATCGTTGTCGTAAATGTCCTTGACGACGGCCAAACAAGGCTCTTCCAAGGTTGTGATTGCTTTCGCATTTAGAGGGAGGGTACTGCAGGCAAGCAACAGGAATGCGACATGCACCAATTTCTGCAACCATGACGACGATGATCTGCTGTTGCCAGACGACGTCATCGCGAATCAATCTATGGATGGATGGTTAGATGGATGGATGAATGGTGTGCAGTGAGTGCGATATAGGTGATGTGTCGACACAGTACCTTCTACACTATTGCAGATGAGTTTGATTTTTCAAGCAACGTTCCATAGCGCGACTTCGACTGTTTCACCTCTACAACTCACACAACTTCCAAGCGCCAGCAACATTTTTGAAAAACGGCTTGCCACCTAATTAGCCGCGGAAACTACCTAAGCAAAATAACGGATGTGCGTTGGGGTCACACGATTGTGAGAATCACATACAAATTTTTGGCGGCACTCCGACTGTCGATGTCACGGAGAAAGACCGTTGGTGGCTCCACACTTAACGAACCTAGATCAAATGATGCAATCCTCCTTATGTGCGCTCGTTGGACTGACAAACTGTGGCCGTTACTATTGTGCCAATCGAATAGTGGGAGAATCCCTGAACGGACAATTCAACTCGAGAGACACGTGTCAAATAATCTCTTTACAAGACCACGCCTGGCGGCTGACGAGAAGTTTGGAAGCCAAGTGGAAAGTGTCATGTGTATCGGTATCATCTCACTAGGCTATCACACTAAAAACTAAGATTAGGACTACCGCCAGGAACTGGCAATACTGTATAGTTTCTACAAATCATTTTAGTATTTGTTATATTTCATAAGCTAGTCCTATGTTTATTAAAATAATGATAACATTTGTTTTTACAAGATGGCCAGTCCACCATCACCTTCATCTCTGCTCTTCCACCAGTCTCAGCATCAAACTTGCCATGTTTGTGTCTTTCCCAACTATTCCCCTTTCCCATTTAGGCACTAACGGTGGCATCATCAACATCAACAACAAAATCCTCCAGCTCATGTGGCAAAATGGCTGAGTCATCCCCCTTTAGTCCTCGTCGTCGACGATCCCACCAATTAATGTTCTGTCGTGGCAATTTGTTCTTGTCCGTTTTGGTAACCGGTCGACACACATTGTCAAAGCTAGCGTCCAAGGAGACGCGGCGACAGGACAATCCAGAACAACAGTCACTGTCAATATCACAAATCGTCATGGCACGTCCACAATTCGACGCGTTGTTGTTGTTGTCGACAAAATTGAAATTGTCCCAACCAGGATTTCTTCCAAAGATTCCTCTGGTAGGACTCGGCGTAGCACGGGTAGGTCGGGGAGTTGGTCTGGGTGTCGGTCTTGGTGTAGGTCTAGGAGTGGGCATTCGAGTGGGTGGCCGAGTGGGTGGCCGAGTCGGCCTCTTGGTGGCAGGCGAAGTATTGCCACCATTGTTTTGGCGATTCAGCATAATGCTCACGAGCGCTTCACTGGCAATGGAAGACAGTGAAATGTCCAGGACGGAAATTACGAGCGTGTCTCCCTTGGCACCATTGAAGTCTTTGATGGTAAATGTTTGGCCAGTCGACAGATCCGCGATTCGTGTGGAATCGTTACCATCCTGCCTTGGCCTTTCATATACCAAGACTTGATTCTGGCCAGCCCGGACTCCCGAATTGGCACCCTTGGCAGCATTAAACCCAATATAGTAATTCATTTTCTGATTTGGCTGGACAATCTGCACAATGACATACTCCCGAGTATTTCGGTAATCCATCATGCTGGAAATTGTAAAGGTCTGGTCAAAGGACCAAGCACCCTTTCCTGGAGTATACGATATAGACTTGTCTCGGAACCAAGCAAGCTGATATGTTTGTGCAGCACTGACATGTGACATTCGCTAGTTAGCGTTGAGATTGTACAAAAATCCATCCATACATACATTCATTCGACTTACTTGAAACACATTTTCGGTGCCTCGCTTGATCGATACGAGTATCCCATCACTCCGTTTTGATCTCCATAATCCTCATCGTTCAATTGAGCGTGACCAAGATTGAAATTGTGTCTGATAAAAGTGGAATGAAAAGCAAAGGAGTTAGTCAACACACTACAACGACATTGCAGGTTGCATGCAGTACACCATGATGAACAATGACAACAACGACAGCAATGACAACAATAGCTTACCCCACTTCGTGCATTTGGGTGCTGACAGATGTGCACAAATCATCGTTGTAGACAGACAATCCCCGGTTCATAATGGCAAAGGCCACCCCATTGAATACACCTTTCGGCAAGCAATACATGACATGATCCGCAATTCGCGACTGCGTAATCCCGAATTCTCGAATGAGAATCTCGGAAACCGCATTTACGAAAATGGGATGGCCCACTGACACTGGTAAATTGACACGAATGGTAACCACACCGTTGCGAATATTGGTGGATTTACCGTTCAAGTCGGGTCGCTTTTGAAGATTGAGCTTCCCATGAGAACATGCATAATATTGAGACTTGAGATTCACAAAATCTGAGGGTCCACCAAAGACGGCCTGAGACAATGCATTTTCCGATACGGAAAGTTGAGCATTGGAAGCTACCACTCGGACTGCCAGCACAGTCCTTTCACCAGTGGCTTTCGATAATTGGCGTCTAAATCCGGATCGATCGTCATTCACCAGAAATCTGGGTTCCTCTGTTAGGATCAAGGTTTCTGTCTGCCGATTCACCTGTGTGTAAAGGGGAATGTCCAGCAAGACTTCTCCGCTAATCAGTTTCCCTTCTATCATTTTTTGTTCGATCCATTCGTCATTTACTGATGGAACGACATAGAGCATCCCTGATGGTGTTTGGCACAGCAATTCCCTTCTACTTTCTTCAAAAATGTCCCGCACCACTGCCAAACAGGACTCTCCAATCGAGGTCTCAACTTGCGCATTGGTGGACGAAAAACAGTGCAGGATGGAGAGAATGAACAGTATTGTTTGCATCAGTGTCGTCTTTATTATTGTTTTCCCCATTGGTCTTGATGTGCCTGTACCGGTACCTCTTGATGTACCAATGACATACAGTTTCAACTTTGCATTCAACAAACAGGTGAATGAATGTAGTTTCCTCTCAGGTTATTTGTTTCCCAGACCTACAGGATTCATGCGAGTCGAAGAATACGAGCGTTTCCGGGACCACTGATTTTTGAATAAGCTTCATCTCTAAGTATTTGGATGGCTGGCGCAACCAGCAACCGAAAAATTGAGCGGGAAATCGGAACTTGCGTCACACCAAAGGGTCGCACACCCGTCACGCTTTTCAGAAATCATTCTGATAAAATAAAAATGAAAGATCAAGATTCGAAGATGTTTTGTTCCGTATCACAACTCTTCCAATGATAACTACCTACAACAATGGTACTCGTTTGAGTTGAGAAGCTACCAATATAAATATTCTATATTGCTATAAAACTACAAGATTCATCTAAGTACATGTGGATTCATTCATTCAACAGGCAATGTAATTGCGGAAAGACATGAGCAACAGTGTGCGACCGCCTTTTTCCCCCCTGCAACAACCTTTCCAAAAGCATCCAATTTCTACCCTATTCTTCGCTTGAAGGCACTACAAGTGGAATTAGAAAGTGCATTCCCTAGGCTCTATCCTCATTCGCATGTTCCACTTCGTCCAATTCGTCAGGAGTGTTGGCGGAAGCATCACCTCGTAATCGGCGCTCCCACCAATACAGCTCGGTTCGAGGCAGCTTATCCTTGCTATTCTTGGGAACCGTCCGGCAAACGCTAGAAAAGCCAGCGTCGTTGGAGATTCTACGACATGAATAACCAAAACAGCACTCGTCGGTAGACTCGCAGTCTTCCATATTGCGTTTGCACGATGGGTTTCCGGCGGTTGGCACGTCAATGGTGGGATTTCTTCCGATGACACCTCGGGTGGGACTAGGCGTGAGACGGGTAGGTCTGGGAGTAGGTCTTGGAGTGGGCATCCGAGTGGGTGGCCTGGTAGGAGGACGAGTCGGTGGTCTTCCAAATCGATTCAGCTTGATTCTCACTTGAGCTTCTCCTGCTGATAGATCAATGTTCAACACATCTATGTTGAGAGTGTCCCCTGCCACACCATTAAAGTTGGAAATGGTGTGTCTATGGCCTCTGGACAAGTCTGCGACTCTCCAGGAATCATTCCCATCGACAGTCGGCTTTTCATACACAACCACTTGATTTTTGGCGTGAAAGACGCCAGAGTTGAAGCCCTTGGCGGCATTGAAGCCAATGTAGTAATTGAGTCGAAGATTGGGCTGAAGAATCTCAATCAAGACGGAGCTACGAGTGGTAGGATAGTCCACAGTGCTTGCGAGATTCAAGGTTCGCTCAAAATTCCAATTCTTTTGACCCGGCGTAAAGGATACGGCCTTGTCATCGAACCAACGAAGCTGAAAGAGCTTGGCGGCACTGTAAGATTGAGGAGAGCAAAGCTGTTAGATGCAAAGCTCATCGATTCTAGAGAGAGAGAGAAAAGAAGAAGAATGAAACATCGGACTTACTTGAAGCACATCTTGGGCGTCTCATCCGATCTCATTGAGTATCCCATCAAACCAGTTCGGTCTCCGTATTCGTCACTGCCCATACCGGAATGACCGAGGTTCAAATTGTGGCTGAGAAGTTGATTGGAATAATGGTGGAACGTTAGAAGAGGCACTCAGTACACATTGATTCAAACCGCAAGCAAAAATACTTACCCGATTTCGTGCATCGTTGAACTCACAGAGGTGCACAAGTCATTGTTGTAAACGGAAAGTACACCATTCATAATTGCATACCCAACACCACTAAATGCTCCTTTTGGCATACAATACAATACATGATTCGCAATACCATTTATCGTAGTTCCAAATTCTTCTTCGACTGTCCTGGATACTTCATTGACTATCGTCATGTAACCAACTTGAATGGGCATGTTCACTCGGATCGTGACGACACCGTCTCTGATGTTCGTAGTCAGTCCATTCATGTTAGGTCGCTTCTGAAAGTTGAGTTTTCCATGGGAGCATGCGGCGTACTGAGACTTTAGGTTGACAAAATCATCGGAACCTCCAAAAACAGATGTGGACAACTCTCTTTCATTGGAGGAGACATCACTGTTGGAAGCAGATACTCGGACAACCAGGACACTTTTATCACCAGTGACTCTTGCCAGTTGTCTGTGAAGCCTTCTTGAGGGATCACTGAAGTAGAGTAACTTTGGTGGTTCGGTCACCAGTAATGTTTGTGTTTGGCGATCTACGTATGTACCGGGAGGGATGTCGATAGAGACTTCTCCGCTAACAAGGTCCCCGTCAAGCATCTTTTCATCGATCCACAGGTCATCCACTGTTGGGATGATATAGAACATCCCTGATGGAGTCTGACACAAAAGTTCCTTTCGATCTTCAGAAAAGATATCCTTGACCACTGCAAGGCATGTCTCATCGAATGTGGTTAATGAGCCTTGGCCATGAGCAAGTCGAAACGACTGCAATATCAGGAGTATTGATACCAAAACTTGTGACGAGCATGTATATATGTGCTTCATTGTAATCAGACTACTGTAAGGACTTTCCTCCTTTTGACGTTCCGAAAGGTTTGATTACAGCTTAGAGGTTAGGTGTTAGGTGTTGGCAAAAGAGGAATGTGAAACATCCGGTTTCGAATTTGACACAACACGCACCTAAACACGCGTGACATCCGATTTGAAAATAGCCTAAATGTTTCCCATCAACGTCTAATTGTTAGGAATTCAGACAAAGCGTGCGACATGCATTCAGCACTCACATGCTAATTTTTCATCTTTTTTCCCCGATCAACATAAAAACTCGAACCTACCACCCGCGCGTGCACATCCGGCTCTATCCGATGTGTCCAATTAGAAGACGTTGAGTAAATTTCTGCCACGTGCTCATTCACTAGTATTGCAATCGATCGTGCATATGATGAGAAGGTCCTGGTCGGCCTTGCGCTCACTAGTATGAAACACAAGTGATGTACATGTATTACGAAAGATAGATACGGACAAGAGGTGACAGTATGTTTACATATATACGGTATGATCGATTTCGCTACTTTGAACTTGTACCGTCGGTACGGTACCAGGTACCTGACTTCGTATCGGAATGAAGAATGCAATTGTAGAATTGCCTCAAGATACTCGTACCGGTTCTGTACGCTCTGGCGTTTCACAACATCAACCAGCAGGGAGAGGCAAGAAACAAATTGATTCACTCTCAGTCGAATCAATAATGTGAGTTGAAGTCAAAGAAACAAAGCTCATCCACCATGTTGTTGTACCTATTCACAATCACATGGTTTTGGCATTCATTTGGTTATCTTTGTCTTCTCAAAAGACTGTAGACTTGAAAGACTCGAGCCCTGTGAAAATACCACATGCCACTTCTTGAAAGTAAGTTTGATTTTGTTGTTTTTTAAAAAACAGTTGGCAGAAACAGATCAATGATGTGAATTGAGAGAAGGAATCTAACCTACAAAGAACTTGTGTTTTTAAAAAGTCTATTCTATATTGCTATAAAACTATTCAGATATATTTGTGCAATCGTCGGTATCATGATCATGGAACGACTGTATCTATAGGTATCGTTCCACAAATTGCAATCAAGCACAGATACCGGCGTAATCCCCAGTGTCCCCGTTTGTCTCTATGCTGCCGGTGAATGTGCCCTAAGCTTGTACCTCCAAGATTTCATTATCAGGCTCACGAGGGGCTTGGACATTGCTATCACCACGCAATCGACGCTTCCACCAAGGAGTTCCATTGCGCTGCAACTTGTCCTTGCTGTTCTTGGCAATGGCTCGACAAACGTTCGAAAAGCCAGTATCACTTGCAACTCTGCGACAAGAAAATCCTGCACAACACTCGGAAGTGGTCTCACATTCAGAGTAGGCGGCCTTGCACGACTGGCTAGTGGTGACAGGAATGTCATCAACTGTTGGTTTTCTTCCACCGATAGGTCTGGTTGGAGAAGGAGTTTGGGCAACTGGTCGTAGAGTAGGACTGGGGGTAGGGCGTCGAGTCGGAAGTCTTGTTGGAGCCGGGGTTGGGTATCTTGTGGGCATCGGTGTTGGTGGCGAATGCTTTCGATTCAAGGTGACTCGCACCTGAGCAAGATCCGACGACAGGTCAATGGAGAGGACTGAAATACTGAGCGTGTTCCCAGTGATTCCATTAAAGTCAGATATGGTGAAGCTGTCACCACTGGACAAGTCTGCTACGCGCAACGAATCGATCCCAGCGGCTACAGGTTTGCTGTACACCAAGACTTGATTCTTTCCGTGACGTGTTCCCTGATTAAAACCCTTTCCGACATTGAATCCAACGTAGTAGTTCTTTTGGCTAGCTGGTTCCACAATTTCAATCAACACATCATCATTGGTAGTTGGATAATCGACGATATTGGAAAGGGTGAAGGTGTGGTCGTCTCCCCAAGGACCCGTCCCAGGGATCATCGATTTTGACTTGTCATCGTACCAGCCTAGTTGAAAACTCTTTGCAGCGCTGTGAAACAAAAAAGAGAGAAGTTAGGCCAAAGTCTCAAAATGAAAGGTTCCAGCAAAATATAGGAACACTTACTTGAAGCACATTTTCGGTGCCTCGCTTGATCGATAAGAATACCCCATCATGCAGCTTTGATCTCCATATTTTTCTGTGCCAATTCCACTGTGTCCAAGATTCAAGTTGTGACTGCGAGACGGAAAATATCAGAGTCAGAATATAAGCAATTCATTTCCAATCCGAACTTTCGATTGCTCAAACGAGACTTACCCAATTTCGTGCATCTGGGTGCTCACCGAAGTGCACAGCTTGTCATTGAATACTGAAAGTCCTCCATTCATGATTGCAAACCCAACACCATTATAATTTCCCTTGGGCAAGCAGTACATGACGTGATCAGCAATGGAATGCATTGTCATACCAAACTCACGGTCTAGTTCTTGTGAAACTGCATTCACCATTGTCGAATGTCCCACTTCAACTGGCAAGTTGACACGAATTGTTACAACGCCATTTTGAATGTTGCTTGTGAGACCATTCATATCAGGTCGCTTAACAATATTGATTTTTCCATGAGAGCAAGCTGCGTATTGGGATTTAAGGTTCACAAAGTCATTTGCTCCGCCAAATATCGAAGCGGAGAGTTCTTCGTCGCTCTTTGACATCTCACCGTTGGAAGCGATGACTCGAACGGCGAGGACGGTTCTATCTCCTGTTGTTTTTGTATTTTGCTGAAGTCGCCTTTCGGATGAGTCCGAGTTCACGAGAGCCGGCATTTCGTTCAAGTTCAAAGTTTGGTCTTCGCGATTGATGGTGGTGCCATCGGGCAGATCCAATATGGTTTCGCCACTGTAGAGCTCACCTGCAATCATTTTCTCTTCAATCCATTGGCCGTCAACTGAAGGAAGGATGTACAACATTCCTGATGGTGTCTGGCACAAGAGTTGTTGCCTGTCTTCCGAGAAAATATCCTTGACAAACGCAAGGCAGGGCTCATTCAGTGCCGTGGTGGCTTGCCCATTTGCTAAGAGCAACGACTGAAGTATCAGGGCACCTGATAGCAGAGCTTGGCGCCACTTTGTTTGCTGTGATACAGTACTCATCGTATAAATATGGTCTCTGTCTTGCTTTTGACTTGGGCTTTTCGGTTTCAATTTGTTGTCGAAACGATTTTGTGGATACGGTTTTGTGTTTGTGTGACCGAGTTTTTCCACGCGATATTTTCGGGTCTTGTAGGTCAACAAAAAATCGGAGTTTCTTGTAAATCAAAATGCAGATATTCGACGAACAAATTCTAGGCTTGTCAAAAGATTCTTCTTGTTTGTCGCGATAATCGCAAACGACCTTAAATACGCAACCCATCTTGGTGGCGTAAAAAGATGTTTGGTGCTCATCACCAAAGTACGTTTGAACCAGATTTTTACACATGTATCGAAAAACGAAGTCTGGATCTTGGAAACAGGTGTGGGCAACATCATCCTGCGGACTTTGTAGTTGCCACCCTTGTACCTTTACTACTCTTAAGACTGAAATTCTCGATATGTCAGTGATGATACAGTAATTGATAAAGGTCATTCAACACATTTGAAAAATAAATAGAAAATGTAACAAAGACGATATCAATGGTTCCAGTAATATTCTATTTAGTATCTCTATCAGATGACAAGTTTTTTCTATGTTTTTTGGGAGCCGTGATCATGGTAGAATGATAACAATGATGGTCGATCCCAGATCATCTATTGTGCAATTCCGAGCTTAATTTTCCCAATTTTTCTTCCCCAGTTGACATGCGGTGGGTAGTACTACCGAATCCGAACCGCTACCCTTAGTTTGACGTGGCCAATTCATCTTCAGGATATTGAAGCCTATTTACAGTGCTATCACCACGCAATCTACGGTCCCACCAGTTAGGTGTCCTTGGAGTTCTTAGCAACTGCTCTGCAAACATTGGAGAAACCCATACTCTGCGGCAGAAGTACCCTGCACAGCATTCTGCGGTGTTCGAGCAAGCCTGATAAGCACCCTGGCAGGAGGAATCGATAACACCTGAACCATCTGGTGTAGGATTTCTTCCTATAGCACCACGAGTTGGTCTGGGTGTGGGAGCAGCTGTTGGAGCTCTTGTCGGAAAACGAGTTGGTGACGGAGTTGGGCGTCTGGCTCGCTGCAACCGCATTCGGAGAACTGCTTCGCTGGTTCCAAGATTGATTGAGTTTACAGATATCGTAAACTTGTCTCCCGTTTTACCATTGAAGTCAGATACGGTGAAAGATTGGCCAGCAGCAAGATCGGCAACGCGCCAAGAATCGTTCCCATCGATCAATGCCTTCTGGAAAATAAGTACTTGATTATTTCCTTCTCTGACTCCAGAGTTGACCTCTTTGCCGGCATTGAAACTGACATAATAATTAAGTTGGAGCTGCGGTTGCACGATGTCGACAGTCACGTCGTGGTTGGTAGTATCGTAGTCAACGATGCTAGCAAGATTGAAGGCACGATCATCTGCCCAGCCAGGTTCTCCCGGAGTGTACGAAGACGTCTTGTCCCGGAACCACCCAAATTGGAAGCTCTTTCCGGCACTGCAATAATAAGAAAATAAATTAGACGAGTGTAACTCGGGGTAATCACACAACCTGAATTTTGCAATTGCAATTTTGCAATCACTTGTAGCACATCTTGGGAGCCTCGTTGGATCGATAAGAGTATCCCATCATTCCACTTTGATCTCCATACTTTTCGGTACCTTCTGATGAGTGCCCAAGGTTCAAGTTGTGGCTACATATGACAAGCGACATGGTGAGATCATGGGACGATTGACATTCCGATGTCAAGTTCAGTTGGCCAAGCAAGACTTACCCAACTTCGTGCATTTGAGTGCTGACAGAGGTGCACAGCTTATCATTGTATACAGAAAGACCTCTGTTCATGATAGAATAACCAACACCACCAAAGGCTCCGAGAGGCAAGCAATACATCACGTGGTCTGCAATGTCCATGTGGGTCCTGCCGAATTGTCGAAGGATCTATTATGATACGGCATTGACAATTTTTGAGTGTCCGACTTCAACTGCCATGTTAACCTTGATGGTGACAACTCCATTGCAAATACTTGTATTGATTCCGTTCAGGTCTGGACGCTTTTGGAAGTTTAGTTTGCCGTGAGAGCAAGCGTGGACTTGTGACTTGAGGTTCACATAGTCGTTGGGACCGCCAAAGATGGCATTGGATATCTCTTCTTCATTGTTGGATGCATCGCTGTTTGATGTAACAACGCGGACGGCAAGGACTGTCTTGTCGCTTCTGTTTTCGCAAGCTGCCGTAGTCTTCTGCCTTCCTGATCTTTAAGGTGAAGTGATGGGGGTTCATCCATCTCTAGCGTTTGCGTATTGGTATTTAGAATAGTGTCGGTAGGAATCTCAAGGATGGTCTCACCCGAGAAGAGTTCTCCAGAGAGTAGATTCTTCTCGACCCAAGCATCGCCGACCGATGAAACATTGTATAACATTCTAGAAGGAGTTTGGCAGAGCAGATCATCTCTGTCGACGGAGAATCGATCGCTGACGACACCAAAACAAGGCTCGTTGAATCTTGCGAGGTCGGCGATTGATGGATGACTTAACGTGGCCAAAGTAAGGATCTGCAGCCACGCCGAAAGCTTGAAGCTGTCGGTTTTCTTTTTTTCTTCACAATGCTCGGATTATGCGAGCTGTGTATTGAAATTGAAGTATAATGACGAGATCCGTTCGGTTTGTGTTTGAAAATGATGATGTTTTGTGGGTCAAAATCCAAACCAGCGTGCCCGCGTGTTTTTTCTACCAAAATAAGACTGTCTCCCTCGAGTTTTCCGAACGGAGCGCTATTTTGTATTTAACGACCGGAACATTCACTAGATAATTTTGGCACTACTCAAGAGGATTCATTCGGGTCTGAAACCGCTAACCAAAGATACACATTGCAGAAACTTCACCACATAGAATTGTTGTCCTCCGTCACCAAAGACCGATTGAACCAAGTTTTTGCAATGGTACAAAGGTTCCAATGCTTCCGAATCAAGTCCTTCTGTTGCCGCATTCTGATCCGAGAAGATACGAAACCTTTCCCTCAACCACAACCAGCAGTGATGAGGAATGAGGTTCATTTTACTCTTTTGACAACTTTTCTCTGCATGATATGGTCAAACCTGGAATGATGAGATTCGTCAAGTTGGAAGACTCAGTACTAGCAGCATGGCGTCAGAAAGCCGAACTATCAATGCCCTGACAAAATTATTGCGAGGTTCAAACATATCCAAGTCATTGCTAAACTGTCTTAAACTTTATCTGTGCATGCTTGTATTTCAAGCATTTCTTGTGTGAAAAGCTATCCCCAATGTAAATCGTCATTGATATCAATAGTTTTTGCTCGGTTGTTTCACATTATCCCAAGATTTCGTACCATCCCGATCACTTTGATGTTGAATAGACTATGCTATTTCAGGATTCTGAAGTCTGCTGACAGAACTATCACCCCGCAATCTACGTTTGCCAGCACCCGTTGCTGATCGTGGAGCCTTATCCTTGGTCTCTTGGCGAAGTAATTGGCAGATATTCATAAAACCATATGTACCAATCACTCTTTGGCACACCATTCCGTTACAACAGTCATCTTTGGTGGTACATGAATGGTATTGCTCACTACAAGAAGTTTGTGTGGTGGTTGTGACATTATCAGGAGTTGGATTTCTCCCTTCTACTCCTCCTGTTGGGCTTTGTGGTGGTGATGTTTCAACAACTCTGGTCGGTTTGGGGGTTGGACTTCTTGTTGGACTGCTTGTAGGGGATGAGGTTGGAGCCGATGTTGGAACATTGGTTGGTACACGAGTGGGGACGTCCGTAGGTGAATTAGTAGGATTGTATGTTGGAGCACTCGTCGGATAGAGCGTTGGTGATGGAGTTGGGCTTTTCGTAGGAACAGGAGTAGGGGCAATAGCTCGTTCCAATCGAACTCGCACGACGGCTTCACTGGTTCCAAGATTGATTGACCTTGCTGTAATCGTCAACTTGTCTCCTGGAGCCCCATTGTAATCGGAAATAATGAAACTTTCACCCGAAGATAGATCCGCAACACGAGAAGAATCGCTTCCATCGATCGACTTCTTCTCAAAGACCAAAACTTGGTTCTTTGCTTCTCTCACTCCAGAGTTGAACCCTTTCCCGGCATTGAAGCTGATGTAAAAATTCGACTGCTTCGCTGGTTGTACAAGCTCGACAGCGACATCAAAGTTGGAAGTGTCGTAGTCCACGATGCTAGCAAGGTTGAATGTACGGTCGTCGACCCACCCTGGTTCTCCTGGAGTGTACGAAGAAGACTTATCGCGGAACCATCCGAGTTGGAAGCTCTTTGCAGCACTGCGATGGCAAGCAAATAAGTTAGACGGGTCAAACTCGGCATGAACTGTGTTGTAATTGTAGACTCACTTGTAACACATCTTGGGAGCCTCGTTTTTTCGATAAGAGTATCCCATCACTCCAGTTTGGTCTCCATACTTTTCCGTTCCTTCTGACGAGTGTCCAAGGTTTAAGTTGTGACTGCATGTTTCAAGGGATATGGTTAGAATGTTGCTAGCCTTGAGTGCAATGTCAGTGCTGTTTAGTGTGGCAAACTTACCCAACTTCGTGCATTTGCGTACTGACCGAAGTGCACAACTTATCATTGTAGACTGAAAGGCCTCGGTTCATAAGAGCAAACCCAACTCCTCCATAAGCTCCATTTGGCAAACAATACATGACATGATCAGCAATATCCACGTGCGACATTCCGAATTGACGATTGATCTCTTGTGAGACGGCATTGACTATTTTGGAATGCCCGACGTTGACAGCCATGTTGACTTTAATTGTGACAACTCCATTGCGGATATTGGTATCGATGCCATTCAAATCAGGACGCTTTTGAAAGTTGAGTTTCCCGTGAGAGCAGGCTTGGACTTGGGACTTGAGGTTGACATAGTCGTTGGGACCGCCAAAGATGGAATGTGAAATTTCTTCCGCATCGTGGGATGTTTTACTATTGGAAGCGAGCACCCGCACAGCAAGGACTGTCCTGTCGCCTTCTGTTTTCGTAAGCTGCCGAAGCCTTCTTCCTTCTGGGTCCTTTACGTTTAGCGCCGGTGGTTGATCCATTTCCAGCGTGTCTGTGTCTGTATTTAGAATAGTGTTGGCAGGAATCTGAAGGATGGTCTCTCCGGAGAAGAGTTCTCCGGTGAGCATATGCTTTTCGACCCAAGCGTCACCGACTGATGAAATATTGTATAACATTCCAGAAGGAGTTTGGCATAGTAGACCATCCCTGTTGTCGGAAAATTGACCGACGACACCAAGACAAGGCTCATTGAATGTTGTCAGGTCTGCAGTAGAATGTTGGCTGAGTGTGGCCAATATAAGAATTTGGAACACTGCTAGCTTGGAATAATTGGCCTTCATCTTTTTGTCGGGAAAGCTACTTTGTCGCTAATAGCTGCAATGGGATGATGGTCAAGTTTATCTGCCTTGTGGGGGAATCGAAATCCTGAGATTGGATTGGTTTGTATTTTTGTGAGCGGGTATCATCCATCTCATTTATATCTCGCGAGTCTTGGAGATCACCAAAACAAGACTCCTTTTAGATGTTTTTTCCCAGGTTTTTTCTATGTGATGCGACAAAAGCGGGGATTTTTGACTGCCAATTGTATGAAAATTACGTGAGGTTCGACGGCGAACCCAAATGTGACGAACTCCACAAATTCAAAAACAGTGTATGTTGAACCCATATAAGTAATCGTTAAGCAGAATGTTACGTTGAAAAACACCAGCAGTCAAATTCTTTGGCGTTGATCACCAATACAAGTTTGAACTTGAGTCAAACCGAATTCTTCAAGCAGAGATCGTTGGAAACCAGGCCATGCTACAGTATACCGGTTCCTTTAAAAATTGATCAACCAAACTTTTTAGTTTCACCGTCATTGAATGACCTTTAACTAGTTTTTTTCATGCCAGTATTCGTTAGTACTCTATGCGTGGTCGAAATGTAAAAAGGTGGTTGTATATCCAAATCACATTCATAACATTGAATGACCTTTACCTAGTTTTTTTCATGACAGTACTATTCGTTGGTGCTCTGCTATGCGTCGTCGAAATGTGAAAAGGTCGCTCCTTGTATACCGGTAGTATACATTCATAACGATTAGCTTTTCATGCCAGTATTCGTTAGAACTCCATGCGTGGTCGAAATGTAAAAAGGTGGTTGTATATCCAACTCACATTCATAAGGGTTGGCAAAGGGCGATGGTTCTACTGCCGTAGAGCACATGATTGATTAGCCGGTAAAGTACAGTAGATCCCTTGTTCGCCCGGAGGCCAGGCGTTGATTGTTCAAAACTGCTTCTTTGATGATACACCAAGTGTCCAGAAGTTCCTTTGCCAACTTCTTGCTGATCTTTGCCGCCAAATCCGCAAAAGTTCATTGAAGTTTGCCCAAAGAAATTATACATGACCGCAACAACGCTATTTCGACTAGAGCAAAATTATTGTTTCGACGCCTTCAGAAAGAGATCGTTGAAGCTCTCCATCAACAAATAAGAACTTCTTTGTCATATGGAAATCGATTTCGACGACAAGCAAATTAGCCACTATATTCGCGATTCTCATCTCCCCCATTACTGTCTCTTGGGGAACGACCTGTTTCAACCAGAACGTTCCTGTACCGGTAGAATAAAGTATTTTGTTCTTCAAGACAAAATCTGACGTGTTTCGCCGCCAGGTGGAATTTCGGAATGACTGTAATCAACCGAAATGGCATTCTCGGAGATTCGAATCAGCCGAAATGGCATTTACGGAGCTTAGATCAGCCGATATGACCCTAATATCGGCATTTCGGTGAAAATAACCTTGGAGATGACTTCGGAGCATGGCAAATCCGAAAATGACCCGGCATTTCGCACGTTCAGAAGGTTCAGAAGTTTGAACTTTGTGTGCCAATGTCGGAACATTGTTTAACATCGATTGACACTCAGCTTCGCAAACATAACATCTTTAAAGTCACTCGATTCGCAGCTCACTGGAAGAACATGTTTTCAACCAATGAAATTTAATCAGAGAATTCTGCTTCAGCCAAGCTTCTGTCAGGCGGAGAAATGTTTGAAAAAGTCATTTTGATAAACTTGGTTTCCTTTTCCAGTTTTGTTTCTCAACAGCGCTCATAATAGCACACTCGCATCAAACTGAAAACGATGATCGAAACTACCAACACCTCCAAATCTCCAACAGCCATTCTCAAGGAATTGCCACGTGACTTTGTCCCATCACCTTACTCTGTCATTATCGGACGAGCAAAGGAGTGCAAGCAATCCTCTGGAAACAAACGTTTGCGTATCATGGCAACTGCTTATCTTCCACAGTACGCCAGCGCCATTAACAGAAGCGTGAAATCCCAAGTCGTCTCCCACATTGTCTCCATGGTCCGTCAAGCTTGCGGATCACAAGGAGGCGCCTTTATCAAGAAGATCGGAAAGGCGCAAGATGGAAGCACCATCTGGGTCGAAGTCAGCGACTCTGCTGCCCGAGAAAAGATCGGATACGTTTTCCGTGACCTGTTGTCTGATCAGTACCGCTCAAGTTCCAAGTCCAAGTCCATGAGCCGCTTGCGCCGACAGAGAGCCGAGATGCAAAAGGCAACAGTCCCAGAGCCGCAACCATTGCACCAAATGGCCGATGCTACCCAACTGCAGACCTCCATCGCAGAAATGAACAAGGCAATGAATGCAAAATTCGATTTTGTCTCGATTCCTAACTCCCTCATGTCCATGGCTAAACAACACAACGATACATTGAAGAGTACTACTGCTGCTACGAGTACCAGTATCGTCAAGCCTGATGTTCAGAAGTCTGCTGTACCAGGATTGGATCCCACTCCAATTTTCTTCAGCCCAGCTGTCCGAAGGGGGAGCGACGTCGCATGGATTGAGATCATGGCTGACAACCTTCAAGATTTCTAGATTTTGTCATAGATTTTGTTATAGCCAGCTACAACAATCATGCAATAGAAGGATACACCATTACACATTACTTTCTTGAAACCCTATTTCATTATTATATCAGACTGCTCTAGTTTTCAGTAGTACACGTACGTAGGAGACAGAATTCGAGTGCCAGTCAGTGCGAAAGCTGGTCACTTGTAGCGATTTCTCATCTTCCTTTTCTTTGCGTTCATACCGGTATTGTACCGGTAGTGAAGGCTCATCCCGGTCCCCGATTTTGAGTACTTAATGTACCACCCATGACCGTTTCGACAATATCCCTCAGATCATCGGGTGGCAAACTCCTTATAGAACATGCAACATTCTACTGCGAGGGGGTGATTGTGATGTCCGTCCTTTATCAGTACTGTCGCCGGCTTGCGGTTGTGCGAAAATCCAATGATTATGATTGATTGATTCGTTCGATCAAATCCTACGAGTCACGTACAAAATCTACACGAAAAAATGATGAAGTCCAACCGGCAGCAGCTGTTTTCTGGACCATGGCCAATGCTTGACTATGATCGTTGAGCCACTTTCCAATCGACTCTTAAACTGTAGCTATTCATCACCTGTCCATTGCTGATTTTGCGGCATAGGTTGAGCTTTAGCGCCTCATAGAATTCGGCAAACATCGTGCGCGTGTGTGTGTGTGTGTGTTCTCATAAAAAATCAGTGCACGTGAAAAAAAACATTCAAAATCAAGTGATTTTCTTTTTGGCTTGGCGCGGAAAGCATCCACAAAGGTTGTGCTAGTCATTATGGACGTCGATTCGGACTCTCAAGAGGCTGGCAAAGCGTCGAATAAAGCTCTTGAAGCAAGAGATGACTCTGAAAGTGATGAAGACAACGATAAGAAGCCTGCTGCGAAAAATCTCGACGACGACGACGACGACGATGAAGGCAGTGACAATGACGACGATGGTAACGACCAGGAAGACGACGATCAGGAAGATGAGGAGCAGGACGATCAGGATGACGACGATGGGTCCAAGTCGGACAATTCTGAATCAGGGGACGACGAATCTAGTGACGATAGCGACGATAGCGATGATAGTGACGATGAGGGGATATCTTCCTATGAAAAGTAAGTCTGCCATTGATTCATCATTCTTCACATAAGCTTCGTTTGCTGATGAACGCTAACAAACAATCCCAAATCTATAATGTTCGTTAGGCTTCGAATGGAACGAATTAAACGAAATCAGCAACGTCTTCAGCAATTAGGACTTGCTGGCAAATCTGGTACGAGTGCATTTGCTTCTCTCAAGCCAGCAAAACCAGTCAAACGCAAGCCAAGAAAAAAGGTGGAAAGAATCATGTTGCCACAAAGAAGCTCAAGATCGAGATCGGCCAAGAGGGGTGTTAGCTATGCCATCAAGTACGATTTTCGAGGAAAGGAAATTGTCAAGGTGAACAAGGCACCTGGTGCTCGCCGTGCCGCCAAGAAACCCCGAGTCGTTCGATGGATTCATGACGAGTTTCGGCGGATTGGACGTCAACGCAAGCATACCCTCAAGTCTGCGACACGGAACTTGAAAGCTGCTGGCAAAGAATTAAGCTACTGGAGTCGTAGAATGCAAGTGTTTACTGAAAAGAAGCAACGGATCGTAAACTTTGAAAAGAAGATGGAGCAAGACAAGAAAGAGCGCGAGGAATTTGGGGGATACACTCGCTCGGAGCTCTTGAGGGAAATTGATCGTCGAACACCTCAATTAGAAGGACTGCTGCTCAAATACGATATTCAAGAAGCGAACGTTGCTAAGACCGAGGAAGAACGTCAAGCTCTTCTCGAGCGCATGGTGCAGCGGGAGGCATTTGATCGCAAGATGCAAATGATTGACGCTTTGGATCGATTTCCAAAAGCTCTTCGGGATGCTACTACTTCGCTGAACTTGATGCTTTACAATCGGTCACCGAAGGACCCAGCGCCACCACGAAGAAGCAAACGCAACTCGACTGGCGATGATCGAGGCCAAGAGGACGAAGAGGGCCAGACCAAGGACGATGACAAGGGTGAAGATGGCTGGACCAATTTGGTTGTCGACAAACCAACGTTGCCTACTGCAGAATCGGCAACCAAGAACCGGAAGAAGGACGTGAGAAACGTTGGCGGTTGGGTGTCGCCAATCTTTGGTCAAGAGCTGAACCGAGCTTGGCTGGAACGAGAACACGCATTGCAAAATTTTGACCTTGACACGTATGTACCACAAGTGGGTGACACTATTCTCTACTACCCTGGAGTGCACAAGGCATTCTTAAAGAAGCACCCAGATATGCTGTGGAAGATGACAAGGAACCCTCTGCGAGTGCCGCTGTGGCAGCGTGCCTTCAAGGAGAGAACAAAAGGAATAACAGGAGGTTCTGACACTTGGTGGACCAACGAATGGTTAGATTCACCAGATCTGGAAGCCTATCCACTGGTATGTCGAGTGGAGCGGACGCATGCCGAATTCCCTCCAGACCCCTATGCGCACTACAGAACTTTGGACAAGGATGGAAATGTCGTATGGAGGCACCCCAAGAGTCTCAAGCCAAAGAAGAGAAAGACTGGAATGCGACTGGCTGTATTATTGAAACCGCTTACGCCGCTGCTACCACCAACCTTTGACGAGGACAACGGATTAATGGATGATAAGAGATGCTCTTTGCCCCCAAAATTCTATGTATCCACGGCACCAATGAAGAAACCCTTTGTGGTACCTTTTGTTTGGGCATTTGCCTTGAATCATTCCATACGAGAAAACGAAGCCGTTGAACTCCCAGACATTGACTCAAACAAGGCGAAGGTAAAGGCCTTTAAGGGCCTGGAAAGCAGCCAGTATGGTAGCTTTCGGCTTGATGACAAGGTCCAATTGATGCACCGAATATTAGATGATTTGGAGTCCACTGGTGTTGGCGCGACATCGTTGCAAGATCGCATCGAGCAGCAGATGACCTACGATGGTTCTGGAAACTCCTTCTCCGCGACCGATGCTGGCTTGATTGTTAGCTATCTGAAGGCAGATTTGAATGAACGAGGTGCCATTGGAAAGGCTGCAAACACTGAAGTAAATGGGAATCTTCTTGATCTAATACGAAGCTGCTTGCCGCTGAGTCAAAATATTGAAGTGCAACCAAATGCTTTTCAACGCAAGACAATACGCGTGTCCTGGTGGGATCTTCGGCAAAAGAAAACCTCAAAAGGTCGGCACACGACTCTTCCCGGAATCCAATCAGGGTGCCTACATAGCTTGGAAGATTCTCTTCGGACCAAGATTGCCTTTTCTGTTGAAGAATCTTTGAATGAGATTGAATTCTGCGAGATCTTTAGCGACCCTGTGACAGACGAAGAGGCTCCTGGGTACTCGTGCGCGGTCCCGATCGGAATGTACTTCAATCGCATCTTGAACCGACTGAAAGTTACGAAAGGCCCGACGTGTTATTACACATCTGTTGAATCTGTTTTGTCGGATTTGCAGTGTGTTGCTGATAACTGCCTCCTTTACAACAGTCTCAATTCTGACATCGCAAAGCTATGCGTCGATATTGTTATGGGCATCAAAAGGCAGGTATCTGATGTCTTTGCAAAGCATGTAAAGGAACAAAGCAACCGAATCAAGGCGGAGCAGGAGCGACGACGATTTGTTCTCGAAAATTGCGGCCCTTCGGTGGTCGGGGATGATACTAGCAAGAGACGAGGAAAGGGCCACACGGTCCCTGATTGGTTGAATTCGCCCTACGAAGGCAAGCTCTACCGCAAGTGGATGCAAAGGCTCGACCAAGATGGTTCCTGGACTATTAATGATGGCGCGAGCCAGGAAGCCAAAATCCAGAATTGGGCTCCGCAAAGTGGCGATGTTGTCCACTATTCTCGGTCTCTTCATGCACAATTCGTCAAGGGACATATGGAATCGTTGGCCAAAGAGCAGTGTGTAGTACCGCGTTTTTCGAGCAGTACAAGTGAGACAGCAAACGACGAAGACGCCGAAAATGATATCGACGAATCGGCTGATGACTTATTGCCGAAACTTGAAAGTCATTGGTTGCTCGGAAACATTGTCAGTGTTCGAAGCACATTCCCACGCAAAGAAGAGACAGGCGAATCTTTTGATATAGCAAGCCCCGTACTTGCGATCGGTTTGCGCCTCCCATACCCATGGGCAAAAGGGAAAGTTTTTACTGTCTGCTGGAGGCCTTGTAGTTTCACAGAGAACGAGCACAGCTGGAAATGTTCATCTTGCAACATTGGGATGTCATCATTCCTTCGACCTGCATGGCTTGCGAAGGATGAAACGCAGCGAGACTATAGAGTTCTAGATTGCAGTGGAGAATCCAAGTTGCATTCTGAAACTGGACCGACTGGGATCCCTCAACCAAATCGGACATCAATTGCGACTTGTTTCGATATTATCAAGAAACGATGTTTAGCGGAAACGGATCCTGATATTGTTGATCCCAAGTCCTGCTTTTCCAACGCAGAACGGCGTGTGGCGACGAAGCCACCTACTTCGCGTGCTCTTCCATCATTTGAAACTTTATTGTCTGAGTTCGAGGAGGAACCAACTTCTTCGCAAAAAAAAGCTTCATCAAGAAAGAATTCATCCACAAAGGACAAGAAGGAAGCTAACGCAAGAAAAGTGCTGTCAAAAATATGTTTTCTGCCACCATGGTGCGACCCTGTCGCCGCCGAAAAGGAGGATACAGCCGAAACCTTCAAAACAAAGCTTCCTCTTCCGTTTCTGTCTTTGGAGCAGATCTGTTTGCGAGTAAAGAACGGGTATTACCGACAGCCAGCAGCCATATTGAACGACTTGACCGAGTCCTATGTTACTGCTGTCCTCTACCTCCTTTCAAATGCCACGACACGAAAACGGAACCAGGTATCGCTTCGGAAAATCACGAAGTACTTACATACAACTACAAAAAACTCAAAACCAACAAAGATGATCGATGCTAAGGACGCAAAGCAGAAAACACGCTCACACGAATCTGTTGCAAAAACCATGGCGCCTGTTGTCAGGGAAAGCTTGTTTGACAACGAAGAATTCCAAAGTCTACAGGGCGAAGAGAAGGAATGGATTCGAAGAATCGAAAAAATACGAAAGCTGTACACAATGGTACGTGAACTCATCTCTCTACCCCTGCCTAATTCCAGGAAACAACTCAATTACTTCTTTTTGAATCGATAGGCAATCCTGTGTGTGACAGACACTGGTCTTTTGCAACATATTTTTGGGCTACCAATACAAAGTGATGATGCAGATGGGGTCTCGCAAGACAAGTCCAATTCTGAAGAGGAAACAAAGTTGCAGGAAGAAGGAATCCGCCACATTCGGTACTTGCTATCAGCAGTCACCAGAGACCCTTCAGACTTGACCCAACCGTTCAAAGGTCAAATGAAAATTCGGATTAGATGCAACGGGAAAATAGAGGCATCTGGTGTGGAGAACGACGGCTCAGAAGGTGCGCGTGTGTTAGGGTCTAATGAATTGGAACGCAATGACAAGCTTTGTCGGGTTCTAATCGGTCAGCCAGGAAGACGAGCCGCTTGCGTCAGATGTCAAGTAGCCGGCAGCTCAATGCTATCGTGCCGAGTAGCAAAATCCCATGCCAATGTCGACTTTGCCTTTTCCGATTTCTTCAAGAATGGTCAAGGAGTCGATGGTCTGATAGCAGCTGCAACACCAAATGGAACCAGCGGAATGAAAGGTGGTAGCCAACTTTCAACACAGGCAATTGGCGGCCCTCGTATCGTTGGCAGCTTTGAAAGTGAGTTGACTGACCCCACGGACAACTTCAAGAAAGCAAGAACAACTTTCGAGTTGGCCAAGATGCTTCAAAAGGAGGCTACAATGCTGTCGCAAGCCCCTTCAAGGTTGGGAGATGACTTCATTCGTTCTTATTTCCCAGTCGATGAATCAGACGGACACTACATCTATTGCATTGTATGTGGACGGAGCGGAGATCTTGTTTGCTGTGAAGGTTGCCCAACTGTAGTTCATGCAGATTGCATTGGACTGAGCAATGTTCCGGACGGTGACTGGTTTTGCAACAAATGTAATTCCTCAGGGAATACCGAAGATGAAATCAAATCGGGTGGAGACGGCAATACGGATAGCAAAAATGCAGGTTCGAGAGATATGGTAGCGGTCGATCCGTTCCCAAGAAGTCCAATGCCCGCATACTTCCAGTTTTTGAATGAACGCCGCACCGAAATACAGAATCAGAATGAAGGGGCGAGTAAAAGTGAGATATCCAAGATACTATCGAACCTATGGAAGTCATCAAGTGACGAAGTTCGCAACAAATATATGGATGAAGAGGCGGCTCAGCGAAAGGCTTATCAACTCGCTATTGCAGAGTACAGAAAAAGCAAAGCTGGAAAACAAGTTGACGAAGCCCAGTCATACGAATCAGCTATTAAATTCCTTGAATCGGTAAAAGAAAAGCGAAAGGAGGCACAGCAAGCGCAGGCAGGCCAACAAACATCCGCAGCCCAGCCCACTGTTGCACAGAAATCGAATGAAAACGATGCGGGCGAAACGAAATCATCGGATCATGGTCCTTTGGCAAGAAAGCCAGCGGCTGATTCCAGCAGTAGTCGAAATGATGATTTGAACGCTGAGAAGCCTGCTCCAGACGCTGAGCGGGAAGACATTGAACATCCTGTCGAGGCAAAACCTGACTTCGATGACGGTGATTTGAAGGCTGAGAAGCTGGTTACAGAGAATGAGCAGGAAAATTTCGAACAACATGCTGAGGCAAAACCTGACATTAATGGTGATCCCATCAAAACTCAAGATGAAAAGAACGATGAAAAGAAAGATGAAACGGCAGCCATTTCAGACCCCGAAAAGTTGAAAAAAGCTTCCTCTGAATCTTCGGCAAAACTTGAGGCGGTGGCTCCAACTAAGCCCCAAGAGAGTGACGATTTTGATTACCTTGGAGAAGTCTTGAGTAGGGCGAGGCAAGCATCACAAAAAGACTGCGCACGAAAATGTCCGAAAGGAGTGGGCCTCCTAGTGAAAAAGAAGAACGCATATTGCCATATTTGCCACAAGCGCTCTGATGCCGCGTATGGCTTTGCTTGTTTGCATGATACGCACAACTATTGTCTTCGTCATGCGATGGTAAGTTTTGGGACTAGTTTCGACGCAGTCAAACTCATTGCTCTAACCTTTATGTGATTTCCAGGAACGCTTTGATTTCAGCTCCGAACTATACCAGCTAGATCATTGCCCCATCTGTTGCCTGAGGTGTGAATGCTCGGCGTGCAAGCGCAAAGCCAATAATCTTGCCCGTGAATTCAAGCAACACTGTCGTAACACGAACAAGACTGGCAAAGAAGCCAAGTTCAAGGGCATCCTTGATAGATGTGCCGTGGTATCTGGAGCAAGACTGACATCGTTTGTTGCCTGGGATGATGAAATCTCCGCTCTCGATAACACCCCAAAGCAAGACATCAATATTACGGCTCCCGTTGCAACAGAACCAATCGATCGACCGAAGAAAGCCAGTTCAGCATACTTTTTCTTTTGTAAGGAATTCCGAAGAAAGATTTTTGAAGATGATCCATCAACTGAGTTCAGAGAGGTTGGCAAGATTCTCGGTGAGCGCTGGAGAGCCTTGGACGAGGAGGGTAGAAAGAAATATGAAGATCTTTCCAATGCGGACAAAGAACGATATGAGAAGGAAATGGACGAGTACCACGAGAAGCTTGAAAAGGCTGCAGCTTCCGCTGCCTCAACCGCGTCTGGATTTGACGAGGAAGCTATTCCGCACGACGACATCCCGGTGCCACAGAAACCATATCCCGCATATTTTCAATTCGCAAATTCAAAAAGAGTTGAAGTGAAGAAAGCGAATCCAGGTGTCGCAAACTCGGACGTGAGCAGAATCATTGCTGACATGTGGCGAGACTTGGCAGACGAAGCGAGACAGTATTATGTTGATGAAGAGGCACAGCAGCGAAAGAAATACAACGAAGAAATGGAAGAGTACCAGAAGAAGGTAGAAGAACGATACAAGATGATTGAAGCCCAAAGGCCAGCGAAACCTGTGGCCCCTCGTCGGGATCCTGCGCCTCGACAAGACTCTCCTTCGCTTGTACCTGAAGCGATTGTAAACGAACAGATGCAGAACTTGGGGGCACTGTTGAAGCAGCTCTCGTCTCTACGCCCAAAGACGGCCTATACACCACGGAAAAAGAATATCCCGCCTCCGGTCATTCCAGTTGGGACCAAGTTCAAGAAGCATTTTGATGATCATGGTGAATTTGAAGGGAAAGTAGCTCGCATTCCTGATGACGAATCGGATCTATATGGAGTGGAATACGACGACGAGGATGAAGAGGAACTGACGATTGACGAGCTGCTACCTCTTGTATCTGAAGGTGTACGAGACGACTACAAGCGAGCGCAACGGGACTATAAAGCGAGGCTAAACCGAAAACGCGGGAGACCACGGAAAATAGTGGTCAATGAAGATTCGGATGGAGAAAACGACTCAGAAGATGAAGGCTACCTTGATCAGTCCAAGATTGATCTTTCCCCGAAAAGAAAAAGGGGACGACCAAGCAATATTGCCGCAGATTTGATCGACGAAGAACCGCCTCGGCGGAAACGTGGAAGACCGCGAAAGGTGGACCCAAGAGTCGAAAATGAAGAGTCGAGACAAAAACGAAAGCGCTCAGCCAATCCAGATCCTTTGGATTCCCAACCTGTCGACGGAACGCCACGCAAGCGAGGTCGTGGAAGACCGAGAAAGGAAGAACAATCACTAGAACCAAAACTGAAGCTACCACTTGGGCAACCGCGGAAAAGGCAACGCGGCGAGGACGACTTGAGAGTATCGAGCACGACGGTGACATCACCACGTGGGAAACGTGGTCGGCCTCGAAAGAGACCAGCTGAAGAACCCGAAGCAATTGTTCAACTAGAACGAGAAGAAAGTCCAGAAGACCCAAACAAAAGACGATCCAAGCGAAGCACCAAGTTCCGAAAAGTCATGACTGTTCCTGGCGAATCCGTCAGGGATTTGTTTGCTGGCAGCAATGTCACCATGACACTGGGCAGCAGCAGGTCTTCACTCAGGGCGGAGAAGCCGAGCGGGAGACGAAGCCAGACTCCCAAGCGTTTTGTGGAAGAGACCAATTCAGAGTCTGATCCATCGCCAGTGGCTGAAACCAAGCGAGGTAGGCGAAATCGCACTCCCAAGCGATTGGTTGCAGACACCAAGGCAGAGGTCCAAGAACCTGATCCATCGCCAGTGGCTGAAACCAAACGAGGGCGGCGAAGTCGCACTCCAAAACGATTCGCTCAGTCTCCTGAAATGTCTACCAAGAAGGTAGTCCAGCAACAACAAAAGCGAGCAAAATCTTTGCCACCATCTACCACCACAGGTACAAGGAGGACTAGACACTCAGATGCAACATCGACAAAGGAAAGTGGAGGACGTGAGGGAACCAGAAGCCGTGGAAGACGGGGTTGATGGAGTATTATCAACTATAGCTGAATTAATTCCGCATTATGATCCCATGATTATTTCATTCCTTTGGCAGAGCTACTACTAGTATAGTAGTAAGACTAGAGCAAGTGAGTTGCGTAAGCAATCTGGTTGTATTACATTGCCCCAGGAGGATGCCCAATCATCCTCACGTTGGGGATTCATCTGCTGCTAGGCTGTCATGTCGGTCAGTTGAATGCCCTCACAGTCAAGGAGTAACAGGTTCGTCTTGCACCCCATGATGGAAGCAATACTTGGTTGCGTCCGTAGCAAGTCACCATGCACAAACTCCTTGACGTAGGTCCCTGCCTGAGTACTCATTTCCAGTCGAAAGTGATGATCGTCCACCCGCCAGGCATCCAATTGTAGGATTTGTCGTTCGCGCACCAAATTGGCTCGTCGATGCACCACTCGTAGTGGTGTTCGCTGCTGGATTGTCAGGGGAAGTTTCAATTCTGGAAATAACAGCGCTGTGATCTTTTGATTATTGCTTCCACTTTCTTCTTTGTCGTCATTGTCGTCGTTACCTTTTGGCAATATTCGTTCGGACCAACAGTGACAACCATAGTGTTTCACTTTACTTTCGGTGTCCGATTGGAGGTTGGAGTACGCATTAGCTGGTGCCAAGCAAAGCTTTTCTGGGCAGACTCCTACTCCATATGGATTTTGTCCATGCCACAATTCACTCTTCCATTTGTTATTATTAGTATTCTTTGAATCATCGTCTGTTGTAATATCATTATTGGTCGTAGTGCGATTGATCCGATGAGCAATTTCATTCAATTGATCTTGAGATTGCAAAGCCTGCTTGGCGTCGATGAGCTGAACACAAAAGGGCCTACCAAGAGTATTGCTGTTGGGCCTGATCAGCATTCGTACATCCATATCTTCTCTTCCCGATGCATGGAACTTGCACATGCCATATTGAACATTCGATGATGTTGGTGGTGCTTGTGACGACAACGGAGAAGAAGAAGCATTATTTCCTTGGGATGGCAACACGGACGACACATTGTTTTGAGTCGAGATTCCTCCGAGAATTTCGGCAATGGGATTGCAAATCTGTTCTTCGACGGATGTAATTCCAAGTGTTTCTGCCACCTTTTTTCTCTTTTTGTTGGGTGGCTGATGTTGTAGGTCTTCGGTTTCAGTTCGTCCCGCCGAATCCTTATTGTTGACGTCGCCTTGTTTATTATTCTGTTCCCTCATGACTACAAAGGGTGACTGGGATACGTCTCTTCTGCTTTTTGTATAGTAACCATAAATATAGATTGGCTTTCGAAAGACAGCAAAGTGATACTCCATGGGTTTCATCTCCAGGGGTGGTTGATAGTTGGACAATGATAGTTTTTCGGCATCCGTCATGCTGTGCCATTGGTAACCTCCCTGCTGTTGCAATCGAGACTCCAAATTCACACGTGGATCTCCTCCTTGAGTGACATAGGGACGCCATCGGCTGCGCTTCTTTTTCGTATTTCGTTCCATCATTTGGTCGTCTCGTTTGGGTGGAACACACTGCAAGTGTATCATCAAGAACCCTTGCTCGTCTATGGATAGAATCGGTGGCAATGAGTCTTCTTTGTCGTGACTCTGTTTGTATAATTTTTGAATTTCCTTTGCAAGGAATAGCTTGAGATCTTTGATATAAGAAGCAAATGGCTTGGCAGATGATGATGATGCGTTTCGATAGTTGAGATTCAATTCTCCAGGAAGGCTAATGGTAATGCTCGAGGTGGAAAAGTGATTGGTCGACATTCCCCCATAGATTTGACATGCTTGCTCGAGTGACTGCTTGAGAGTGGGAGAATTTGGATTCCACAAGTTTTGACAGACGGAGCAAACCGTCTCAAGACTTATTTCAGCAGAATCATCATCATCATCATCAGGAGCATCATCCTTTGTTGCGAGATAAGATCGGCAAGTGTTGCAGATGTAATGTGAAGCTGGTGATTGATGTGACGTCTCGGTGCTATCCGTGGGGATATTAGTCTTCTTTGCAGAAGCCATTGCGTTTGCTGAGATAGTGTTCGGCTGATGATGACAAGTTGATGAATGTAAATTATTTATTGTGGTGGATGAATTTTTGATGGGCATGTTTTTCAAATTGAAAAGATTATTTGGTGGTTTGGCAAACGGAATCAGGAGTTCAGAATCCATTGAACGTTTCAACATTTTTGTCAAAAATGAGCAAAGCTCCACAAGCAAAATTCCGCCTCAGAATTTTGATACAAATGACCGAATAAGCTGTACTGTGTGGTGAAGAGTTATTAGGCCAGCATCCATCCACCTATCGAAATTGAATAAAATAAATATTATTCGAATTCTCTTTTGTGTGCCCTTGCTGCTTCCTTGCTCACCTTCCAGCCTCTTGAGCACTTCAGTAATACAAAAGCAAAAGCAAAAGCATCAGCATCAGCATTGCGTTGGGAAGGAAAAGAAAGACTTTCTTTTATTGGCATCCAAAGAAGAAGAAACCTTTGATTTTTTCTCCTGCCTCTGAATTCAGACCTCGACCTGATATTACTGATATCATATACTGTAGTATTATACATTCACAAACGGTAGGATAGACTTCCTCCCATTCACACAACCTCACGCACGAAAGGAACACCACATTCGCTATTCAGCCCATCAATCAATAAGAAATGGGAAATTTCTTGGGAAGTCCAGTGACAGACAAAGAGACACATGAGGGTGAAACGAAAGAATACAAATATGGATTATCTTCCATGCAGGGTTGGAGAGTGCACATGGAAGATGCTCACATTGCGGAAACCACCGTGTATTATCTTGCTGACGACGACGGCAACAACAACAAAAAAGTCACCATACCCAACCACGGGATCTTTGCCGTCTTTGATGGACACGGTGGGACCTTTGCCGCAAAGTATTCCGGGCGAAACTTTTGTCGCGTCTTGAGCAAACAGTCCAAATGGCAAGAATATGCCACTCTGTTGGAAGCTTCCACAAGTGAAACCGAAAAGGGAAAAGTAGAATCGACCAGACGGATGCTTTTGGACTGTTTGGAACAAGCGTTGAAGGATGCCTTTGTTGAATTGGATCAAGAAATTGGTTTGGCTACGGAAGGAACCCCTGTCGATGACGCCGATACCCCTTATCATGACGAAGCACCACCACCAAAGCCGAATGCCAACGACGGCGACGAAGATGGCGGCGACGACGACAAGTCATCGGATGAAAAAGATGTCATGATGCAAGCTGCCGCGGAGCATGTCAATACGCTGAACGAACATGACAACCAGAATCAAGCACTTGCCCCAGAAGATCCTAGCGATGACTCTGGTACCACAGCCTGTGTTGTCTTGATAACACCCGACCACTTGGTCTGTGCCAACGCTGGTGACTCGAGAGCTGTCTATTCCAAGAATGGAAACAAGGCAATTCCACTCAGTTATGATCACAAGCCAGATGATGAAGGGGAAGAGCGACGAATTCGGGAAGGTGGTGGATATGTCGCTGGGGGCCGTGTCGAAGGTGATTTGGCCGTGAGCCGGGGGTTGGGAGACTTTCGCTTCAAGAACATGCCAACAGTCTTGGCTGGCAATAGTAATAAGAACAATTCGGATACAGAGGATGAGCCACAGCCAGTCCAAACAATGCTGCCAAAAGATCAAAAGGTATCTCCAGTACCCGATGTCATTGTACAGAACCGAAACCCAGATCAAGATGAATTCATAATTGTCGCTTGTGATGGGATTTGGGATGTCCGAAGCAACCAAGAATGCGTCATGGAGGTTGCTGAAATGTTGGAAGAAGGTGAATCAAATGTCGGATTGATGGCAGAAGAGGTACTGGATCGATGTTTGGAACTACGCTCCAAGGACAACATGACCGCAGTAATAGTGTTATTTCCACTGCAAAAGATTGGTGAGGGAGGTGGTGTTGGGGCACGACGAGAAGAACGGGCAAAAGAATTAGAAGCAGAGCGAGAACAAAGTAAAAATGTACCACGCTCAACTTTATAAAAAGGTTAAGTGACTATAAAGTTCAAAAAAAAAAGATAAAAATTTACGAAGTTGCTAACGTGGGATGCATGGTGGAAGTGGATTGATTTGGCAATTCATATTAGTAGTAGCTATCATAGTGATATTCAGGCCTCTGTATAGATTGGGTCGCCAAAGAGATCGGCATAAGTCTGCTGTACGCTTCGTTTCATTTGCTCGTCCCATGGCGTCTCATACAGTACTGCCCGACCCGCTGCACCTTTGGCCAATTCTACCTCGCCCTTGGCATAACGAGCTTCGACAAGTTCCTTGTACACTCGAGGATAATGACGGTTCATGCCAATGGCCAACTTGCTAGCTTCAAGCGCCTTGTCATATTGCTTCATTTCGACAAAGCACTTGGCAAATAAAAGATAGGCATTCAACAATTGATCAGGCGTCAAGGAGGAGGCAGCGGAAGAAGAACCATCTTCTTCTTCTTCTTCTGATGATGCAATTGCTACAATTTCTTTCAAAGCAGCTAGGCAAGCTACGAAATCCTTGTTTTGAAGCTCTAGCCGAGCAATCGTTAGCCTGACTTCCATGATATCATTTGGTTGGACAAAGAGGACAAATTTCTGTTCTCGCATGTTCTGAATCTCTTCTAGTAAGGCCTCTGCTTGTTCCATTTCAGCCACCATCATGTGTTGCTTGACTTGTTCCATGAGTTCATCGACTTTCTTCTGCTGGTCCACAGGAACAGACGTGGACGAGGATGATTTGAATAACTTTGTCACCGCCTCCTTCAGAAGTGTCAGGCCCAAATCGGGCGCCCCAATCAAACCCAGAATCCGCCCTTGTAGAACTTTGGCTGCCGTATTACTAGAATCTTCGTCCAACAAAGTCTCGACAAAGTCCAATCCCTTGTTGGCATATTTCACCAAGAGTGGATGCTGGTGGGGCTGTCGTCGGAATTTCTCATTGGCTAATGTTCCATCCGATTCGATCAGAAATGACGCCGATGCAGCCTTGGCCGCCCAGAGCGCTGCTTGTAGCAACTGGAATTTGCGTTTGTCGGTGCTCGCATTCTCACCATCATTATCATTAGCAACATCAGCGTTTGGCTCTTCGGTGGATCGACAGCAGGGGCACTTTGGATTGGCGTTGCTGCTGCTGTTCGAGGACGAGGAGGAAGTCACGAGTGACGTCGAGATCGTCTCATAATGATTGATGCAGGATAAGCAAAATCGTAGGTCACAACAGGGAACATCTGAATCGCTGGTCTTGTAGTTGTAGAGAGGAGCCTTGCATTCGATCTTGCACATGTCGCACGAAATATTCGTACTTTCTGGGGTAGTGCTAGTTTCTCCTGAAGGTTTCACACTGTGTGAATACGGTTCTTTCGAAGGGGAGACCTTATCATTTCCAGATTTGCATTCGACTGCCAAGATCAGATTACTCTGTTGCAAAATATCCTTGGGCGATTTGCAGTAAGACTTATGAACTTGCCAGTGATTCTTGGCACATGCTTCGTGACAATAATAGGTCATTTGACAGGTGGCACAACGACTGGGTGGGTTGGGGATTCCACAAGCATCACATGCGATGCAACTTTGCAGACTTTTCGTATATGGACAAACTTCGCTCTTGTATTTCATTATGATCTTGGATTATTCCAGTAGTGCTATTATATTAATACACAATATATTATAATACGTGGACGGAGATTTGTTGTCAAAGCATCACAAGCCCTTTTTTGATTTTCTCTCACGGATTGAAGTTTTTCGGAAAAAAGTTGACGTGGTCTGAACTTCTTCCGTCGCTATTCTTTGTTCCGGAGGTTTCGTACAAACGGACATACACCTTCCGGACCTAAAGGACAGCCAGTACTTACAGTACAGTATATATGTACGGTAGAAGCAAGAGTCGGTAGAATAGAATGCAGACGGACAGGCCTATTAATATATGGATAGGCCCAATGTGAGAGGAGAGAAGCACAGAAGCAGTTTCTGTGAAGGGTTCTCGGAATGTGCTCTGAAATTGCAGATGAAATCGTCAGAATGACAAGAAATCTGAGAACTGACACTACAGTAGCAGATTGCAAAAAGGCTATCCATGCAAAAGTTATATAATCAATAGTGTAAGTGAAATCGTCAGAATGACAGAAAGTTGCTGAGCACTGGCACTGGCTATCATTTGATATAAATTGTAGGGTAGTCGTGGTGTTGGATAAAGTAGTATTGAGGAAAAATTAAAGGCTAGTTGATTTAATCCTACCGGTATGTTGTAGTGAGTGTGGTGTTTATAATTTGTACAGTAGTATAATACAGTGTGGTAGGTAGTCTGTAGGCTTTGGACATTGCGTTTGTATACATCGTCGCGCGCGCTTCGTAGTATAGTCAATAGTAGTCAATAGTAGTAGTGGTAGGCAAAAGAAGAAGTTGGTACGTAGCGAGTAATTCAACTTCTTCTTTCAAGCAGCTGCAGCTGCATGTGGCGGTGTTAGCAGAACAAGAATGTTGAGAAGTAGAAGGTCTAGATCTCTTTGTTCGAAGAAGTCAACGTTTGGTCCCCCTTGATGAATGGCTGCTGAAAGCCATTGCAATTCCTCTCGTGCTTGATCGAATCGGCCAGATTCGTAGTGAATTTCCGAGATGTTGTTGACAGCAATTATCCTGACAGACATGGAAGTAGGATCTGTTCTTGATTGAAGGAGAGTGATGATCATGTCGTACATCGACTCTGCCTTCTTGGTGCATAGGTTGTTGCAGGTTTTCTTGGCTTGTCGGTGGTATGCCATGGCAAGGTTCAGAATTGTGCAGGCAGAGTATAGCTGAATGTCGGAAGAGTTTCCGAGGCTGATAGCAAGAGGTCTGTTGTAGATGTAGTAGCTTTTGCCTTCAAGGTGTCGAAGTGACTCCTTGGCAGGCAGTGCAGTGACATAGCAGTCCACATCTGCACTTGTCTTCAACGGACAGCTTTGATCTCCAGTGCCTAGAAGCTTTTGCAGTGCTAACAATGAGGTTGTGAAGGCTGATACTGCTTTTTGGTCATCCTCGCTGCCTAGCAAGGAGACACCATGGTTGTTCATGTGAATGATCTGTTGGATGGATTGAATCATAGTTACGATGATTTGGGTTGTGTCCTTCTCCTTGATTTCGTTTTTGTGACCTTTTTGTCGATCCCGAGGTGCAAGGAATATGGTGACGCTGGAAGACTTGGTAGGAATTCTACGTTGGAACATTGCGCAGGAAACGAACAAATTGTCCCTCGTCTATAAATGAAAGTGGAAATGAGATCGTCAGATTGTGCATGTAGCTTGGGTACATAAGTGTTAACCGGACCTTGTTGGACAGAAAGGCTTCGGCTTCCAACACTCGACTTAATGGAAAACATGGCAGAGACAAAGCAAAGAATCTGATGCGGACTGACGTGGTGCTCAAAATTCGGTTTGTAGGGGAAAACGAAATGACCAACACTTACGTGGCCTTTTCGGTTCGCGATTCTTGATAATCGTGAAGAAAAATGAAGTCAAGACTTGACACCTTCCATAAAGCGTTTTGACTCGAACCATCTGGAAAAGTTCAAAGAACGACACAGCAGAGGCGCCATCGTGTCTTTCCTGTTGAACCGGACCTCACAGAAACCGTTCCCGCGGTTTTGAAGACTTCAGGGTCAGCTGGGAAAGTGCAACGACAGACACACTTCTAATAGCAAGTGGCCGTTGTATCAACTAGTCCTGCTGTATGATCCCGCTTTTCTGTGACAGAGTAGAGGGCAGTAGTGCTGCAACGAGTTTCTCTTGTTTGAACCAAATGGATAGCTACCGCCATCTGCCTTGCTTCACCCAGCCGTAGCTTGTTAGTGAAGGCCATGCTTGTTGTTGCTTGCTCCCATCTTGAAGATGTCGTCTGATCAATGATATTCGAATGTGGCACTGGGTGAGAGATAATTAATTACAAGAGTCCCTACTTGCGGTACCAGCTATATAGCGCACTCTCTATCTCTCTCCCACCACACACCACATACACAAAAGTCGTCTCAGCGAATCGAAAAGTCTGCAGGATGAATGAATAAAATCAAACGGGGGCCGATCACTATCACTATTGTGGACAAATCAATCATCAGACAAGAACAAGGTGCGCTCATCTAGACACGACGATTATGATGCAGTAGTTCTAAAGCTCCACCACTCCCCCCAGTGTTTCGTCAACGATCTCCCACTCTGCTGCTAAACATTCTGCTGGTTGAGTTTCTGAATGAGTGGTTTCTGGAAACGATATCTCGACTGTTTGTTGTTGTTCTTTGTGCTTTTTCAATCGTTTCAATACCTTGGAAAAACCTGTTCTTGGTCGAATTGTTGTTTTGAAGCGTCTTGAGTCGAGTTCTCCAACCGGAGAGTCGTCGGTATTGCCAAAAGTCGAGGAGGAGTCAAGGTCAGTTTCTGGTGCCTGTGGAATGCTCCTCATTCCATGCATATTCTTCCTCATTGTCGTCTTCTTGGGCCAGCAGGAGGTTAGCAAGTGAAGGGCGAGTATTCGGACACCTTTGTGCTCATCATTGCATTCAAACTCCGAGTCAAAAATTTCACAGCGGCCTTTGTCAGCATTGTCCTTTTCTAAATTGCTTGGTGGTGGACCGACGTTCGTTGTATCATAGTCCTTTTCAGTCAGTGGCGTTGATGACAAATGCCTAGTAGTATCAATGATTTCATGCCCTTGCATCTCTTTCCAACACGACTCTACTCTGTCGCCATTGGTGGATTCGGTCGTTCGAATATTAATATCAGTTTCGTCCTTTATCGTACTAGGCTTCTTGGTCACTTCATGGCCTCGTTCTGATGAACTGGTTCTTGCTCTCGATTGTTCTTCGTTTCTACCCGTCTCTTGGAGGCAAGAATTGCGATACTTCGATTGATGAGATCCGATCTTTGGCATTTCACCAATGAATAAGTGCTGACTTTCCACATCCTCTTTTGTTGTCAGTACCTTGAAAGTAATACTACTGCTGCTGCTGCTACTACTACTAGCCTGGATTTGGGAATTCGCCTCCTCTTCTTGGTACGATGTTTTGACTGGAGAAGACAAGGGCGTCGATCCCGATTCTGGTGTGTCCTCTGCTGTGATGGATGCCACGGAATATGCTTCGTCCTCTGTCTCGAACAAGTTCAGATACGCTGTGTATCCTGAAAAGATCGAGTTTTGTCCAGTAGCACCAATACTTGGATCATTCGTCTTTTGGCTTCTTTCAATATCTTTTGTTGCAGCAAAAGTCACGTTCGGGGCTTGAACTTCGGGATTTTCATCCACGTGGGAAAATGCTTTGGATTGAGACAAAGTCGACGAATGATTGGAAGAATTCGATGATGTGTCCTCTGCTTTATGGGATTCCACAGAATATGCTTCGCCTTTTGTTTTCGACAACCACGAAGACGAGGTGAGATTTGCTGCGCATCTTGAAAGTATCGAGTCTAGACCATTGGTTTGAGACTCGCGATTCGGCTCTAGCGTCGTCCAAGCCGATTCACAGTGGATCGAGCGCAAACTCCGTGGGAGCGTCAGTTCCGACAGATCCGAGTTGCTCACTCGAATCAGATCTGGAGCATTGTGTTGTTTATCTTTTTGGTCATCATTTTTCAATCGTTGATCAACTGAAGAATAAGCTTTTACCTCTCGGTTACAGGATGATATGTGTATTATGGTGTCATTGATCCACGCGAGTTGACCTCGTGGTGAGATTCTTTCAACAGGCTCCACTTCGAACATCAAGCAAGGGTTTAGCATCAAGTTTGCAACTTGTTCTCTGCATCTCTTGAGTTGCACCTAGGAAAATTCTGGAGATGCAACGCACGTCACCGTGTCTAAGTATTTGTGCCGGCCGTGGTCGCGTTCTGCGTTGAGAGCCCGTCGATGCGCGACGATCCTTGAAAGAAAAAGAGAGATGATGAGGCATATACCGGTATTCAAGGACGGTGAACGGAGAGGCAACGTTTTCTGGAACATGAAAACTTCACCAACAGACTGTGTTCCAAGCTTACTGCTGCTGGTTGAGGAAGTTACCAGATTATGACGGCTACCAAAAGATAACTGCCGGTTATTCGCAGTATCGTCATCTTGCCAAAAACAAAGTAAGGAGAGAGGAAGCGCAAAGAAGAGCAAAGAATAGAATGATACGATCTCGTGCCGAAAGCTTTTCCAACAATGAAGAAGACCATGGAGCTCTTCTACAGTACTGGTCTGATTCGATTGCAAAGAATATGTCCAACGATGAAAACCTGCTACTGACGAGGAAACTTTTACTAGCGAGGAAGCTATGTGATGATGATTGGTGTACTTGGTGGGACAAGCAGCAAGCCGCTCAACGCATTATGGAACGCGAAGACAAAATGCATTCAGCGCAGGGCTATTTTCATCGAGGATGGTATTGGCTCCATATGGGAAAGTATAGTCGGAGCTTGTTCGAACTCAAAAAGGCACTCAATTTGTACGATAAAATTCCCCCGATGGCGGAGGTTTCAGTGGAAAGGCAGCAAGACTTTCTCGAACGAAAAGCAAAATGTCATTATGCGCTTGGACAAGCCATGATGGGCACTTTTCAGATGGGTGAGGCTGAGAAGGAACTGTATCGAGCTTGGAGAATCAGTGCCAACTATGAAGAAATGGAGTCAATGACAAAACATGTAGAACATTTGATGGAGGTGGCCTTATCACACAACTGGGGACAGCTGGAAGCTCACTGTCGTACAGTCCGTATCAAGAATGCAATAGAACACGAAGTTTCTGCGGACTGCATGTATGCCAGCGGCAATTTACATGTGGCGCTAGAAGAGTACCGAAAATGTCTGATTATACAAGACGAGAAGGAATCCTATCTCCGCACAGCCCAAGCTCATGTTCGATGCAAATTAGCAGCGACATTTCAATCTCTTGAACGGTTAGAAGAGGCATCCTACGAGTGGGCCACAGCATTACGCATTTACCGACACGATTTGGGTCCAGATCATTCCCGAACTCTAGCAACAATGAAGCGATTCAGGGCCAATCATGCTCAACTTGCCGAAATTGCAATTATTGAAGCACAGGGACATGTTCGGTAGAGGAGAATAAGATAACGCACGTGTGGTGAATAGTAATACTGTTCGGGTTTTTCTAGTGAATCTTCGGCCCAAAGTGAGGGAAGTTGTTGAGTGACTGTGTTGATGGTTTGTGTATTTGTGTTCTGCAATCTTCGCCGTGAGTCCGTACTTCTACCGTATTCTATTTAGTCGACGATTCAATCATACAACCGGACCACACCATTACCACGAAAGCAACCTTTGTTGGTAAAATAAAGCACTGCCATTATGTCAGTCAATATAAAGATGATGCAAGTTAAGCCTTCAGCGAGATTGAAATACAAAGCGTAATGAAGTTATCACCAATAGTAGACAAACGAAAACAAAACTAATTCATCTCCTTCGTCCGCTTTTTGACGCGATGTGAGAATGTGCGGATGCGAACCGTGATGGTACAAGACCGACGCGAACCAAACCATCAAGATTTGGCTTCTGGTAAGCCAGATACGAGAAGATACCAGAAGCCAGAACCACAACTAAAAAGTCGAGGTAGATTCCTCGTCTCACTTTACAAAAACACAAGCGAAAACAACAGACTTTAGTTCAACCATGACATCCCCCATCATCGAAGACTGGAATCGTCATGTTGGACTCAACAAAGAAGGTGGTCAAACACCAGTGACTGATAGCGAGATGCTTCGCAAGATCATCAATGTGAAGCTCGCAGCTCAAGGATACGATGTGCAAAACGACGAGTTCACTCAAAACGTCGCATCTGACCTTTTCCGAGTTTATCGAGAACAGTCTCGCCAGCTCGAATCGCGTCTTTGTCCAATGGACACTCGTGTCCAAGACTTTCTTAACGATGCCCTTAAAGCAACAGGAGAGAAGATTCAACTTCCCAACTCGACTCTATGTGTCGATCGCTACGGATTGGCAAGAGAACTGTCCTTCCCCGACGGTGCCAATGAATTTCACAACAGTGAGATCTCAAGCTACCGTCTTTCCAAGGGAGGTGTCTTGCATAACCCAATCAACGACAAGCGCACCACAAAGGGAGTCTTCCATGTCGCCGACTATGGTCTTCCTATCCCTGCTGACAAGATTGCGGTTCCTCTTGTGACCTATGCCCGACTTCTGCAAGCAGCCTTCCTTCCTCCGAAGGATCTCAACACCATCCCTTACACTTCCAACTGGAAGTTTCCTGCTCAGAGCATGGTCTCTTTGCAGCTGCGTCCACTTGCATGCCCCGCCATTCCAGGAAAAGTTCCCGAGAAGCGCCTCGAGGTCCGATTCTTTGTTCCTGGATCCTGTGTTGCAAATTTAGATTTCGTCGAATCCATCTTTGGAAACGCTGGTGACCCAAGTCTTCCTGAGAACGACGCTGGTTTGGACGTCGACGGTTGGACTGGTACCACTGGATGTGTCGTCTTGGCACCACACTTGCGACAGTGCCTCAAGAAAGACTTGGGCTTGCCTCATGTCTCGGAAGCGACCGAATACCAAAAGTCCAAGGGCTTGTGCTGGACCAAGGAGGACGAACCATACAATGGAGGAAAGCCATTCAAGATCACTCTTCGTGATGAACGCGGTATCATGGTGACCATCTTGGCTGACAACTATTTTGGTAAGTGCAAAATGTGTGGAAGAATGAACAATGGAAATGGCTAATCTCAACATCTAACAATGCCCTCCTTCCTAATTTACCTTTGCTCCCAGGCTACTGCAAAAAGGAAACCAAGACACAAATTGGATTGACTGCCAATGTCTTCGGTCTGGCCGAAGAGGAGCATGCTGGTGGTGCTTTGGCATTCAAGGCCACCAACCTCGGAGAAAAGTGCAAGTCCAATCCACGCTACCAACAAGTGCTAGTGCCCTCAAAACATATCGCGAATACATACAAATATGAAGATGCCTTGGAGCTATTGGGAGATGCCGTCACTAGGCACCCTGAAGGATATGCTACGGACAAGGAATATCCTGAAATCCATTTGCTTCCTGAAGACATGGAGCTGAACACTCAAACTCAGACAGCCAAGTTCACAAACGTTGCTACTGGCAAGGAGCAAACCATCCGCATCTTGCCCAACCACATCTACGTCAGCCCAAGTGGATACAAGGTTCGCGTAGAGCGTCATCCAACTGTCTCCAAGTGGCGTTTGGTCGGAACCATTGCAGAACCAACCTTCTGTCACAAGCCATCTACGGTCAGCGGAGGAGGCAAGTCCGAGATTTCTAAGTCTTTGAACGATGCTGTTATCTATGGACCCATTTACATTGGCAACTATGATGAAGATATGGCGGTCGTCAAGAAGATTATTGACAGAGACTACAGCGAATGTTTGCTTCCAGAGTTCCGCAAGGGACGATCGGATCCTTCTCGACGCATCTTGAGCATGGAACGTACTCTTGGATCAGTCATCAAGCTTCTCACTCCCGATGACATGTACACCAAGGAGCACAACGATTTCTTGGGAACCATTCCTCCAGGTATCCTGGCAATCGTCTTCTCAATCAAGAGCAGCTACAAGGCAGAGATGGGCGCCGATTGGCAGAAGCATTTCAATGTCGCTGTTACGAATGGAGTTGCTGGTCATGAGCTCAAATTCGACGACCGTCAATTGGTTGGCTCGTATCTCCGTGTTGGATTTGGATTGGACGGAAATTGGCGCAACTTCAAGATGCGTCAAGACTTTATCGCTTCTGACAAGGTGCAGATGGAAGACGACATCACAGCGAGCGTCGTCGTGCCACGGGAACAAATTCCTGGACTACCGAGTGAATATTCCGCCTACCCTTCGTTGAAGATCTCCCAAAACTGCGAGTGGCGTCTCTTCCAGCGACCAGACGAAGCCATCCATCCAGGATATGACAAGCAAACTGAAAAGGATATGTCGGAGAGTGGTCTCTTCTGTTCGAACTTCCAGCCAATCAAGCCCGGTGAAATGAAGGATCTCACCGAGGAACTATACTTCTGGGACCTTTTCACTCCCGACATGCAACAACACATGAAGGACGCAGCCAATGGTACCGTGAACAGTATTTGCTCTGCGAAGCCCAGGATTGTTGCCGGAGGACCAACCAAGAATCCTCGCTATTTGCAAGTTCGACCTGATGTCTCCATGCCTCGCGATCGCTACTTGGCTGAATTCGGCGCACGCCTGTACCGTCGCATTCCAGTTTCTGACCCTTGCGTATTCCCAGTTGCGGGTGTGTTGAGTGGAAGGAGAAATAATCCACCCGATGAGTTGGATGGAACTAAGATTCGTCCTCTCTGTGTTTACAATCCCATTCACTTCCAAGAGCTGCCTGAGTTGATCATGGATTACGTCTGCTGTGTCACTGGAAAGAGCCCAAGTACTACCGGCGCTGGATCCGAAGGAGCCTTGAGCAAGGGACCTTTCAATGCAATTGGAGCAACTGCTGACTTGAACAACATGTTGGTTTCCATGATTCTAACGGAATACGGCGGATTCAGCAGTGCAGCTGGGTGGATTGGGCCAAAGTACAGGGTGGATCATGATATCAGTTTGCTCATTCCAGAACTCTGGTGTCGCATGACTGCAAAAGAACGAAATCCTGCCTATCTCATTGAGAACAAATACCTGGAACCAATCGAGGACTTTGATTATGAAGGGCGCACAATCCCTGCATCTCGGCTGGGATATCGCATCACTACCAAGTTCGTCAACTATTTCTTCTGCCGCATCTTCGACAACCCATCTGGAGTCTTTGCGAATGATATGCTTCAGCCCGAAAAGCAAGATTTGGCCGTCTTCGTGGACGGTGTTGAAAATATTGCCCAAGCCATGGAAAAGTCCGCCAAGTTGTACTTTGATGATGGTATCATCGAAGATGCTTGCCCTCCGCTTCGCGCAGTACTTCATGTGATGGCTTATGGTCACTACAATGGAAAGTCCATCCAGGATCCTTCAATTCGATCAATGTTCACCAGAGACTACCTCATCAACAGTCAGTGGTATCAAGATCGCCTTACCAAGAAGCAAGATATTGACACTCGCTTGTGGACCAAGAAGATCAAGTACTTGGAAGAGTTTTTGGAACGCCCAGGATACGAGAGACAAGCAGAACACCTTCGTATCAGTGACCGTTTGAAGGAAGCCAAGAAGCAACTTGATACCACAAAGACCGATTCGTACATCAAGAGTCTTGTCGGAACTATCGGTGCCGATCCTATCCACGACGGTTACACTCAAACCAAGACAAAGGAGGCGGCCATGGCTGATGGCATCGAAACTAAACGCGGCCACCTTGTAGGTCTGTAGATCTTTAAATTTAGCTTGTATACATATTGACAACGCAGCTTTGTGTGGTGTGAGCTCTGACGAAAATGTTGTGAAGGAGCACAAATAATGTTGAGCAGAAGAAGAGATACCATGTGCAAATGCAAATGTAGATATATTTTTATATATGGTTCCGGAAGAGCTATTTGAATGTTTGGTGGTAGTTGCATAAAGTTCTCTTTGTAAAAATCGAAGTTCTACGACCAGCATGTTTTCGTTATATGTAAAAAACAAAGGTCAACACCGGAGTAATTCAAGACAAATTGAGCTCAAAGCAGAACACCACGACTATTTGTATACACTCATTATTTTGAACTCCCCGTCGTTTTTAAAAAAGAAACATGAGCCAACAAGCGTTGTCGGAAGCTTATCAAAACAATGCTGCAGCTTCTTTCATGGAAGATGGGAAATACAGTGATGCCATCGCTAGTCTTTCGAATAGCATAATGCGGTTCCCAGGTTGTGGAGGAGGGTCTTACGAAAGAAGTTATGATTATTGTGAAAGGAGTTCCTATGATGATGGGACGCAAGTACTGAGCCTTGACCATTGCATGCTATGCAGTCAAGACCCCACTTTCAAGGAAAATGGAACTTTATATCTCTATAACAGCCCAATTCGAATACCGAACGAATCGAATGTGATTTGTGGCACGATGAAGCGTGAGATAATCTCAGTCATTCTGGTTTTCAACCTTGCGCTGTCGCACCATCTACAAGCATTGGAGCCTATTGCACCGAGAGACAGAGACTTTCATCTACAGAAAGCGTTGATTCTCTACGAGCTGGCTTTTGATATTCAAAAGAAAGAGAACTGTCATTCGAACTACATTTTCGTGTTGGCAATCGTCAATAACTTGGCCATGATTCATCAAATACAGAACAACAATGCTCTCGCACACAAAGGGTTTCGATATATGCTATCAATATTAATGTATTTGGTTGAAAGTGGCAGAAACACTCAATGCGGAATACTGGAAGGTTTTCACTACAATGTTTCATTGAGTACATCGCTGACGACGAGGAGAACAGCAATTGGAGACAGTATTGCAGGAGCAGCTTGACAAGAACCAATTCGAAAAATGTAAGCCTCGAATGTATACTATCATAATTAGATATTAGGGATACAATGCCAATACACTATGATTTTAGGGTTATTAGGACTGCTAGGCCAATACACTATTGCGCCACTTTGGCTCCTCGGTTGGTAGTTTACAGTACCGGTAGGTTCATGGTAGTAAAAAGGCCTCAAATACTGGGTTTCCAGAAAAACTTGCCATCAAAATTCGTTTGTGTCCGCGTCGGAGAAATCTGCCGCGCGCGAGCACTTGGTCATGAACGAAAGTGCATAAAAAATGGACCAGATCTTGCGTGTTACCTCAACCACGCCAAAAATATATTTATAGAGTTTTGAAACGCCTGGAACAAACTCCCGCTCTTGCTGATGTCAGAGAGAGCGTTTTTGTCTTGTCAAAAGGCACTAAGTAAGATCGTTTGCACGCGATGTATGTGTTGGATCGACGACTGACTGACTCATGTGATTTGAAATAAGGGATGATAGAAAGAAAAAAAAGTCGAGACATGAGCACAGAGCAGATGGGAGTCCAACGGTACAACAACAAAAACTTCAGACGCAAGAAACATGCAGTCAATGGACATAGATTCCGAAATTGATGAAGTCTATTCTACGGTCGATCAATCACAGCGGCAATCAAGTGGAAAAAGACGACGGAGGAGACCAAGATGGATCACAACATTTGCTGGAGCCCTTGTGGCAGTTCCTCTTTGGGTTGTCATAAGGCCATTGAAGAACTGGGGGAGTCCTGTGTACATTGAAGAAGAAGAACTTACCTTGGAGTCCGAGGGGTCGCCGTCTTCACACGGTATTGTCCTACCTCAAATATTGATGGACGAAGGAATCTATGATCCTGCCGATTTCACGAATGCCATAGATGTCGCTCCACCCTATTGGAATGCTACGACTCCGCTATTCAAACATTCAAAGGCTTGGGGTCCTTGTTTCAAACCAGAGGAAACGATGTACTGGGAGTTTCATTCCGACGATGAAGCAATCGCTAATACTACACTGAATGTTCCACTGGATTACAGACGAGATGAGGAGTCAAAGACTCGTAATTGGCAAAATGCGGCTGGGCTTTGCAGGCCTGGCTTCTTGATTCTTGGCGCTGGAAAATGTGGAACTTCAAGTCTCTATCACTATCTCGTAGACCATCCAAAGGTCCTGCCCGCAATTGAGAAACAGATTCATTATTTTCGGGTAAGTTGAGATTGTGAAACAAATGTACTCGATTCAAAACGGGTTCCTCACCTTCGGCAAACTCGCAGTACCATACAGACAAACCAGTCGGCTGGTATTATTCCTGGTTTCCAACCACAAAGACCTTCTTGGAGAATGGTGCACTCATGACGGGAGAAGCAAGTCCCGGATACTTGCCATATCCACAAGTGGTCCGAGAAATTGCCATGACAGGAATCGAACCAAAATTGATTACTCTTGGAAGGAAACCAATCGATCGAATATGGTCAAGTTACAAGTATAACTATGTCACTCCAGCACTGGATAAAATCCGAAGTGGACACGGGGCTATTCCGTTGAACAAGTCGGATGATTTTTACAAGGAACATTTCCTCTTTAGTCTCGAGGAGCTTGTTCGGGCCGAATTGGATCAGCTCAATCGGTGTTTGTATGGTTTTGGCATCAGCAAAACCAGAGATATGTGGTATCACAGACATTGGACAAGAAAAGAATTTGATTATCGAGAGAAGAATGGGCTGCCGCCGTTGATTGATCTCGACGAAGTCTGTTATGGAACCAAACCTGTCAACAAGACGGTTACTCGGATCCAGTGGGCCTCTCTGCAAATGCAAAACCCACAAAAGTATATCCCACCGAAACAAGCATTTCTCATCCAAGCACTTGTTGGGCGTTCTCTCTATGTCTTACCGCTGGAATGGTGGTACATACTCATTCACAGAGAAGACATGCTGTTTGTCTGCACTGAAGAAATCAACAATGCAACTGCGCTGCTCCATCTCTCCCGTCAACTGGGACTGCCCGATTATGATTTTGAACCAGTAATCGCACAAGGAGCTTACAATGTAGGTGGACATCGAGGGTATGACACGGCTACTTCTTGGAATGAGGTCCGCAACGAAACTGACAATTACTCAGGCGATGATGGTGATGAGATTCCTCTTTCAGTCGAGTTGCGCCAAGAGCTTGATGAATTTTTGAAGCCGTTCAATGAACGACTGTTCAATCTAGTTGGAAAGAGATGTGACTGGTGATTCTAAGCGATCATTGTAAGGGGTCCGCTCTCGTTAATCAGTCTAATCATGAAAATCAGGTTGGAATCGTAAGAAGAAGTTGTTGCTACAATTTTATACATTCTATTGGTGGATATCAACACTTGTTCCACTCGCTTTGCATTTGGTTTTGTTCATGTTTCATTTTCCGGAAATGAGATGATCGCTTATGCTGCAGGGCAGAAAGGACCCAAATGTTTGATTTTTGGAATCGAGATAGGTTTTGACAATGGGCGCTTGAAGGGAGACAGGTAGGCATTGCTTTGAGAAAACGGTGAAATAGCTTCCACCTTTACAGCTTCCAGACGGTCAACGTTGGCCATTTCCCGGGCTGCCGCAGCGCAATGCCGTGTGAAGAACATGTATTGATTTGCAAGTGCTTGAGGATCAGAAATACATAGTTGTCTTTGTCTCAGTATTTCGTCTACAACAGCCATGTGAGCAAACATTTTATTTTGCTTCCTTTGTTGGTGACCTATCATTGTTTTCCCTTCCAATCCTCTTCCGCAGACGTGAGGACCAACAGAACTGGCTCCATGCAGCATAGCAACGGTTCTGCGGCAATCGTCCTTAATGTTTCTCATTTCCTGCGCACTGTACCATGTCGATACGAACTCTCTGACGGTGTAGTCGCCACGACATATTGTCGTGCAGAATTCGTTAGTGTCACTGAAGGAAACGGATTTCTTTTTGTAGCTTCGCATGTTTGATTTGTTGTAGAGTATTTATTTGTATGATGAAATGTAAGATGAAGTTGGAACAAACCAAACACCAAACCTGAGTTTTTGAGTGGAGAACCCTATTTCTGCGTGGTTGTGGAACAGGCCCAATGAAATTGGAATGACCGCAAAGTCAACTTTCCGTCAGAAGCAAATGCCTCCCAAAGCGAAATCAGAGCGCAAAATGCCCGATCGCAAATACCGGCCAGTACGGATGCAACGTACAGATTACAGAATCCAGGCGGAACAACTACTCAAAATCATATATGACTGTAAAGAACAGCATAAATGATTGAATGACATTCAGCATAGTCTTCGTCGGGATTTTAGAGTCTCGCTTCAAGCCACGCAAGGAAGTAAATACCGGTAGGTTCCAATAGGCTATTCTTTCTCTATTGCGAAGTTTTGAAGAAAGGCCGATTTCAAAAAAGAAGAACAACAACATTTTACTCGGACAACCCAACTCTCGGACATTTCGACCGAAACAATCGGACACTTGTCACTGTATTTGATCGGATGAAAAAATGACCGCTCTCTAGGGTCATCAAAAAGAAGTTCTATCATCTGCCAGACACCGAGTTCGAAAAGTGTGCTTGGTGGTGGCAGATCCATCTTGCTTTTGTCTTCCAACGAAGGGCACAGCATCTTTGGAGAAATGATCGTCTATCCACTGACATTGTCATAAAATAGTCCACTCTACTCTCTTTTTTAAAAATATTGCTCGCCCTCTACGCCACTATTGTTAGGTCGGGTGATCCAAAGTGTAAGAGCCCTTCGTTTCTTCGTAGTGTGAGTCACTTTTTCGACCGAATGGATATTGGAGGAATCAAAGATTACGAGTCGGCCATTCTTTGGACTAACATCGAAGAAATCATAGCCATTCAAAATCGCATCATTGGCATTCGATAAATTTCTTGTATGGGGATACAGGCGAAGGGCGCCTCCATCCTGCTCTTCCCAATCGTCGTTGCAGTAAAGTATGCAGGTGTAGTGTCGAAAGTTTGCACGAACTCGGTCGTTGTTTTGAACGTCAGAGACCATCTTGTTTGTCAAGGAGTTGTCGCTATGGGCCTTGTAGAAATCACTTTCTGCATATTCGGCCAGCTGTATCGAGTTTGGAATCGTTAACGGATGCTCTTGGGTGGCTGGGTTCATCGGGTCATGTGGAGACGTCTTCATCTCCAAGTTCCCATTCAAATATGATGCGATTCCCATTAATGTATCATAGTGCTGAGAGTTGATGAGATCATAGCATCCAAATAGGCATCGATTCAATGAGCAGGCTAAGATCCTTCCTTACCTCCTCAAATCCACATGATTGAGCCTCTTTTCGACTCAAAAAATGAACCGAATCTGTACGGACATTCGTATCTTGGTTTGTCTTGTGATGCAAGAATTGGTCAAGTAGCCTATGTCCAGCAACTGACGTCTTAGGAGCATTGTCTAAAACGACAAAACCAGTGTCGCGGAGTTGTTCCATGCAAAAATCTTGTTCTCGAAACAAATCGTTTAACTTGGGACTGTTGGATAGCTCGGCGGAACTCGCTGGGAACCCTGGATGCGGGCCCAGTGAATTGTAATGATCTACCACCGCCTCATAGAGGTTAGTGGTATCAACAAAGTCCTCGAAAAGTTCCTTTTGTTCGAAAACTTTGGCACAAATCCAACCAAAGTCACTATTTGCATTTGTGTTGACTTTCAACACCAATTCGGTTGACCAATGGGGAAACAGATCGCTAGGGGTGCTTTGTTGAAATTGAAACGCAGCTTCAGCTCCTAGAGCAGGTACTAGGCAGGTGCTATCGTAGAATTGGGCTGGTGAATTCTGAACAAAGAAATCTGTCGACTCGACCAGCTCTTGAAATGCATATTTCACATTTCGCAGTTGAAGATCTTTGTGTTGGTTCGTCTTTAGCGGAAAAACAATTTCTCTTGTATTTGCGACTGTAGCAAGTCCAGAAGCAGTCTGAGCCAAAGTGGCCAACGACAAAAGGCTGATGTCTATCCTCATGGCTGTTGTCTTTGGACAAAGATCTTGTCAATGAGAATTTCGTATGTTGACGACACGTTTTGTGATAGCAGATTGACTTCTTGAAGTTTCGTATCGGATGTACCGCAAACCTACGTAGTCCACGTACACTTACCCCCACTAAATAAATCTACGCACGTATCTTTTTGACGTGGTATTGGTGTAAAAAGATGAGTACGTGGTGAATTCGGATGGACATTTTGGGAGATATTTTCTAAAAATCGAGATCCAAACGCCCTAGAATCTTATTACCTCAATCATGGAAAGCCAAACGCCCTCTAATCTTACTAACCCACTTAGGAGGCCACCCCGCTATTATTTGGTCTATTGATCCAAAGAGTCAGTGCCCTTCGTTTCTTCGTCTTGTGCGTTACTTTTTCGACCGAATGGATGTTACAAGAATCGAAGATGATGAGTCGGCCATTCTTCGGGATTACATCGATGAAATCATAGCCGTCCGAGATTGCATCGTCCGGGTGTACTAAGTTTCTCGTATTGGGATACAGACGGAGGGCACCTCCATCTTCTTCTTCCCAATCGTCGTTGCAATAAAGGATGCAGGTGTAATGTCGAAAGTTGGATCTAACGCGGTCGCTATTTTGAGCGTCAGAAACTACCTCACTCGTCAACGAGTTATCACTGTGAGGCTTGTAGAAATCGTTTTCTGCGTATTCAGCCAGCTGTATCGTGTTTGGGATCGTGAGAGGATTATCTTTGGTGGCTGGAGTGATAGGGGCATGTGGTGACGACTCCATATCCATGTTGTCATTCAAATATGAAGCGATTCCCATCAATGTTTCATAGTGCTAAGGACACATAAATGATGAGACTATACCAATGCAATAAAATGAATTCAATCATCTGGAGAAGATCCTTCCTTACCTCCTGGAATCCACAATCTTTGGCCTCGTCTCGATTCAAAAAATGAACCGAATCCGTCCGTGCACTCGAGTGTTTCTTCGCATCTTCATTCATGTATTGATCAAGTAGCCTATGTCCAGAGGTTGTAGATTTAGGACCATTGTCTAGAACGACAAAACCATTATCTCGGAGTTCATCCATACAAAAGGGTTGTCCTCGAAACAAACCGTCCAACTGGGCAGTGTTTGATAGCTTGGCAGAACTTGCTGGAAATCCTGGGTACGGGAGTAGTGAGTAGCAATGATCTGACACGGCGTCAGTCAAGCATGTGGTATCGACAAAGTCCTCAAAAAGTTGTTTTTGCTCGAACATCTTGACACAAATCCAACCAAAGTCACTGTTTTCACTTGTGTTGACTTTCAACACAAACTCGGTTGGACTGCTTTGTTGAAACTGGAGCTCAGTTTTGGCTCCCATAGCAGGCACAAAGCAGCTGCTATCGTGGTATTGGGCTGGTGAATTCTGAACAAAGAATTCCGTCGTCTCTACCAACTCTTGAAATGCATACTTCAAATTTCGCAGTTGACGATCTTTGCTCCTCGTCTTGAGAAGTGGGAAAACAACTTCTCTTGTATTTGCGACTGTAGAAAAACCAGAAGCAGGTTTTGCCAAAATGGCCAAGGAAAAAAGGCTGCTATCTACTCTCATTGTTGTCGTTGTCTTTGGGAAATGAGAATCTGAGGTACTCGCCTGTCAGAAATTTCGAATATCAAGGACACGTTTTGTGAGAACAGATTGCGCTCCGAGGTACGCACTGCAAGTTGTGTACAAAATAAATCGACGATCACCGACGTGGTGGTTTCTCCTTCTGGTTCTCTGAGACGAGTTCGAGTTTTTCGAGTCGAAAAGGTCGAGAGAGTCAATCGAGTCTGCCAGATCGGGATTGGCGTCAAGACTCGGATTACATAGAGGAGTATCTTGGTTGTTGTATGTGATACCATAAATGACCGTTGTTGAGAGGAGATTATAAGCTTCTTTGGTCCTTTTGATGTGCCGATTGCAAGACACACAACATTGAACAGCTGAAGCAGCTTTCATCTGTATCACATCGTCTGCAATATGCTGTCAACACAGGAGGCTATTCCGCAAAACGACCATCCGTCATATGAGGTCAGCATGAAAGTGGATTACGTTGTCCAACTCGCCAGAGCAAGTGCAACTTCAGTAACGGGAAAGACTAGCAAGAAAGAGAGTTCCAAGGGTGGTAAGGGGGGCAAAGGCGATTCCTCAGGAAGTGGCACTGGACACACTGCAGCTACAGCAAGTAGCTCCAAGGGTGGTTCACACACCGCAGATACTAAACATACGGCTTCAAGCTCGAAAGGGAAGGGAGACAGTAGCTCCAAAGGGAAAGGAAAGGGAGACAGTAACTCCAAAGGGAAAGGGAAGGGAGACAGTAACTCCAAAGGGAAAGGAAAGGGAGACAGTAACTCCAAAGGGAAAGGGAAAACGAGCAAGAAAAGCAGCAGTTCCAAGGGAAAGTCTGCATCACACCCCAGTGAAAAAACTGTTCACACAGTGTCTAGTCAGTCTACGAAACACACTGTTGTTAGCGAAGACACTGTTCATACTGTGCCCAGCCAGTCCACAAAGCATACTGTTCCCAGTGTAGACACTGTTCACACTGTGCTTAGTCATCCCAGTGAAAAAACCGTTCACACTGTCTCTAGCCAGTCGACAAAGCACACTGTTCCTAGTGAAGATACCGTTCACACCGTGCCTAGTCAGTCTACGAAGCACACTGTTCCCAGTGAAGACACTGTTCATACTGTGCCTAGCCATCCCAGCGAAGGTTCGTCTTCCAAATCCGGCAAGGGCAAGTCCGGTAGCAGTTCCAAGGGCAAGGGCAAGTCCGGTAGTAGTTCCAAGGGCAAAGGCAAAGGCGGCTCGAAAGGCAGTAGCAGCAGTTCCAAGGGCAAGGGAAAGTCCGGTAGCAGCTCCAAGGGCAAAGGCAAAGGCGGCTCGAAAGGCAGCAGCAGTTCCAAGGGCAAAGGCAAGGGCGGCTCGAAAGGAAGCAGCGTATCACACCCCAGTGAGGACACCGTTCACACTGTACCAAGTCAATCTTCAAAGCATACTGCTCCTAGTGAAGACACCGTTCACACTGTGCCTAGCCAGTCTACGAAGCATACTGCTCCCAGTGAAGATACTGTCCACACTGTGCCTAGTCAATCCACGAAGCATACTGCTTCCAGTGAAGATACTGTCCACACCGTGCCTAGTCAATCTACGAAGCATACTGCTCCTAGTGAGGACACCGTTCACACTGTGCCAAGTCATCCCAGTGAAGATACTGTCCATACTGTGCCAAGTCATCCCAGTGAAGACACCGTTCATACTGTCCACAGTAGCTCCAAGGGAAAGTCCGGCAAAGGAAAATCCGGTAGCAGTTCCAAGGGCAAGGGAAAATCCGGTAGCAGTTCCAAGGGCAAGGGAAAATCCGGTAGTAGTTCCAAGGGCAAGGGAAAATCCGGTAGCAGTTCCAAGGGCAAGGGAAAATCCGGAAGCAGTTCCAAGGGCAAGGGAAAATCCGGTAGTAGTTCCAAGGGCAAGGGAAAATCCGGTAGTAGTTCCAAGGGCAAGGGAAAAGGAAAGGGCAACGATGGCATCACATTCCCGAGTTTGACCACAATATCTAGTCCGGATGATTTTGATGATCTTCCAAATGAGGATGATACTTTCATTATAATCCCAAGTCCGGATCGAGCTGCTCTGGACAATTGCATACTGAACGTCGTCAAAGTTGATGGAATGGTCAACGAAGTTTTCGAATGTACAGCCAAACAAGACTACAACTTTGCGCAAAAGTGGGTTACGCTGGACTCGACGCTGACTTGTCCCGCAGCAGATGTTCGGAACGTTGGGCTACCCATGGCTTCCAAAGATCCCAATGTTGGCTGTGAATGCAAGACCGAGCTGACCACTTGGGTCTTTTGGGTTTTGGGGATTGAGGACGAAACCAAGAACATGGACTGCAACTGCTTTGCGTGTCCCCCCAACACGGAAATCGGAAGGCGTGGTGGGTTTGGGTATCAGTGCGAAAGTGCAATCACTGGACAGTGTTTGAATTTTGACTGCGAGGGCAGATGCAATGGTATGGATCCTGCCATTCTTCCTCCCATTCTTGGATTCCTCCCACCGGCCGCAGGATCCCCTACCTCGACAACTCCTCGACCAACCCCTTCTCCAACGGATCCTGCCCGAACCGTTGCTTCGGGAGTCTCAAGTGCAATTTCTGTGAATTGGTTCGTGCTTGCCTTTTTTGTCATGAAGTCCATAATGCGATGAGACAGTATGAGACCTGTTGCTACTTTTGTGATACGTTTGATAACATTAGATCTGCTATTGAAAATTTGTAACAAAATTGGTATTATTTTATATAAATATAAAATGTGGCTCGCTATTTTGTAGCGCTACAGTAGTATTCAAGGCTCCAGCCAACGCTGAAACCTCATTCGAAGGAGCTCGAAGAACCACGTTGGCAATCGAGTGGCTGTGTTCTTGAATGATTGCTGGTTTCGCCTAGGTCATCTTTTGAAGGCTGTTTCTCTACCGGTCGCTTCCGCGAGCCTTGGGATGCCAGCATCTTGGGACTTCCTATCGACATGACTGAAGCAACCGAGTTGCGGTCGACATCGTCACCAGAAATAGTCGGTGCTACAGCTTCACCAAAAATGGCTCGACGTATTGCCCATACCCTCGTCTCCTCGCAATGGTATAACCTATTGTTCTTGTACTAAATTGACAGAACTTCGTAAGTTGCTGTGAAGGGAAGATCAAGGATATTTTTTCATTCAATTGCTTACCTTCGGTCGGATGTAGATCATCATGTTCAGCAATCCTTGGAGCGGGAAGAGGATTGCTTGAATGACCATAAGGGCAAAATTATTGTATGGAATCTCCATTTCTGCAATGTAGTTCTCTACTGGATCACCGTTCATATTCGCGGGGATAATGTGACGCAAGACGAATGTAACAGTATTGCAAAGCATAAAGCTTCCAACAAAGAGGAATGCTTGGGAACTGACTAGACGCAGGGCCCTTCTTTGTCCGGCAGTTATAACGTCCTTCTTGGGCCGAGTGTTGCCTCCACTTTGGTTTGAATCCTCCTCATCTTCAGTCGAATTGTCAGAGTCGGAATCGGAATCTTCGTCCATGTTTGCTCCAGCTGCCATCTTCTGTTTACGTCGCTTGTTCAGTTGGCGTCTCAGATGAATCCAAATAAGCAGATTGCCAAAGATGAGCATTGCCAACGTGGCAACAACCGGATACCGACCAAAGAATCCTTCAATGAGCCCTCGTTCTTCGCAAATAGCTTCTCCAGTGAAGGTATCAATCTTGCATCTCGCGACCCAGCAGCCAATCGTCGTGGATCGTTCGCCATAGACATTCAAAAAGAGACCAACAAAAGCAGTGATGAGAGGGTAGCCGATGCACAGGTAGTGCATCAAAGCCTCGTATCTAGAAGCAATTTCACTGTTCGAGAAATTGAATCTTGCCGTAAGCAAAAAGTAAATGCTGAGTGTGCCATTGTACAGCATTGCCGAGTGCGACCCGAATTGATTGAAGAAGCCAATCGCTGTGCAAGTGCCCGACGTTCCCAAGGCCCAAATACGATCGGAAGTTTGCTTGGAATAAAGAAATGGACCAGCCGCTGAAGTGAATGAGCCCAAGATTTCGAATAGAGACATTGCTACCAAAAGTCCGTGGTCTAGTAGTATACGGAAGAAGAAGATGATGATGTGTTAGTTTGGCTGGACTATTAGTCGTACCATGAAATATGATCTAAACGTACAAGGTGTCCATGGTTTGTTTCGCCTTGATTTGAAGGCCATGAGAATGATGATCCAAGATCCAAAAATAGTTAGCAAGGCAGAAAAGATTGGCAGAATGGCAAGCAACTTTTGCTGACCATCCGAGAGTTGTTTGTAGTCATATATCGATCGGCTGTGAGTCTCGTCATGTACAGCAGCCGTCCTATCAAACACATTATCATTGCTGGACATGTTGTTGTTGCTGTTGATCTGCCTGTAGGAAAATGCCGAGTGTTGTTATTGGTTTGTAATGCCGGCACTGTCGAATCTTCCACAAGTAAAAGAAGAATCACACAAATGATGAATAATTTCCTTAAAATGACAAAGAATTTAGATATTCATTCGTTAAATAGATTTTGGACCCGTGTGACGTCAGTCTAGTATTAGCAAAACACCTTCTCCATTTCATTTAGGGCTTGCACTTAGTACCGGGTATCATACCAGATAAGAAGTTTCGATGATTCGCGAAAATTGAACGCGGGAAAAGGTCAATGATATTTCGTCATCGAAGGGGAGTGAGTCGAGTCCCGCATATCTGAATTCCGCCTGGCCTTTGCTCCTACCGGCTGAGTCAGACTAAAAAAATTCGAAGAGAACTCGGTGGAGTCAGCCAGTCGAAATACAAAGACGATACAGACGACATAAAAAGGATCGACGCACCAAACCGAACACACAAGAACAGATGCTAACGCAAGTTCAAAGAAAGCCATAATATCATGTCTCTGTGGAAACAAAACAAGATACTGAACAAGCACAAGAATAGCATAGGAAGAATATGGAGGCAACAATCTGTTGGTGAATTGAATGCTTCAGGGTCATCATCTTCATCGTCTGTTTTGCCAACTCATTTTCTATCAGCTGGAAAGAGACGAAGAAGATCATTCTCATCCGAAGTTTCGCAACGTCAGTTTCAACGAGATGACATTTTGACATCAGAATACGAGAGATGGAAGGACATGACAAACGAGGTTCACAACTTTTCGTTCTCCAAGTCAGCAAGTACAAAAGATGCTCAGATGTGGCATCAGGCAGAATCGTGTCTGCAGATTTGGCAGAAAGAAAAAGATTTCGATCGATGTCTTGAGCTGCTTCGTTGCTTATCATCCTCGAAACTATTGATCAAGACCATTCCTACCGAAAGCTTGTTAAATCCTATATTAAAACTATGGAGATCAGAGCTGTTCACTCGTGCTGAAAACGACAAAGCAAAGAATGTTCTTCTGCCGTCTCAAATGTCCAGCTTGCTGAATCAGTATGAAGCAATCGGCTTGATCGTAATGGATAAGGCATCACATAGCATGATTCTAGATGCAGCAAGCCATATGAAAGATCCAAAGGAAGGTGTCTTCTTTGCCCAAGAGTATCTTACGAATTGGATCGAAAAGTGTCGAAAGCAAACAAATGGTCAGAGTGTCAGACCTGACGTGGTATCGATTGGATCTGTCATTCATGCCTGGGTGGAGAGTAATCATCCCGAGGCACCCAAACGAGCCGAAGAGTGGATGAATGTCTGTACAAAGTTTCTTAATATTCAACCCACCACTCAACTGTATACTTCTGTCATTTCCGCCTGGGGAAAACAAGGTGATGCTCGCCGAGCTCAAGATTGGATGAATCGGTTACGGCAACGGAATTTGGAGGTTGATTTAGGTGCATGGAACGGACTCTTGTCAGCATATGCACATTCCAACAAGCAACAAACAAAGAGGCGAGGGCCATCCCCTGCCAAGCAAGCCGAACAGATTCTGAAAGAAATGAAGCGGCGGCACGACAACGGTGAACTAGCGCAAGCTCCAGATGTCGTTTCGCATACCATTGTTTTGGATGCGTGGTCGCGACAAGTGCTTCGAGAAAGAGGTGCCAAAGCAAAGGCGCAATGTGCTCGGAGGGCCATTCAACTTTTGGACGAAATGAAGCAATCTCCAAATCCTTCCACGAGACCCAATACAATATCCTACAATACAGTACTGTCGACCTGTGCTCGTGCTGGATTGGTGAAGGAATGTGAATCATTAATGAACCAAATGATTCACGAGCACTCACAGCACTCGGACACTCTAGTGACAAAAATGACGGGTGTTCAACCAAATGCCCAAAGTGTGGCGTTGCTGTTGCATGCATACTCACAAGCCAGGATGGATCCAATGCTGGCTGCCGAAAAAGCAGAAGCTACTCTGAAAGATCTGCTTCCAACTCTTGGGATTCAGCCCAATCTCCAAATATTCAACAACTGCTTGTCCTGCTGGGCCAAAGCGAGCAATCCAAAAACAATTGTACCAGTGGAACGAGCGACAGCGCTGTTTGAAGAAATCTCGAGTGTACACGGTATGAAGCCTGATATCGTGGCGTATACGGCCCTTATGAACGTGCTGGGCCGCCATGGTGAAGCCGAGCAAGCACAAAACTTGTTGGACGATCTTTGGAAAACCTATCAGGACGCAGTACACTCGGGCGATCCAAGTGCCAATAGTTACAAACCTTCTGCTCAGTCACTGACGACGGTGCTTTATGCCTGGTCCACTAAAGATCCGGAACAAACGGAAGCTTTGCTGCAGCGTATGTCACAAGACTACGACGCCGTGCCCAATGTCTACTCGTATTCGGTCGTATTGAAGGCTTGGGCTCGACATGCTTCCTCAGACAAATACCCTGATGCGCCAGACCGAGCGTTGGCGATTTTGGAATTCATGGAAGATCACGATATCGTGACTCCCAATGTATTTTCGTACTCTTCAGTGATTCAAGCATTTGCCGAACAGGGCCGTGCCAAAGAGGCGGAAGGTTTGTTGAATAGAATGCTGAAGCGACTGCAAAAGGATCCCACCGACAAAGCTGTCAAACCAGATTTATATACTTTCAGCGCAGTCCTCTTTGCTTGGTCCAAATCCAACGCTCCGCATGCCGCCAATCGTGCCGAAGCCATTTTGGTACGAATGCTAGAACTCTACTTCTCGGGAGACTTGGATCAACCTCCAAATGTATACTGCTATACGAATGTTCTGGCATGTATTGCACAATCCAGACAACCAGGATCTTCTGAGTGGGCATTGGGAATTATGCGATCGATGCAAAAGAATCAGTCCAAGAACAAAGGCAGCCACAACGCTGCGGCGCCAAACTTGTTTTCGTACAATACTGTAATCAACGCCTTTGCCAACGAGATTGGCCGAATGTCCGGCCGGGGAGACGACATCACAATTAAAAAAATCGAGTCGATGATGGCTGAAGTGTTTGATTTGGTCCAGGAAATGATTGATTTGGGAGAACAAGATCGAAAGATGATGCCCGATGAAACCACATACCTTACAGTATGCAAAGCAATTCAAAACGTTCGTACACGAAGCAAGCACAAGAAACATGTCAACCGGCTTTTGTCCATTGTGGATCAACAAAGATATGAACCAACTACTGGGATGAGGAAGCAATTTCGAGAACTGATGAGATGACGCTATCTTAGTATCTACATGTAGGGCCAATCTCGACTACTTTAGTAGTACATCTTCATGCAACTGCGTTTTATGCGCTTCCAAATGTCTACTGTACCAATACGGTAGGATCAGACCCTCCCTTACAGCGCCTTCCCTATCTCGCATGTTGATCGTAGTATTTAGTGGATTGCTGATTGGCTAAGTGCTTCATGGCGCTCGGACAAGTCGATCGAAAGGATCTGAAAAAAAGCATGAAAATGAAACGTGATGATGCCATCATAGATAGTTGTGACGAGTCAGCACTTCAACGAAAATGCTCTTTGCAGGAAGGTGCCCTCAAGCTATTGCATTCGGAGGTTGCCATAATACTTTGACCCGCCGAGGATCTATACAAAAGCAGAAGTATCCATGCAAAACGACTGTTGCAGGAGGAAGGTGAGGAGTGGAATAATGGTTGACTCTCCGACAACCAAACGCAGAGAATGATTTAACAGCCTTGGTTTTCTTTGCTATCTATGAATTTTCTTTGCAACCTGCAGCTCTGACAAGGGCAATTCGTTTTCTCTCTTTTTTTTAACCATTGTGAGATGCTCTCGACATTCCTCGGCAGTACCTTCTGGGTTCATCAAAATCCACTCTGTCTGCTCCTGGGCATAAATTCCTACAATCGGTCCTCGAGGAATTTCAAGCAGCTCAACCAATTCTTTACCGTTCAATATTGGCTTCAACTTCCAACATCCATCGAGGTTCAGATCAGAAGCTATAAATGAGTACCACCGTTGAGCTCGTTCTAGAAAAGTCGAAACTTCGCCAACCTGTTCCTGCTGTCGGATTAGAGTGACAGCGGCAATAGCTAGTGTTGTCACCCACATCTCCCTTGTATCTCGAAGCAGTAGCCCGGTTTGAAGGCGAACAGCTTTGCTTACTTCAGGTTCAACTTGCAAGAGTTGAACCATCTTCTCATAGTGTTCAAATACGGTCTTCACAGCGATGACGTCTTTATTTTTGAACTTGATTCCCTCTCGAATCATGAACTCTACGATAGGTTTCGTTTTCTTTTTTTCCTCATACTCCAACTTCCCAAAGGGCAAAATAGTTGCTGCCAAATAGGTCAAACGGGGGTCAAATACGGTCAAGTTAGAGTTGTTGTCGCCACGCAGTGCTCGCAAAATCGAGGGCAGGATCTGAATACATTTTCGAGACTCCTCCCAGGCGTCTGCCTTCAACACGCTCAATTCTTCGCTTGCGCATTTAAATGGCTCAAGGTTACGACTGCAAAGTCTTCCACGAATCGTATCTTCTGCAGGAAGGCAGAATATGCTGCCTGCTAGGTTGAGCCTACAGATCAACTGCAACGCATTGATCGGGTTTGCGTGCTTCCCTGACAACATTCCCTCTAATTCTTTCCCAACACGCTCTCGACTGACCTTACGATGAAGTTCTTGATGAATGGTTGTCGACATGCAAGCTTCCTGCAAATCGTCGGATAGCTCCATACCAAATCGAACAGCAAATCGAATGGCTCGAAGCACGCGCAAGGGATCGTCCCGAAACGTATGATGCGCATCGAGAGGGGTGGTTACAAGCCTGGTTTCCAGCAAATCCTTGAGGCCTCGTCTTGTCCAATCTTCAACTTGATTGGTGTGAACGTTGTAGTACAACGCATTAATCGTAAAATCTCTTCTGTATGAATCCTCTACAGGTGTTCCTATCACAATTTCCGGAATTCTCGAATCATCTGCGTATGCCTCGTGTCTCAAGTTGCTGAAGTCAACTTCAATGCCGCACACCTTCATGGTCGCAGTTTCTAGATGTTTTGATTGATCCGGATTAGCAGCAATCACTCCTATTCTCCCAATCGTTTCATGTTCAAATAATTGCATATATGTCTTGAGGCAATTCGCAAATTCCTCTCCTGTGCAATTGTCCAAAGCGATGTCAACATCGTCAGATTTCATTCCGAGCACTTTATCTCTGACCCACCCGCCTGCAACTCGTACTTGGACATCTTTGGCCGGATATCCCTCGACTCTTCCTTCCGCCAGGGCCTTGCAAGCCTTTTGGATACAGTCAAACAAGTTTCGCTCGCTTGATTCAAGAGATAATCGTAGAGAATTGTCCTCCAAAAGAGACGCCATGCTGTTGTTATTGCTTTGGCATGATGATTCGGGATCGACGATGAGCGTCACAGGATATACTATTGGGACTGCATTTTTCGGGTATTCTGGGAGATTCCCACTGTAGCTATCGTTCATGTCAAAAGTAAGTGGTTACGAGCAGGAATGGTGGATAGTGATTCCAATCAATGGTGGGGCTATATTATGGTTTGAGTGAACAATAAAAGTTATAGGTGCAGATCTCTTTTATTGTGCATGCATGCATGACAGAAATCAGTCGCATATGATGGGTCGTCAGAGACGTATGACGGACGTGCGTGCGTAACCTGTCATGATTTCAATTTCGTGAATCGACTCGCGACTCAAATCCTACAGTATTACCTGTACACGTGTACCCTTTCACCTTGGCGCACAATCAATAAAGCTTCCGTCTGTCCTTCGTTTTATTGTCGTGATGGACATCAACGCGACATATTCAAACAAACACGTCACGTAGCTTTCATCATTTTTCATCATACTAAAAAGCTTGACCATCCCGTACGGTATGCAACGATAGCGCTTATATTATTGCAACAGCAGTGTCAAAGGTTTTGCCATTGTTGGGATAACCTTTCTCACCTACAATCAGTTTATTATTGAAGAGATTCCCAAACTTAGCGGAAGCTGGGCACCAAATTGCTCCAAGAAGCTTACCGCGTCCATCACAGAACAGTTCTTGCCTGCTAACAACAAAATACACTTTCAGATTTTGGAGACATGGGTCGCAATCGAGGGCTCTCCTTTCATGATGTGGATCCTCATGAGACAAGTGGAATCTTGGACGAAATATTGAAGGAATCAAATGCTTACATGGGTGGAGCTTCGATGGGAAAAGGTCTGAAGAAGGCAGCTCAGCATTACTTGGACCAACGTTTTGCAAAAGTTTCATCGACAAATCCCATGAAAAGCATTCTTGAGCTTCCAGGAGCTGGACTTCTTTCAGCGGATTGCAATTCTAATCCAAATGAAGAGCCTTTTTACATTATGGATATCGGTGTTTTGGTATCTCAAGTTTATCAATGTAAGTTGTCAGGAGTGTGTCATCTGATATGACGACAATATCACAACATCAGACCAAAGACAGCGTGACATGACATGATACCGTGGGATTAATGGGGCTATCGTATCACCATGATCACAAATCACTAACACAGAATGTCTGGTGTTGTTGTTGTTGTTGTCTTTGCTTTCCAATTTTTAGGGCGCCGATTCTTTCCTCGTGTCGAGCCATTTTATGCAGTCAAGTGCAATCCTGATCCGGTCATTTTAAAGACACTGGCCATTCTAGGTTGCAACTTTGATTGTGCCTCTCGCTCCGAGATTAGACTGGTGGAGCAAGCATCGAGAGACTTGTCCCGAAAACCAGAAATTGTGTATGCCAACCCTTGTAAGGCCAAGGTTCATTTGATTGAAGCCGTGTGCAAAGGATTTCGCATGGTCACATTTGACAATGCTACCGAGATTCAAAAGTGTGCTTCGATCAGCAAGCATATCCAGCTGATATTGCGCATCGCCACTGATGATCGGGGCAGCCGGTGCCGCTTCAGCACCAAATTTGGCGCTCCAAGGTACAAGTGGAAGCCCCTTCTTGCTGCGGCAAAGAAATATGGATTGTCAGTTGTCGGCGTTTCATTCCATGTCGGATCGGGATGCCGTGATGCATCAAAATATGAACTGGCATTGAAGGATTCCAAGGAAATCTTTGACATGGCAGAGAAGGAGTTTGGAATGAAAATGACAATTCTCGATATCGGTACGTTTGCGTCATGATGGTATTCTGATTTCGCTTCAGCGATGATGATAGGAAATCTAGCTTAACTTTCTCACGCCAATGCATTTCTTGCCACAATATATAGGAGGTGGGTTCCCAGGTGAAACACACAGTTTGTGGAATCCAGCTGCAGAAATTGACCATCGGAATATCCAAGAAGAAAAGGAAGGAATCGAAGCGGACGGCAAGGAAGATGAGGACGAGAATCACTTTATGTTCTTCACAGAAATTGCAGCCGAGGTGGCCCCAGCCATTGATCGGTATTTCCCGGAATCATCTGGTGTACGTTTAATTGCTGAACCAGGGCGGTACTTTGCGGCTGCCGCGGCCACACTGTGCTGCTCTGTGGTCTCTGCTCGTTCCAGTGTGTTTGACGCATCGTTTGAAGACTCCCCTGTGAATGATCAGAAAGCGGCTGCTGCGATGCACGATATGACTCGACAGGATGAAGTTGATGTTGTGCACCGCAGAGTCAGGTCGAAAGAACAATCCGATGCCATGAGCGATGCTGCATTTTCCCACATTCAAGATGAGTTGGCAGATTATTCGAAACTCTATGCCACACAACAATTGGCGCAGCAAGAGTTTGATGTATACAATGACAAATTGAATCTATACGAAGAAGGTTTTGAGACTGCTGTCGATCTGTTGGGGCCACCAGAACCGCATCAACTCACGACACAATTGCATACTGTGGAAGGTATGAACTATCCATTGGTAGCAGCCAGTGCCGACTTGGAAAATGGAGACCCTGATAAGAGCGCCATGATATCATTGGTTGCGGCTGGAGAGGCAGCAGTCAAGGGTATGATGCTTCAAGCAGTGGTCGATACTTCTGAACTTCAGGACGACTACGCCTACTACGTTAATGATGGTGTTTACGGTGCCTTCAACAACCTCATGTTTGACCACGCCAGTGTTCGGCCCCGTGTGCTTCGGGTTGATCCAAATTGTGACAACAACAAGATGGATGCTCATGGTGACACTTCGTCGGACGATGAGAAAACTGTCACGGGGGAGCTATTTGCTTCAACAGTCTTTGGTCCCACTTGCGATTCTATTGATGTGATTGCTCGATCAGCCCTGTTGCCCAAACTAGAAGTTGGTGATTGGATGTACTTTCAGAACATGGGTGCCTACACCATGGCAGCTGCCAGTTCGTTCAATGGCTTTGATCCCAGTGAGGTTTTCTATGTATGTAGTGTCCAACCAGAATACTTTGATAGTATTATCAAGGAAATTTCGCGTGACAAAGGCGATGAAGCTGGTGAAGAGAAGAAGGGTTTCAGGTGACAGCCCTCACGATAATACAGTATTAGACAATAGGACTTCCGTTTGTCCGTCTACCTGTCCGATGTTTTCAAATTGCTCGACAACTCTCCAAATAAAGTAAAAAGTACGATAGTACCCTGGTACCGCACAGAGCAGTCCACTCTAATTTTCCAAATAGTGACAATGATGAATGATATTATAATGTAGAGCTGGGTGTACAAGTGTCAAAAACTACATTCTTTGAAATACAAATCAGAGATTCAAGATACAAACACGAATGAATGGATAATCAATCAATCTTCGTGCTGGGATTGGACAGTCTCTGATCAATTGCTGGCGTATGGATTGTTGGGACGACAGAGCCTTTTGTTGCTTTGATCTACAACATCATTTGGTCGCTTGGTGGAATTGGCATGATTGCTGACAGGGGTGACCAAGGGAGCCCCTTGAATGGGATGCTGTCCGTCCATGGAAAATCTTCCCCGGCGTGAGGGTGGAGCACTTCCAGGATTCGGATTGATAGCGGTGTTCGCTATGTTAATGGGCTGATTTGGCTGAGAAGGATAAGAAAAGAGGTTCGAGTTCTTCAATGCATCCGTAGACGTTGGTGGTGGGCCAATGGGAATGTTCGTTACATTTGGCTTTGCGTTTGGAGTTGGTTCCGGCTGAACAGCACGGTTGCTATTTGCACGATTGTAGGTATTTCTTGAATGTGGAGCTGCATTCGTGTTGTTGTATGGATTGATATTGGGGTTGGTAGGATTGTTCAAAGTTGCATTCGGGACAGCGTGTCGGGTGGGACCGGAGATTGGCTGTTGATACGCATTCTCGGGCACTGATGGTGCGGACTGACGAGCCTGTTGGTGGCCAGGGTTCGGGTTTTGATTCGAAGTGGGCATGGAAGTAAAGGCGAAATTGGCTTTGACTTGGTTACCCTGCTGGTGCCGGTGCTGTGGAGCAGGTATTGGCTTCTCATTGACCGACAAATTCGATAGTGGAACTCGATTTCCTTGATTAGGAGGTGCCTGGTATTGATTCGCTGTTGTTGCTTTTGGATTCATGGTGGTGTTCTTGTTTTCGCAACCCATGCTATTCCTAATGGGCCCACTGCCATTGTTGGTGGCGGTGTTTGCAGTAGTCACTGTCGTAGCCGCAGTGTTGTTGGCACTTGTTGCACCAGTATTTGGCTGCTGAGGTTTTCGATCCTTTGGAAAGCCAAATTTTGCTTTGCATCGTTCAATATCATGCCTATCAAGAGCATCCTTCAAGGTTTTGGGAGCATTCTTGATCGAAAAGGAACTTTCGTACAATGCTATTGTTGGAATAAAGACAGGAAAAACGAGATGAAACAGAAAGTGGTCAGCACAATGCAATTCGTTGTACTGGTTTGGCCATGCTTCATAGCCTTGTACACGATCCAACTACATTCCAACTACATATATGGATATATTTGAGAACTTACAATTGCCCAGCTTGTCTCCAAAGTGTCGGGCAGCCCGCTTCATGGCATCCGTAATACTGGCCTTGATGGCATGTCCAACTGCAGTAGCAAAGGAACGATCCGTGGAATCCCCCATGCCCACGTCTTCCTTGTAAGTCCCCGATGCCTTGTGCGTCAATCGCACATGCGCTGTGTAAATAGCAGTATACTTCCCCTGATTTTGCAAACTTTCCACCCGCTCCACCTTGACAATGTCCAAGTTCCATCCATCAAATCCAAAAATGTCATTGAGGGTTCTGGAGATCCCATCTCCAGATATATATGTCAGCTGTCTGTTCCCTGGACCCGGTCGTGTACTCAATTCTTGCTTGAGCGGTTTTGTAGCCAATATTTTGTCGACAGTGACTGGATTGTTATTGTGATCCAAGAGAATGGAACCATCCGAAGGATTTGTAACATAAGAGATAGGTTTTGGCTGCGGAGATAGCGGGCGACGGCCTCCGTTGCTATGACACGAATGTGACGGTATGGTAGAGTTCATTGAGGGAGAAGAAGTGAGAAAAGAATGCTGAGTCACTGCCGGCGGTCGGTAATGTTGGGTTGTGCTGTTTTCAATCGAGGATTGCTGAATGGTTTCAGAAATGGATTCCCTCTCGTTCCGATGATGCTGGCGTTGTTGCTGATAACCTTGAGGCTGATTAGGAACTTGGTTCATGTCCTAGTGCGTTTCAAAGGTTATGACGTATCACAGTCAAGGCAATTGGCTGTGCTTACAAGAAGTATCAACGCAATAGTATCGCATACAATTACAAGATAATGAAAATGTGAATTTGCTATGCAGCATCAAAATGTTAATCCCTGCGCGGAGGGACGCGCATGCCTATCTCCGACTGTCTCTATCGAGCATTCCGTAGCACCCATAACTTATGTAGAACATGGTTTTGAGCACTACTTCAATAGTTCTACATAATTATCCCTTGACAAGAATGGTGTAGGTGATTCCCTCCAACGCAGAAGTGTCGACAATCACTCCCCCTGACGGATACCAAACCCCGCCTCAGGACTCCCAAGGAGCCCGATGTTCAGCTCCTCAACGCGAGGACACACCACCACCATCGGCTTGTCATTGTATTTTTTCGGCTTCCCGACTCCCAAAAGTCGTCCACCGAAGCCCCTAATATTTCAGAAGTGCCTGTTCTATTATGGTTTATGGCTCATGTTTCCTCTCCAGGAGGTTGTTCATGAGCAAGTCTAACTGTTTCAATTTTTGCAACGGCAAAGAATCGGTCCAATCTATTCCCGGTTCTGACGCAAACTACCAGAAATTTGACCAACAACGTTGGGCGCCGTCTCACATTCTACACTGTTCATGATGCTTCGCTACTGGTCCTTTATGCTGCCCACGATGAACCTGGCGCACCCCAAACCCAACACCAAAGCGGGTGTCGATCGACGACTTCCAAGGTTGCTCGATTTCCAAGGTTGCTAGGCCGTGAAGTTCCAAGGTTGCCGGCCTTCCAAGGTTGCAGGCCGGCACAACATTCGATTTCCAATCAATTATTTCGAATGAATAAAATTCAAAATGCTCCACAGAGCGTCGGCAAGGTTGTGTTAATCCCTGCGCGGAGGGACGCGCATGCCTATCTCCGACTGTCTCTATCGAGCATTCCGTAGCACCCATAACTTATGTAGAACATGGTTTTGAGCACTACTTCAATACAAAATTCAAAAATTGGTAAACGAACCCGGAGGTTTGAAACATTTTTTTTGATCAAACGAGTCAAAGCCGCTGACGCCATCGAAATTGAAAATACGAATGCATCACATCGATCGAAATTTTTTATGTCAACCATACAGTACATCATGGCATCTTTGCATCAACACTCAAAATTTCCATCACACAATAAAAGATCAATCACAATGACGGCATCCCGTTTTCATATCTTACTGACGATTTTGCTAGCTACAGCCGTACAACAATCTTCATCCTTCTCGGTTGTACCTGCTGCAACGTCAGTGCAATCATCTCGGTCTCCAAAGTTCACATCGGCAAGATTCACTAGTACCAGTCTTCAGAATGATGCCACCGATGGCACTGAGGAAGTGTCTTTGACGTCTGAGGAAAAGAAAAAAGTAGTTGGAAACTTGGTTTCTGATGACGAGTGGGAAGGCTTGGGTATGGAATTGGCGGAATTGGTCCGACTGGCTGTCGTGGAGGACTTGAAGAAGAACGCTCGGGAATTTTTGGGCAAGGATGAGTACAAGCTGGGTGACATTAGTAAGGAAATTGACGATCGTGTCAAGACTGAAGTCGCCAAAGTCAGAGGAAAGGATGAATACGAACTTGGTGACTTTGTCATGGCGATGGATGAAATGTCCAAGAGTATGACCGAAGACTTGACTGGCAAACCATATGAGGCTGGAGACTTGTCGGTGGAATTGGATTCTCGCATCAAATCTTCCGTCGCCAACTTTTGTGGAAAGGAAGAGTATGAGTTTGGAGACTTGAGCAACGAAATCGACAAGCGCGTCAAGGACCGTGTAGCAGAGTTCACAGGGAAAGGTGAATATGAATTTGGGGACATGTAAGTACGATAGTATGTGGTGTGAAAGTTTGGCTTGTCATCAGAAAAAGGCAAACTCACAATCTCTTATAAATGCTTTAATTGAATGAATCTATAGCTCGAAAGAAATTGAGAGTCGCAGAAGGTCTTGGGTGAAGGATTTTCTTGGAGAAGAGGCAGCCTCGAACTACCAATTTGGAGGTAAGACATTGGGCGGTTCTAAAGATTTCATTTGTGATGCCGAACCCCTGCAAAACTAGTTTACCAACCTTTTTCCTACAGATGTTACAAAGAAAGCAATATCTTCCTTCACGGGAAAGGACGACTACGAATTTGGAGGTGAGTACACCTGAGCGGTGTCTGCGATCCTGTGAATTGAAAGAGTTGTCTAACTTGACAAATGGTTGTTCGACAATGCATTTCAGATGTTACCAAGAAGATTGTTGGCAGTATTTTTGGTCCCCGAAAGGGCAAGAAATGAGCAGTACTCGAAGCAGCCATGCTATTGTATGAAATTCAATTCTTAATCGCTCGCACCACTGTATCCATTTTAAGTTTTATTTCTGTTTCCAAAACCCATTCATCTCAATACGGCAATTGGAATGATAACTTCACCAGTTGCGCCAGTTACTAAACGGCCTCTGAGACCATGCTTTCTCCTCCTCTTCTTCTTCCTTGTTGTGATCATCTGTCAAGGAATTCTCTTCTGGCTTGAATACCAGGTAGGCAGTTGCACCAATCGCACCCACACTAGCAATGGCCTCAGCTCCTGTTAGGCCTGCAAATACCAATGTCGTAAAGGTTCCAACTTCGGCCCCAATGGCTCCCATGAATCCAGCCACACCAGCCAAGGCAAAGGGCATAGCCACGGTCGTTCCGACGGCAATGGAAGTTCCGAGGGCAAAGGTCTTGATCTTGTCCGAACTAACAGCTCGTGGCATGCATGGATCCAATTTCCAAGCGGCCGTCGCTTCCAAAGTCTCCGAGCCATGCAAGATTTCCACTACTTCTTTCTCTTTGCCGAATACATTGCTGAGCCTTCCTGAAGCCGATTCCCTCTTTCCTACTTCTTCTACTCTTGCACGCATCGATAAGTATCGGCCAGTAGCGACCGATTTGAATAGGGTGCAGCCTTCTTGATCCGCCGACTTTTCCATGATCCATTCCGCTTCCTCCACGTTGCGAACATCCAGCAACGAAATTGTTCCGTCATTTCCGCACGCCAAAAACTGGTTCTTGGCTGGTTTCGTATCCGTCTTGACTATGCAAAGCTTGGTAATATTGTCATTCTCTCGGATGATTTCAATCTTTGTATTCTTTCTGAGGTTGGGTGTCACTTCTAGCCCGGGCCCGACCGACTTGGCTTGAGCATGTGGATCTTGCATATCCAATGACAAGAAATAGTAATTTTGCGAATGCGCAGCTTCCAAGGTCCAGGCTGTCGTTTCGGATTCTGGTACAATTGGTTCATCTCTCTTGGCCATCTTCTTTCGAGCATCATCGAAACTGGCTTTCATTGAATCTCTCATGGAACTAAAACTCTGCCAGTTGCCCTTTTTACCATCGCCTGGGGCGATTTTGGCGTCATCTTCGTCGTTTGCTTCTGCGGCTGCTGCCGCTTCTTTCTTCATGTGGTCGTCTGGATGCCAGGTTCTCAATTCATAATTATCACGCACGCACAATAGCCTTCCATGTGTCTTGGAGCGAATAATCACCCCTTCGCCATCAGGATTCTTCTCAATAGCCCATTTGCTGCATCTATAGGGCTGAGATGGAGAATCTGATTTTCCATCTGCCTCTGGTCGGTAATCCTTGAAGGATTCGGCATGGCTACAAGTACCTACCACTCCATCTTTGGTAGAACAGAGCAGCCATTGACTGTGCATCCAGCTCGATATCTTGACGAATCCATGACCTGCTTCCATGAACCGAAAGACTTCCCATCCCTTCATGTTGTTGTCCATGTTGACCAGACCGGACATGTCACATCGGGCTTGTGACTTCAAACGAGGATTCGACAGGAAGCACAGTTCACCCGTCACGCACTCAATGGACCAATAGAGTTTTCGTGGAGGAGCATCGTCGTCCCCAAACTTTATCTGACCATCGTCGTCAATGCCCAAATTCAATCCCGTCGAAATTGACTTCATGATAATGGCATTGGCATTGATAGAATCGGCAGCGCCTTTGACGAAACACCACTGTTGATCGTCAGGTTGAAATTCAGGAGGTTCTTGACCTTGTTCTTCTTCTTCCTCCTCCTCCTCTTCGTCTTTGAACTCTTCAGTTTTTGCGTTGTCGTCGTTATTTTCATTGTCGCCGTCTTCTTCTCCTTGAGCTTCCTTTTTTTCTTCTTCCAAGGCCATGACCTTTTTCTCGTCTTCCTCACTAGCAAAACACTTGGCAGCTCGCTGGATGGTCCCATCCTCCATGGTTGTCGACAATACCGTCAGTAACCCCTTGAATTTGTGATGCTGAATTGCAAGAGTGCCTGTGTCGTCATAACGAAGCAAGAACTCGTCCTTGTCGTTCCGCCTCCTCCTGCAGATCAGTTTTCCATTCTTCTTGCACCACAGATAATATCCATTGCAGTGCAGCGCTACTCTTGTGGGTTGCTCCACACAAGGAAACCGAGAATTCTTGTCCCCTTCCACAATGGCTGATGGTTCCGTCGTTTCTGTCGACATGATAATGTGTTGGTCTATAGGTATATATATATATATATGAACGATTATATATTATGTTCCGAATGAATGAATGACAAAATGAAACGGTACAGTATATTATTCTGCGATGAAACGCAACGTTATTATTTCTATTTTATTTGTTTTCTGCCTTCGTTCGTTTGTTCGTTTGTTCGTTTTATTGGTCGTTACTGTGAAATGTACGGACACATCACAATGCACAGGACATCATTCACATGGACATCTGAATAAAAAGCTTATCTGGACCGAATGAATGAATGAATCAATCAATCAATCGATCAACGGATTGAACCAATAAGGCCGAATCTGACAGAAAATGTGCGTCATGATGACGACCCTGTAAGCTCCATGCTTTAACGTCATGTACAGTACAGTATGTGCCGGTATGTACCGGTATGGAAGTAAAGGCTATCCTAGTGCCCTGTAGACGTACGCGTACGACAGATAGACGAGAGCGAGATTATTTGTCTCACATATCATTTCACACAAATCGCACAATTCCAACACAAAATCGTTTCCAGCGAAGCGATTCTAGCAAATAAGCTACCGGTATAGATCAATCACAGTCATTGATTATCGCCACTATAGGAATTGTCGCTCTTTCCACTCATTAGAATCGAATCAGAGCATCACACAACCAAGATTGATTGGTGCCAAGAACATTATGATGATGAGTAACAAGGAACGCAAAAGTCTAACCATTGTTGCCGATGGGAACAACCATGCGGTCAGTAGTGAAGCAGGATTCGATCGCTTGTTGAAAACCTTAGACACCATCTATTTGGTACACGTTGACACCAATGTTCGAGTGTATGATTGGACTTCACTTATCAACGGCGGAATTTATACAAAAGCCGCTAGTACTCTTGGTGCAAACACTTTCTCGACTGCCAATGACGTGAGCCATCAGGCGGAATCGCAAAATACGGCTACAGTACGTCACGGCCAAAACAATGAGCAAGTCAACACGAAAAGTCCAGCCGAGGAGAACACCATCAACAACAACGTCAGAAGAAGACCGAAGAACACACCAAAGAAGGCAATGAACCAAGTTGAAGTAATCGTCATTAGCAGCGACAGTGATGATGATAATGATGATAATGATAATGATGATGCAGAAGATATAAACACCATTAATGACATTAATGACCAGAAAGGACCTTCAAATGGAGCTCGTGCCACGAGGGTGCATTCAGGAATTCGTGAGCCAGAAACGAAAAAGGCACTCGGAGACGATGCCTTCAAAAAGGTTATGAAAGAGGCGGGCATTTTGAAGGACAAGGGTAGGTATAACGATGCAATAAATCTGTGTAAGCCAGCTCTTCAGATCCGGATGAAGATTCTCGGAGAAGATCGCCTCAAGGATATCTATGTGGCCGACGCTTACGACACGGTGGGCATCTGCCTAAGGATGCTTACGCGATATCAAGAGGCCATGGTAAATTTCAAAATCGCACTTGAGATTCACCTGGCAGTCCGAGGAGATCAGCATGTTAGGACTGCCCAATCATATCACAATATCGGAGATGTCTTGAAGGAACAAAAGAAACTTAACGAAGCATTGTCGAACTACCAAAAGGCTTGTGACATTCGTTCAGCAGTCCTTGGAAATCGCCATGTTTGCACCGCCGAATCATACTACGCAATCGGAGTTCTCCTGGGCCATCAAAAGCAATATGACAAGGCACTTAATATGTTTCAGAAAGCACTTGAGGTTCGTTTGGAAAAGCTTGGTAATCGCCATCCACAGGTTGGTGCGTTGTACTATGATATCGGCATTGCATTGGCGAGACATGTAAAATACAAGGAAGCAATGAAAGCATTCCATCAAACTCTCGCAATTCAACGCGAAGTTCTTGGTGATCGTCACAAAGACGTTGCTGATACATATCGCTGGATGGGGTGCGTATTGACACAACAGAACCAACACACAAAAGCCCGTGTCTGGTACCAACAGGCTCTTGGTATTTTCTCCGAAATCTACGGTGAGGGCCATGAACTTCTCAGGCCCATACGCCAGCAGATTGCATATCTAGATTGGAAACTTCAAGGCCCACACGCCCGGCCCTCTGGTACGAGCTAGGTATGAGCGCAACCTTCCAAGTAAGACCGAAGATGGCACCCTGGTCACAAATGCCACATGAAGAAAACCAGCAGCTCATAATAAATCTACAAATAACATTACTCTTATTTCCCCTCCATTTCAATTTTCAAACCAGCGTTCCTCGCTCATTCGTTTCTCATGATCAGATGGACTCATTTCCAGCCAACTCCAATTCATCTTGCTGTTGTGTCAAGGATCTCGAGAGCACCATAATTGTCCCTTGAAGTGCATTCTTTTCGGTCTGAAGAGTTTCCATTTGTCGCAACATCTTTGCTTCGATATTCTTGCTACTCTGCTTCACTTTCATCATCTTTTCAATGAGACTTTCGATGTGCTTGTTCAAATCGATCTCTTTCTGAAGCATATCTTGTATTCGGAGATTAGTCTGTTCTTCTTCTTCTTCCTTTTCGGCAAGTTTCGACTTGACTGCTTCAAGTTCGCCCTTGAATTTGTCTACTGCCTCCTTCGATGGTCCATTCTCTAGCATGTTTGTGGTTTCTTCCAACTGGTGTTCCAAGATATCGTTTGTTTCTTTCTCGGCTTCCAGGGTCTGTTTCATGGAAAGTTCCTTGTCCTTCAGCTGATGGATCTGAACTTGAAGAAGCCCGGTCTGTGTCCTTTCTGCGGCTAAATCAACCTCAATTGTTCTCATCTTGGACTCCAACTGCGCCAGTTCTTTCTTGTGTTCTTCGGTTACGATCTCACTGGCCTCCTTTTCTGCATCAAATATTGCTTGCATGGACTCTGATTTGTTTGTTGTTTCTTCCAACTGTTGTGTCAAGATGTCATTTGTTTCTTTCTCAGCTTTTAGGGTCTCTTTCATGGAAAGCTCCTTGTCCTTCAGCTGATGAATCTGAACTTGAAGAAGCCCGGTCTGTGTCCTTTCTGCGGCTAAATCCAACTCCATTGTTTTGATCTTGGACTCCAACTGCGCCAGTTCTTTCTTGTGTTCTTCGTTCTGCATGTCACTGGCCTCCTTCTCTGCATCAATTGCTGCCTGCATGGACTCTGATTTGCTTGTTGTTTCTTCCAACTGCTGTGTCAAGATGTCATTTGTTTCTTTCTCAGCTTTTAGGGTCTCTTTCATGGAAAGCTCCTTGTCCTTCAGCTGATGGATCTGAACTTGAAGAAGGCCAGTCTGTGTCCTTTCTGCGGCCAAATCCACCTCAATTGTTCTCATCTTGGACTCCAACTGCGCCAGTTCTTTCTTGTGTTCTTCGTTCTGTATCTCACTGGCCTCTTTCTCTGCATCAATTGTTGCTTGCATGGACTCTGATTTGTTTCCTAGCTGATTAACTTCAGCTTGAAGCAGCTTCGTCTTTGCTGTTTCCACTTCCAGATCCATAGTCATGGAATTGATATCCGCCTCCAACTCTTCAATTGTTTTTAGCAGCTCGGATTCACGTGCTTGAAAGCTTTGTTTCGCCTTTTCATTTTTTTTTGTCTTGTCATCTAGGAGTGCTTGCAGGTTCGTGATGAGCTCATTCTTGGAATTCAAAGCAGCATCGGCCTCCTCAATCTTTGCATTCAGTCCTTTGTTCTCTTCTGTCCAGTGCATTTCCTGACTCTCCAAAAGATCCAATGTTTCAGAAAGGGCTTGCGTAGATTCTTTCTTAGAACCAACAAGAGTGTTCAATTGACTCTTCAAGTCCTCCATCGCTGCATCCGCCTCAGCAGATTGCTTGGCGGCTTTGTCTTGAAGTTCTTTCAGTGATCTTTGTAGTTGATCCAATTCTGCTGTAGCCTTTTCCTTGAGTGCCTTCATTTCTGTCAGGAGCGATTTCTCTAGATCGCTTTTGGCCTTTTCTTGTGCCTCTAGATTGGATTCGAGTTCCGCAATTCTCATAACATTCTTGTGCTCCGTCTCGCTGGCAACGGTCTCAATATCTTTCAGAGACTTTTGTAGTTTATTCACTTCTGCTGTAGCCTTTCCCTTGATTGCCTTCATTTCTTTCGATTGCGATTTCTCAAGATCACTTTTGGCCTGTTGTAGTGCCTCTAGCTTGGTTTCGAGTTCCGTTATTTTCAGGGCATTCTTGTTCTCTGTCTCACTAGAAATGGTTTCGAGATTTTTCAGTGATTTTTGTAGTTTATTCACTTCTGCTGTAGCCGTTTCCTTGAGTGCCTTCATTTCTTTCAGTTGCGATTTCTCGAGATCACTTTTGGCCTGCTGTAGTGCCTCTAGCTTGGTTTCGAGTTCCGCAATTTTCATGGCATTCTTGTTCTCTGTCTCACTGGCAACTGTTTCAAGATCCCCACAGAGAGAAGTGGCACCACATTCAGACTTTTCGTCCGAGGAGTCCTTCAACTCGTTCAATTTCTTCTGATATGTTCTACGCTCTTCTGTAATCTCGGCTTCAAGTTTTGCCTGTTGTAGAGCAAATTTTCCCTTGATTTGATTGACCTCGGTTTCGTGAGCTGCTGAGATTTCGCTTATCTTCGCTCGGAGTTCTTTAATAAGCTTGGAGTTTCCTCCTTCATATTCAATCTGGGTCTCCTTCAGCTTCATCTTTTGCTCGTCGATTAAGCGATTGATCACATGTTTATGATCATCTTCCATCTCACCCATCTTGCTTTTAACTTCCTCGAGAGCCTTAAAGTGCTCAATCACGAGCTTTTCCAATTGTTCTTCTTTCGATTCAGCCTCGGCTACGATGCCTGAAATCTCTTTTTTGTGGGCCTTCTCCATTAGTGCTAGCTTTGTATGTACCGCAGCAAGAGTTGCAAAATCGTCTTCTGCTTCTTTTGCATCAACTGGGTCTTGCTTTTCAGCACATTCCTTGGCTTTCGAGTTGTCTTCGATTTTCGCATCGATGGCTTTTAAGCTCTCTTCATTTTCCTTGTCTGCTTTACGGGCCAGTGATTCTTGAAGAGCCCTATTGGTTTCATCCATTTTTGCTGCTTCAGTTTGCATTCGCTCGATCTCTTCCTGATAAACCCTCTTCATATGCTCAATCTGTTTGTTAAAGGCTGCTTGCTTCTCTTCCGTCGCAGCAGCAACAGCTTCAGCACTCGCTGCAACCAAATCTTCTTTGGTGAAAGAAGTAACTGGTTGTGGTTTCAGCAAATGCAAAAATTCCATGCGATGGGGAGACGAAGATGCCTGTGCTAGACCCAATGGTCTGCGTCCCTTGAAATCCCTAACTTCTGTAGCCTGTGGATATGCTTGCAATAGCAATTTCGCAATGGTCGGCGAGATACCTGCTCGAAAGGCCAGATGAATTGGTAGCATTCCCAGATCATCTTGACACTGAACTCCGCGGGGATAAGCTGAGAGAATAGCCTTGACCAATGTTTCGGGTGCATTTAGGATGATGGATGCGTGAAGTGGCAGTAGACGCCACATCATATTCCCTTTCTTGTCCTTTCGATATATCCATTCCGATGCTTCTGATGCGTTCTTCTTTACTTGTTTTAGAGCATCGTCCCACTTTTTGTGCTGAATTTGCAGATATAGCTCTGTGGGGTTCTCCAAAATATTCCTGTCTGACTTACCAATCTTGACATGCTCGTCGCGGAACCTCTTTGAGGCTTCCTTGGATTCTTCTGATGCCGTGATTTTGACAGTGGCTTCCTCTTTTTCCTTTTCTTCTGCTTGTGCACCGTCGTCACCGCCATGAGATGCTACTGAACCCACTGCTCCTTCCTCAATCTGACGATCTTCATTCCCATTGTCTATGGTATCCCCCCCTTGTTGTGTGTTTTGGGCTTGACGGTCTTCGTCTGATGCCGGATCTAGATCGACACTAGTGGCGATTTCCTTTGCGCCAACACATGCTTTCTTCTGAAGACCAGCTCCAGTTGTCTCCTTCTCGGCGGCATCCAAAACCTTGCGGTCAATTGCATCGTTTGATGCCATGATGGTGGGCATCGTGGTGTCTCTTCGTGTGGCGTGTGTGGTGGGATAGTGCACAACTCTACAACCTACAACTCAAATTTCCATGCTAATCGCTGAACGCGTCCTCATCAATCGCCAATTTTAGTCGGATGAATCAATAATGGCGGAAGCCAGATCTTACATAATATCTACAGTCATGAAGTATTTTGAATGATAGCTATACAGTATCTCGATCCTCATCTTTCCCACGAAATGCTGTCGCATCAATAGAGCAACAATACCCACATCACATAGCTTCGAAACTGACATGTGGGACATATAGAGTACTTTGTGCACAATGGAGACACTTCACGGGATTCTTGCTTTTGCCATCAAGTGAAAATAGGCATCACGCATATCACTGCTTTATTTTAAACGGTTCAGAGCAATTAGGAAGCACAACCCGGTTGTTCACACAGGAGGCAACACTCGAAGAATCTACAGCCTGCTGCCGCCCATTGCCGCATTCCCCCAACATTCCCCCAACATTCCCCCAACATTCCTCATATCCCGGAATGAATCAATCCTCCGACGTTCTAGGAGATGATCACAACATTCCACGATCGGGAGCATTCATATGAAAAGGATCACTTCTGGTGAGTCCACATATAACCTTTCGCCTCTTCATCGCTCAACAAGGTTTGCCCCCGCCAGAGACCAGGAAGCTGAAATAACATACGTTTCTGGTGTGTGTTCAATGTTCCATCTCAGGATCTGAAGCCTCTCATCGAACTGTCATATCACCAAAAACTCGACCCTCCACCACGTCTGTCTTCAGAACGCAAATGGTCTTGCAACTAATGCAACTATTTAGAATAAAAGTCAAGAATTCAAATTCCTAATGATCAGACTAGTGTGTATTCTAGTATACTTCGTTCTATCTGAAATAGCAATAAAATCCTTGAATGAATTCTGCTCTCCTATACTCATTCTGTGTCGTCAATATATAGCAATGCACCTTTCCACAAAGACCTCAATCATCAAGCCACCACTCATCGGTGCATTCGGCCAACTCCTCCATCCAATCATGGTTAGGTTGAACACATGTGATGTCAATCATGTAACCTCCAGAAGCCGTTGTGATTCTACCAGTTAAGTTGCGGCAGCAACTGCAAAGAGGATGCTGACAGCTCGTTGCCACAAGAAGCTGGGTTTTGGTTGTATTGGCGTGCACGTCGCAAAAGGACTCAGGGATCGTCTCATTCAATCCGGAGTATGCAACGTTCAGAAATACAAGCTCGGGTAGATTTGAAAGCTCGGATGGTATCGACCCACCAAAGTCGAACTTATTGTAGGAGAGGTCCAGTACTTTCAACGAGGTCAGAACCCCGATTTCAGTGGGGATGAGCCCTATAAGGCCGGCTGCAGAAAGCGTCAAGGTACGGAGATTGCTCGCAAGCTGTATTTCCGATGGTAACGGGGACACGAGCCCATGTAAAGATATGTCAACTGATCGGAGAAATGGATTGTCAAACAAACTAGGCGGAATCTCGCCGTGGCACCCAGAACAGGGATCATCATGTCCAACCAAAGTCAGCTCGTGCAACTGACGGATACTCGCTAATTCGGAAGGAATAGTACCATATAGATTCGTTTCAGCGATTGATAGACTTGTCAGCTGGAAAAGATTACCAATTTCATTTGGAATCCTCCCCGATAGCGCCAGGTTTCCGGAAACGTCAAGTTCTTGTAGGCCTGTGAACAAGAAGAGCATTGGCGACAATGTCCCGTTCAAATTATTCTCGCTCAAATCCAAAACATTGGCATGATTTTCAAACAGGCACTGCAAACCAAACCAGTCACATAAATCAAAGACTTCATCTTCAGAGTCTTCTTCATCTTCCGCCACGACATCAAACCATCCTTTCGACTGGGTCCAGTTTATTCCGTTGGTTGCAATAAACAGAGACGCAAGCATCAGGTGACTGTTTCGAATCGATGATCTCCTCTTGTTCATATACATTTCAAATGTCACATTGCTTGCAAACATGAGTAGGACTTGGTCGTAGGGATGGCAAGAGTTGCCTTGCATTAGTTCCAGCTCCTGCATTGCAGAACTTACGAAGGATATGTTGTTACCTTTCATCGATTCCGAAGATATCATAATTTTCTCTTGTGATGTGAGTAATTCCATAAAGTAGGACTTTGCTTTGTCGAAATTGTGTTGCTCAAATCCATCATGACGATCATATATGAGCTGCGTAGTCCCGAAACAAGAGCAGCTCAGCGGAGCGAGATGACCAATAGGAACCTCGTAATGAGCACAGCAGATGCCATCACAATCCGGTGCGCCCACTTGCGACTTGTTTGAGTTGAGACCAAAGTACAATCCGAGTGCCAATGAAACCGCAAAAATGAATACGGCGCCAATCAAAAGTCGACGTTTGAAGTTATCTCGCTGAACATCAGTGGCATCCACAATGGCTTGAGCGTCATCCACTTTGTTTGCATGCACCAAATTGCTAGATGTCCTAGTCTCCAATGGAGATGCATTCTCTTCGTCCAACGGAGATGCGCTCCCGCCATCAGTATTGTTTGCTCCAGCAGTAGGACCCACTTGGGCATACGCGCCCGGGGCGACAGGAATTGGTCTTATGTTATTCTTCCTCTCACCCTGCTTCAACACGGGGTCGTCATTGGGAGCGTCCATGTTCGCGTCCAAGGTCGAGACTGATGACATTACAGATGCAAATAAGTTGTCCCTGTCAGTCTTGGATTTAACGCTTTCTCTTCCAAATTGTTTGTCCCAATACTTCTCCATTTGATTTGGATATGGGCGAGATTGGCTACCGCCACTGCGAGTACGATGATCGTCTTCTGATGACGAATGGTTGATCACAGAAGTGGCTGAAGATGTTTCATCAGGCGACGATTCTTCAACCATAGGATTATGCCGCAATTCTTGCTGTCGTTGCTGCTTTGCCCTTTCCCTCCTTTCATGTTCCATTTCCTTGATTCGTTGATCTTGAATCATTTTGGGTGACAGTGTTACGCTTGTTCTATTATTATCAACGGTACCATCTTCCGACTTGAAGGACTCTGCAATTTCTGTGCGAGAGCTTCCAAGAGCACCTGTTGTTTCCACCACTTGCTTCCTTTCACTGCCATTTTGGTTTCTATCATCAGATTCGTGGTTTCCGCTGTTTCCTCTTTTCATGGCTATTGTTTACATGCTGTTGTAATCTTTGTGATGGTGTTCTCGTCGTTCTTCTACTTTTTATTGCCACGACCCGCACAGCGTATTATAATATATGGTCTTATTTTTACTGAAGGTTATACTCGCAAGATTTGATTTCTCGGCCGGCCAGTACAAACGCTACGTTGAAATACGCAGATTTTGAATTCTCAAGCGCGCACACCATACTTTGTGCATACTGTACACGTGTACGTAGATACAAATATGAATACTCGTATTACGCCCGTCAACGATCCGACCGACCCATCAATGACCCACTGTACGATAATGAAGATGCAGTCGACATCTTTCGTCATATATATATATATATATTGATTGACAATGATCTAACCTTCCAAAACTCTACAATCAGTATCATGAATCCACCATGACATCAAAACAATCCACCCTACAAAACACCATCAACCACCAAACGAGGATTCGAAGGAGTCAATCGTGTTAAAAACACGGCAAATTGGCGATCTCCAACCCTCCGTGGTTTTCACTCCACACCGCCTCAACGCAACACCTCACAATTTCCATTATGAACCTCTTTGAATCAACAACAGCAACAACAGCAATCATGACCAACTACATCACTACCTTTGTCAATCAAGAAAGCTTGAAAAGCATCAGCTTTCCCAAGTTACCTCGAATGAGTGCCATCACTCAACAACAAGAACAACTAGTTCAAGAAACTATTATTACCGGTTTGGTTTGTGCAGTCGCAATTGTGTTACTTCGGTACATGGTACTCGACACTTACCGAACCTATCAGAGACTTTGCAGGCAATGGAACAGACGACAGCCTCCTGTTTCCATCCTTCGTCGTCCAGAAGGGTCGTCTCGCAAGAAAAACCGAAGTTGGTTGGGTGTGTTCACCAGAAAAGCAAACCATGTCCGTTTCGCCAAAATCTTTCGTCGAACCTTTGTCCCAAACAAGCAAGAGCTACAATCTCGCAGGGAATGCTGGGGTCTGATTCAATGGCGCATCCAACTTCGCGACGAAGTGATTCCAGAGATAGAGAACACAGTGAGATTCGTTCCACATACTCCTGTGTCCATTCTTCGTCCTTCAAGAAAAGATTGGGGATCACCCAGACCAACCTCTTCAAACCGAGTCGAATTTGCCCCTAAGACTCGAAGGAGAAACTTTATTCCCGACGAGCAAGATCTTCAGTCCCGAAGGCAGCTAATTCGTCAAATTGACCACAAGGTCAAGAGACGGAATGCCCGACGCTGGAAGATCGATTTCAAACCTACAGTGCTTGCCACCATTATCGAAGATCCAGCAGAAGAAGATTTGAGTGACATTGACTCGTCTTTGGATACTGGATTTATTGATGGTGAAGTCGACTCTGAAATCATTGCAATTGCGCTCGAGAATCACCGACAAATGCTTCCAACGGTCCTACATGACATGCTCTCCAATATTCCCGTGCCAATGGATTTGGATGACGACGACAACGAGCCCTGCATGGAAGAACAAGCACCATTGTCACTCAAGCGAACCGCAACTTGCTGCCTTATTTCGTCCAGACCCACCAAGCGTCGCAAAATGAATTCATCATCTACGGTTCCAACTTGCGCTGCAACATGGGCCAAACGAACCAACGAACTCTTCACTCCTTTGCTACCTGTCATTATCGAAGTTCCAGAAGAAGACGGCGACGAGAGCCACATTGACTCGTCGTTGGATGCTGGATTCAACGGTATCATCGCCGATGTACGATCGACTTGTCTTGCCAAGGCTGACGCTATTTGGGTCAAGAAGGCCGAGGAGATCTTGGGCGAGAAGGCAAATTTGAACAAGATGACCAAGGCCGAGAGAGCCAAGTGGGCAAACAAGGCAAGGGCGAGAAGAAGCAAGGGCCAGAAGGAGAAAATGTCTGAAAAGGAGATCGATTTTGAACCAACCCTTCTTGTCATTATCGAAGATCCAAAGGAGGAGGAAGAAGAAGAAGTCGACGACGTGAACGAAAAGAAGGAATTCAAACCTTCCCTTCATGTCAATATCGAAGATCCAGAGGGAGAAGACTTGAGTACCATTGACGAGTCGCCTTTTGATGCTGGATTGATTAATGACGACTTCGATTCTTTGGAGCAGGATGGTAGCGATGGCGAGATTTTTGCAGCACCAACCGAGCAATCTGACAACGCAGCTACTAATGATATTCCTTCTGATGGAATGGGATCTGGATGGACCGAATCTGGAAAGCGCTACAGCCGACGGCTACAGCTCAAGCTTTCGCTAGAGAAGAAGGATCCTTCTACTGAAGCTTTGGGATCTGGCATGACGGAAAAAGGACGACGATACAGTCGCCGAGTGGTAAATCGAGGAAAAGGTGCCAATTAAAGCACATTCTTGCTACGACTTTGAAAGAGATGAAGTATGATAATAGTGTGCGACAACACACGAACAACCCATCAAAGAGTTTTACCTGGAAATTCACCCCATCAATTGCATTTACTTTCTGAACCATGATCTCACTTTTTTTTCTTTTCTCTTTTAGGACATTTTGGCGAGTCTACACTTTCGCGTATATTTTATTGTCACATTTCCGAGGGATCCTTCGGAAGGCTAGTGTTTGCCTTTGTGGTTTCTAGTGGATTGGTCACTCACTAGGTTGCATCGGCGACGCGAAACCAGAAGATTTCATGGCTTGCTGCGATTGGGTGTTTCCCTCCAGTCTTGTTTGGCCACCTAAAACGAATCGTTTGGGTGGGACGACGGGGGTGGGATGGGCAGGTCGAGGCTCGTAAGCGCGCCCTGATCAGCAAGATCCCAGATAAGTGGTCCCTTTAGGATTTGGGATTGGCGTACCTACTTCAAGAACAAGAACAAGATCATCGATTGGAGTTTACTATTTCCAAAGAATTGAAAGGGAAAGCGGAAGCCTCGCTTGGAATTTCAGTGTCATGTGATCCATCACCCTGCTCAAATATGGGGAGCAAGCGATATCCGTCAGACATGTGAACAGCCGTTGTTGCCAATAATAATAATTTTTATTGCAATACTCGGTGGTGCATGCAGTATCGTGATGATGGCACTAGACTGATCATCCCAACAAAGGCGGGGCAGCGGCGTCTTTCACCATTTTAAACTAATTACTACTATAATTGTAGTACAGTACCAGATTGGCATGTCTTATTGTCATATACATATTCAAATTTGTGGTCTTTTGATTATCTTTTACAGCGCTGGTACTTTGGAATGAACCAGTGGATGCTTCAATTATATATTATGAAATATATATTATTAGTTTTGTACCATAAAATGATGCAGTACAATATTTTCGTCTTTTCTGTAAATATGGCGTGAAACAACATTCTCCAACAAACAAATGTTTGAAACTAATTTTTTATATATAAAAAACGCGATAAATGTGGCCCGTCTTGTACACGTAAACATATAAAAGCGGGGAAAGAATGAATGAATCAATCAATCCCAAAAACCAAACAGATTGTACCTACCGTATGCGACCACAAGTCCAATTGTTTGAATACATGTACGTGTACGTAGTCACCATCTACCAAGACGGTTGTCGTAATCACATTAGTTCTTGTTTTGCGCTTGCTTTCACAGTTCACGCAAGAGTATAGGTTCACAGCTACGTATGGCTGGCGTTCCAGCCATGATTCTATCCGAGGACCCGCCGTTTGACTGGGCATGTTCTTGGCTTCCGACGCCATGAACTATAGATGAAGAAAGAATATGTTGACTGCGCTTTCTGTTGTTCCTGAATTATTCAATTATGTTCTATCTTAAAATACATTATTCTAGCTCTAGCATCGTCTCCAGTGTTACAGAGATCTGAAAACGGGTGTGAGCAGGATTGAGGAATTTGCTTTGTTGGATGATCCAAATCCTACAAGAAGATGAAATTCCGAGCTGTCGATTTCGCTGCGACACTCATTCTCTTCGCTACTAGCATCACTATTGATAGACATTTCTTCATCCAGTTTGGATGATGGTGCATCCACGACTGATTGTATTCTGCCACTGGAACTGAGGGTAACTCGTGTGGTTCCGATCTCAGAGTCGCCATTGGCTTTGACCAGTCTAGCTGAGTATTGTATTCTGATTGTGCCATCGTCAAAAGTAGACGATGCTGTCTCATCATCGAAAATGTCTCCGTTCTTTTGGTTCTTACTTTGTTTCAAAAGATGAACTTCCAAGAGCTCAAATCGAGTGCCTGATTGAAGGTAACGTTGCATCATGGCTTTCAGTTGGTCCATGCTGACGGTCTTGGTGTTGTCTGATGTTTTGGGCACCAGCCTGACTTGATCTTCAAATACGGTAGATGCTAGATCAAGCTCGTTTTCTGTAATCGTGTTTCGGATCACCCCATCGTAGATGGAAAGGTACTTTAGAAAGTTCGACTCGAAAACTCGAACGGTTTGCCTACTCGAGAGACGTGGTGTGGTCGTGATGGAAGGCATGGTTGGCGTGGTAGGCTCCTCTATTATAGAACGATTGTATTGTGGTGTGCTATTGCAGAATGAATCTGGGAACACACACACTTCCTCAGGCTCTCAATGGAAAATGTCCCATCAAGAATTCCGCCGGATGAGAAAAGTGATCAACTTTCTGCCGAAGCGAAAGAAGCTCGTGACTGACTTGCATGAGTATTCCAGTCCCTGATAGTGCCGGACCAATTCGAACCGTACGATATACTCGTACATACCATATGTACCATCAACCAGAAATCTTCATCTCGATCAGGCAACAATGCTGCAAAACCAGCAACCCTCCTTAATATACGCACTTCAGAGTCTTATCCTCAACCATATATCCAAAGCAATGACACAAACTGCAACTGCAGCAACTACAACAACTGCAAATGACGCTGCTATGGAAAAGAAAGCTCATAAAGGTAAGCTGACGAATAGTGATGGTGCGGTAAAACTGATCGATGGGTGAATGATCCAAGTATTGTGGCTTTGAATCCTTCATCCTTCTCTTTTCTAATCCTTCCTATCTGATCCATTCTTCTTTCATCTTTCCGCCGATACCGGTACTACTCTTGTTTGTGGTCTGGTTATGATGATTTGGTTGCCTCCTCTCCTATTCGTTGACCGTTTCAAATTTATAGCTTTGTTCCGTTCGCAAGTCATGAGCGGGACTACACCAATTCAACTGAAAGCGAAAGCGATTCGTTCCAAGATGATTCTCTCCAATGCGCCTGGCGCAGGAGGCAAGGTCGCCGCCACATCAAACGGGCAAAAGCTGCCGTCATTATTCAAGGAAACCAATTTTCAATACTTGGGAGATACAGTTATCATCTGGAACCTGAAGGAATATCTTGATCATCCCAAGTGGAAAGAAGATGCTCTGAGACGTTCGCTGAAAAGACGACAGCGAGAAGAATCCTTGGCCATGTCATCAGCCTCGAACAGCAAAAGTTGCATTTCCCTTCAAGGTGGCGGTGGTCTGAACTCCAAGAACAGGAAGAAGCGCTTTCGTGCCGTCGTAGAAGCATTGTATCAGAAAAGCTTGGCCGAGAATAAGACGGCGGCAATCCCCGGAAAAAGCAACTGAAAGGTGACTGAATTGTAATCCACATCATACAGGAGTTTCTCAGGTGGCCTTCGTTTACGGGTTAGTCGAACGAATTCAGATGCTGCGGCTGTCCCACAGGTGGCACAAACGATGTCCAGCGATATGATCCTCTGGGCACAAATACCAAGGATGGATAGGGCTCTCGCGCTATTATAGCACTATCGTACAAGGCGACCCTTATGCACTTCCTAGTGTTAATGATTTCATAGTGCCACCGATTTATGACCCATCGCATACGAAGGAATGTGAAAAGCATCATCAATTCTAACTTAAAACTTGATTCTACTCGTTGCAACAATACGCTGCCCCTGGTTCTTCCGTTCAATCCATCATCCATTTCATTTTCAGTCGGCGCCCGGGGCGCTGCCAGTGCTCATTTCCCGACTTGGACCACCCTTTCGGACTGTATGGTTGTTGCCATAGCCAAAGAGTTCGTTCGCATAGCGTTTATCGTCCACCTTTCCATTCTTTGTGAACTTGGCCTTGACCAGTGCAAAGAAAGCACTCATAGTGAGCAAACTATCGGATCCAGCTTGATGTTCAGCGCCCAATCGTTCGCATCCTAGGTCGTCAGCCAATTTGGATAGACCTCCCAAGAAGTGGTGGCCATCTAACAACGAAGTCATGTACTTGATGTCATAAATCTTGGGAAAGTAGACTTTCAACAATTCAAAGAAAGACTTCTCATCAGCAGGCAAAGCTTGAGTAGTCAAGACGTTAAGCAGGTAGGCAAAGTCATAACCAGAATGGAAGGAGACCCACTTTACTCTATCGTCCAGAACCAAACCTGAAACCATCAACAACTCTCCAAACAACAGAGGATCAATTCCGTGCATGGCATGATCCGTAAAGCTGATGCCCGAATGGACCAACAAATCAATCGAATCTTGGGCAAACATGTCGCTGTCCAAATCAAACTTGAAATTGAATTGCCAACAAGGGCATTCTTTACACAAGTTGCCATCCTCATCAGCAAAGCTCAATCCGAGTTGAATGATTTTCAGGAGGTCAACATTCACCTTGAGAGACTTGTAGTGATAACCACTAGTATAAGATTCCGCTACTGGCTTGGCAACGACACCAGGAAATTCGGTATCCATAGCCACATAAGGGTACTTTTCGACAACCTCCCGAATGTTCCGCATTTCCTCCTCACAGTTCTCCGCCCAAACATTACGTATTTCCAGAGTTTCGCTGTTGGAAGAAACAGATAAAACAAAGTAAATTAGAAATCTTCCATTTTGTTATAGAGAGAAATATGCATCGACGGGCCTCTTATTGTAGGCACTCAATGAATCCATTTCGTTCTTCCAAAAGCGGAAAACAATTAGCCATCGACTTTTTGCGCGACTGACTGACTCACCCCTTGTGTTCAAACTTGAACTTTGGAATTGTATTGGAATTTGGATGGTCATTTTTCACATAGGATCCCGCTGACGCACTCCGATAGGGAGAACTAGAACGGCTTCGACTATTGAAACGTCTAGGACTGGGTGTGTTATGGGCCAGAATGCGATTGGGGTTAAAGGGCGGCGATTCCGTCGACAAAGTCGATTTTGAAGTCATCGCAGCCATGCCGAAATTGATCTGCTTGGCAAACACGATCCAGATGCCTTTTATTCGTTCCTGTGGCTTGCTCTGGTGCCTTATTGATGTCCAATGCCACGCACTGTGTTTCGACTTCGTCCCTCGATCCTGGCTTTTGTTTTCACTGATTATTGCATTGTGCTGTCTGCGCTGAGCAGTCGACTGACTCAAATGATACATGTGTTCGAGTAAGTCGATTATTGGTCGATTGCTAAAATTGTCTCCCGCCACCACGTGGTGGATAATTTTTCAACATCCGTCGGAGTTTTTGGAACGAAAAGAAGGCACACCGTTGTGCACCCTTTCCAGAAAGAAAGGTTCTACCAATCCAATCTGTTTTGTCCTCCTTAAGGTTTAATGAAGGCTTTTCTCTGGTGTTTTGAGGTGTTCCTTACATATCGGTTTACTTTTTAGGCTGGGGCCAAATACGCCCTTTTATATATCGATGCTCACTTCTCCGCCATTTCTTTATCTTGGTGAGACCAACTTCTGTGACACGATGGAAGTTCCCCCTGTCTGTTGACACGATCACATTTCCCCCGTGACAACTCAAAATCTGAAACTGCATCCAGCCCCACAAACCTCAACATACGAATAGATAATCAAGATTTCTTCAATGATGGCTAAAGCAATGGATGGATTTCTTATGCTCCTGCTACAAGAAAACCAGATATCAGTGAGGGATGTCGTGCTTGTTCCCGACAATGCCAAAGGAATACACAATCAGGAATTATTGTGTGGTGCCAGCAGCCGAAGATTGAGTGCCAATGCAACCTCTGACAACAGAAACTTTCTGTCGCCGACAGCACCAATGCATGGATCAGAGTGTCAGCCATCCGCTACACGGTCTTCATGAATGATCATGAGCCATTCTGCAGGCAATTTGCAGCTACTACATCTTTTGTGGAACCATCTACATCAACTGCTCACAAAGCCGCTACCAGGGAACTCCTCACCATCGTTTCTACATGCCACAGCCATACGTTCTACCAAGCTATCATCGAACGAATCAAAGGAGACTGTGAATAATAATATTGTAACTCTAGTACTAAGGTCGTGCATATGAAATTTCACCTCCTAAGTGTCCGTATGTAATCATCTGACTTTAGCTATCACAGACTCATTTCTTAATCTCATATTTCACGATGTATCTAGTAGAGATACTTCTTTTGTTCCCTACTCAAAGGATACTGTATTGTCCATTCGCAATCGTAACGTCAGCTGAATACGACAACATTATGGATTTGTCGTCGACTATCGTCGTTAACTAGATTTCAATTGTCATGCTGAATTGTGCCCCTTCTATCTACAACTTCTATCTATAACGTCACTGTAGGGCGTTCTTTGCTTTCCTTCTGGCCGCATTGTCGTGCCTGAATGGTTCTTGGTCCAGCCCACTCCTTCACCAATCGTTGTTGGATCATCGTGCTTCCTCCTGTCACCAGTCTGTTTCACATTCGTCGGCTTGACAAATCCGTTTCTCATTCGAAGGGTAAGCAGTTCGTTCCTCTTGAACAAACGTGTTATTTTTACATTGTCGGTGTATAGTGCCACGCAACCACCGGAGAAAAAGACGTCTTTCAATCGAGCTAAACCACTCCAAAGCTGGCGACTTCCGTTTTCTCACACGTATCTGTGTTATTTGATATGCAAATGAAGAGCTTCAAAATCGAGGCTTTGTTGGAATATCGGCATTATTCCTCTGAAGGGACCGAGCGCTCATGATACCCCAGAGCATTGCTTCCTCTATGTTTCGGAAACACATTAGAGACCTTTCATTATGTGTATCACAATGTTTTAGTTGTCATTCTCGCCTTTTCAATCCCATCATCATCTCTTAGTGTGCTTACAGCACATGTGGTCAGATATTGTTACCTCCCTCTCGGTGTTGACCATAGGGTACTACTATGCATGGTCGTTGTTATAAAAATAGTTGGGGAGTGCACGTTTTCGAGAACTCGCATCCCTCATCATATATACTCATCACTCACATGATTTTCGGGTTGTCGTTGGTCACCGGCTTGCGCGATGCACTTAGAATATTGCGCAAGCCGGCAACAACTGTCTCTCACAACTGGCGATGATTTTCTCCAAAATACTTGTACGAGACTGGAACACGCAGAAAGAAATCACGATTGTTGTTTTGATACCACAAGCCAGAAAGAAGTAAAGCAACGCAGTTTGAATCTCTCAAGATGCCAATATCACCGAGGAATAATGATGATTTGGCAACACTCGATAGCAGCAATCCAACCTCAGGAAATGGCGAGTTCTCGGTACTGAAATCAAAGGAGGTTACGAGCCCAGCAGCTGGAACGACGAGCAAAGACGCAACACACCCCATCCTTTCAACAGAAGCTAGAGATGAAATTCCAAAAGGTGACTTTGACAAATGGCTGCAGAAGTCTGATTCGGATGACTTGTCCTTGTACTATGATAGTTCTGAAGATCATACCGACACGTCAGGCCTCGTCGCCAGTACTTCCTTGGACGAACGCGACGGAGTTGCCCCATCTGTAGCATCAGACCCAGAGAAAAAACAAGAATTAGAAGCGACCTTAGCAAACCTTGGCATTGACCTAAAAGGGGAGGATATTAAGGCTGAAGACAAAGCTCCAAGTGCGGAAGAAGCAGATGGCGGTATTTCCATCGCCGAAAATAAGTCCGACGATGATAGCTCTACCCTCGACTTTTCCTTGAGCGTTGCTGATGCTACCTTGCCCGATGCTATGCCCCATGGACTGTTACCTAGTACCTCTGAAGATGGGGTCACTCCACCAACTGACTCGCAGATCAAGAACATGTTAGAAAGATTGCAGAATAGCAAGACTTTGGGAGAGGCCGACGAGTCGATCAAAGCACTCGACATGGCATTGGACAACAGAATTGTCCCTGACAAGACATCTAGAATTCATATTGCGGACACCATTACTAAGCGAGACGGAAACCGCATCATTATGGAAGCTATGGAAAAGTGGCAAGCTGAGTCGAGTGAGATTGCCGACGTTGCTACTTGCTTGTTGGTGGCCTTGACACAAATCGTCCCGGAAGCAAGCAAGGCAATTGCTGAGGTCGGGCTTGATCGAGTAGTCAAGACTGGAAAAGGACATCCAAGCAACTACTGCTTGCGAGGAAACATATTGGCCCTGCTATTGAATCTCTCGACACTTGAAGACGAGATGACGAAAGAAGCGATCTCCACAGATTCTTGTATCGATATTGTGGTTCAGACTATGCAGAAGTGGTCTGACAAGGAGTACATCCAGAAGTGTGGCGCAGGCTACTTTGTTCGAATCAAGATGATTCAAGCCGAAAAGAAAGAAAAGGCAAAACTACTACAGGAAGCAAAACTACTACAGGAAAAGCAAGCAAAAGAAGAACAACCTGAGGAAGTTCCTGCTGTTGCTGTCAAAGAGGCATCAAAGATCGATACGGTAGCAAAGGCACCAGAAACTACTCAAGAGACAAAAACAGATGCTCCACAGCAAGACCAAGCCCCACCTTCAGAAGAAGAAGTTGCAAAAATGCTCCGAAGACTTCGCGATAGTAGGAATGGTGACAGTGCTGGAGAGTCTGTGAAGGTCCTTGTGCGCGCAACGGATAGTCGATTGATCAAGTCTGCAGCTGATAGAAAGAAAGTCGCGGAGCGAATCGTTCGTTTGAATGGAGTCGCTGCGATCATTCTTGCCTTGGAAAAATGGTTCACAAAATCTGAAACCTTTGCTTACTACGCTCTGACACTTTTGGTATCTCTTTCTAAGTTCGCAGCTGGCAGTCGTCAAACCATTGCCACGATTGGATGCAAGACAGTCCTGGATACTGCCGGGAGATATGCCGATGACTATTACATACGAGGAAATGTCCTCATCTTGCTACAGAACTTGGGAAACCACAAGCACGCCGGTACAAAATACGAAGTTGCCGAAAGCGACTGCATCGATTGTGTTATCGATACAATGCAACGTTGGCCAGACGATGCGTACATCCAGCACTGCGGATGTGACTACTTCGCTCGCATTGTTAGCATCAATGGAATGCCTGCCAAACTCCACGCTAGGGAAATTGACGTCTTGTTGTTGGGTGTCATACATACATTCCAACATAGCGACGACGACAAGGCAAACGAAAAGATTTGCAAGTGTGCAAGAAGCGTCATGGACAAGATTCACCAAGACGAGTGAGATTGATTCACAAGAAGTCAAAAATTAGAATGTGATGCAGTGCGCATAAAAAGTGTCAAACTTGTGTAGGAATGCAGAAGCTGTGGTAGTTTAATAGTAAAAGCGAAGAGAAATGAAAGAGCAAGGCAACCATGCCCGGGATTCAAGTTGATTGATGGCGCAAACCGTGTGCGCAGAGTTTAAAAAAGCAATCATTCAATGGAAAGGGATGAGAACCTACAATAGAAGTCTCCTTTTCTTCGTTCATAGGACTAGTATTCTATCTTTGCAGCACTATTATTAGCAGTTGCCATGCTGAGTGAATCAATAGTTTCCTACCATTCATCTTTTTACGTTTTTTCCCAAACAAATCAAGGTGCAAGAAAAGGATTCCTACTACAATGTTTTTTTATATGTAAATGTGTGTGAAGAGACATGACATGAAACAGCCATCGCTGGCTGTTCGAATGAATGGCTGTAGGGAAGCTGGGACGGGCTTGTTTGACCCTGAAGTCTTCATGTATATGGTACGGCGAACAGAGCTGCGAAGTGTTATGCAAGTTTTCATAGTAGAAGCTGCTCTACACGTACGACGATTCCTGGTTGGTGGGGGAGGCACGTTGACCTGGAGTGTTGGTACCGTGAGAAGGCGTTTCACCAAAGTTTCTTGGCGCCGAGCTACTATCCTCTTGTTGCTCGGTGACAGAGGAGGCGGGACTCATTTCGACTGTGGTCACTTCCATAGAGGCAGAAGCAATGATCGTGGCATCGATATCGTTTTTGAGTCTATTCAAGAGCTTCTGCTTCTCCTCAGGGTCGAGTTTGCTGGCGATTTTGTAGACGTCGTCGGCATTGTTGAGATCAGTACAAGAGATGACCATTTTGCCTTCATCAGGTTCCAAGGCCTCAATGATTGGTTGATGTGGACTAAGAGGAGGGGCAACGGCTTGATTGGAATAGTGGGTTGATGATGGTGCTGCGTGGGCAGCAGGAAGTTCAGCTTGAAGCAGAGGATCTTCAGCATCACCAACGAGCAACTTGAGATAGTGAATAAGGTCTTCTTTGGTAAACTCAGCGTTAGCGATCACCCGTCCAATGCTTGTTCCGTACTTGGCACAAAACCACCGTTTCCCACAAAGCCTATCGAAGTGCAAATGGCTCTCAAAGTTCAATCGGTCAAACCGGTCAATGATTTCCCGGATGTCAGAAGTCGTCTTCGTCTTGAACTTTGGATCGTTCCAGGGACTTCTGGGATCGGAAGGAGTGTCACTTTCACAAATCAAATCCCCCTTGACATTCAGCAAAGGTAGTCTAGATAGGCCTTTATGCTCTTTTGGGATGGTTTCGGGGTTCCTGCCAGATGAAATGAATCGATGATTAGAGTTGAAGAATAAAATAGTTTTGATGATACAGACTTGAAATACTCACAACAAAAAGTCCAGAGTTTTGAGCTTGTCTGGAATCCCCTTGTTGGCTTTCTTTGCAGCTTGTACCATCTTCAGACGCTGGCGTTTAGCCTGCAATCCCGAGAGGAGACGCTGCTTTTCTGCATGCTTTACCGCACGTTGGGTTTCGAGACGGCTAATTTCGTTTGCAGCAAAGACTTGTGCGGCATCATATTCCTTCATTTTTTCTCGGCCTATTGTGATGGTTTTATCACACTCTATCTTTTCCAATTCGCATTTTTCTTTCATTGGCATGATCTCATGAGGGGCAAGAGTAATCGCTTCATGAACCACGGTTTGAAATCGCAACGGCACACCCGGGACAAGAGAGATTCTTTCAGTCCCATCAACATTGACCATGGAGTTGGGATGATATGGAAGAGTGCCTTTGGTGCGAAAAGGACTAGGTCGTTTCGGTGGTAGTGGCATGGTGTCGTGAGAAGTTCTGTAGACTGGTAGAGCTTTGCTGGGCAACTGAAACTTCGGTGTTTCCAAATTCGTGCGTGACAAATTATGATGGTTTTCCAAAAGTTCCTCAAGAATGAAAATGAAATCGATTTTCTGGCTTTTTGACTTCGACGAATTGTGCGCCATCATCCTCGTGTTGAATTCTACTGTACACGTGTACCGGCCCGTAGACCAATGGTAGCATTTCTATAGCCACAACTTTGGACTGGTAATAATAGCCTCCAAACTCCAAACAAGTTGAAAGTGGAGAAGACGCAACCTATCAATATATATATATATATATATTATAAAAGAAACTATACAGGTAACGGAACCAACGCAGCCCAAGAAGTGATTCTATAGCCACAACTTTGGACTGGTATTAATAGCCTCCAAACTCCAAACAAGTTGAAAGTGGAGAAGACGCAACCTATCAATATATATATATATATATTATAAAAGAAACTATACAGGTAACGGAACCAACGCAGCCCAAGAAGTGATTCAATCAACGAACTTTTAAATTTAAAAATAAGGAATAGTCTGTATATTATGGAGAGCATTGGTGGGTATCTTTATTATCTTTGCCGAAACTCATATTTCTTTGGAAGTCAAATGAATGGAAAGGCAATCTTTATAATGTCATTATATGGTACTTTTCGTGTGAAGTATATTTCATTTTTTAAAATAAATCAAATGGAGGAACAATTTTAGTTTGCAGTGAGATACTCGCGATCAATATTCACCACTCCCAGCAGTTGCGTCAAACTTCAGGTTTGTTTTGATTTCTTCTGCTTTTCCCCTTCCTCTTTGCTTCCGCGGTGTTTCGTGTTTCGTGTGGTCAAGAGAGATTGGAACCATGTACATTTTACTAATAATATTGATCGTCCTCATATCATCATTTGTAGGCTCCATTCACCATCTATCAATGGTATACCATAGGTAACAATAGGTAACCATAGGTAGGTAGGCGCAGGAACTTGTGCGGTGTCTCATTTTTTTGGCTTCCCCTATACTGTAGGAGATGATGGAAGAAACAACACACGGTTTCGGAGAACATTTGGATCGTCGTCATCGTCAGAAGATTGATGTCCGATGGAAATGTGGTTGATGAACCAATTTCTTTGCATCAGAAGGAAGGTGTTTTGGGTCCCTGCTGGGTTGCTCAAAATCAACCTGGGGCCCAATCGGCATCGATCATTTCTTCGCTTTGGAAAAAAAAAACTTGATCACTCTCACGCACAGTAGTGAGTGGACGAGTGATGATTCCTTCATATAAAATGGCAAAACAACAGGCCACCGCCTTCCTTATGGACCCTCACGAGTTTGTCCTACTCAAGAAATTGCTTGAGCGATTACAGCATGGTACAGTTCTTGTCGAGTGACAATGATGAGTTCGATCTTCGTAGGTCCTGACCACAATCAATAAAAGAGAGACCCCTTGAAATATAGATGTTTTCAGGTTCCTTCACGTGTTGAGCCTACTTTCATTTGGCTTGGTTCCTTCTTGGAGCTGAATACAGTTTTTTCTCGATGATACTAGCTTCGAAGCAATGAATATATTTTAATGAATCAATCAATCAATCAATCAATCAATCAATCAATCGTCGGGTGGATGGCGATACGACACCCGTAATCTGGAGTGCTGCGGCACGTTCTTGATTGATTCTTGTGGAAGGAAGATATTTATGCGATTTGTTCTCTAGTAGTGATGTATAGGACTGGTTGTCTGTGCAAAAAAGAGGCTAATACGCCAGCACCATACAATCAGCAGCAGGATTGAAGCTTGTCCATACATCCTTCAATTATGGTTTTGCTGTTGTGGCGGTTGCAAAAAAAAATCATGAAAGTGCAGTGTCGCTCCACGCATGCATCACACATGGATGACGAGAGATCAGCAGCAGCATGCGATCCATTCGTTCCGCTAAAAGCTTAATTCTGGAAGCATCCTATCTTTCATTCATTCATACATGGAGGCTGTCTTGTACGTCACTCATTGATGCAGTTTTGTTGCCGTTTTTGATGCTACACAACACAAGTGTCGTCCTGGTTGATGGTTATTCTCATTTTGGAATATCAAGATGATGGATGGAATGATGTGTGAGGCCATGGCCAGGCGCTGTTTAAAAGGTACTGGCGTAGTATTCCGTCTCAGCCTCCGCGCCAATTTCGATCGAATGTCCGTCCTTCTTCCCACTACTGTACCACGCACGAACACAGAAACTTGGATGATGATTGGAAGGCAGCTGGCATTTTACTGTGGTGGGGCTTATTCTCATCTCTCTCAAAAACTACAGTACGGTACAAGAGTACTGGTAGTGTATTAGAACTGCCGACTTCAACAAAAATTCAGCTTGCGCTATCATACAGTAGTAACTAGTAAACACAGCAGCAACATATAAGAGGATCAAAACAAGTCACACATTGAATATACAACTATCAAACACAAAAGACAACACCAACACAGCAATATAGTACAGTACAGTACAGTACAATACAAAAACACGAATTTCAATACAAGACAAGAATCAATACAATAAGGAAAACATGGCTGACCAACCCACCGACGACGATCTGAAACGAGCCATTGCCAAATTGATTCCCACGGTGGATTTGCAAAGCACAGGAATCAAAGCCTTCATCAAACTGCTGAGCAAAGAGTTTGGAGGCGCTGATCTCAAGGCCAGGAACAAATTCATCAAGAAGGCATTGGAAGAGGCCATTAATGCCATGTCCTCTGACGAAGAAGACAGCAATGATGATGACGAAGAAGAAGAGGCAGCTGTGGAAGCGAAAGCAAAAAAACCCAAGGGATTGGCGCAAAAAAAGAAAATTTCCAAAAAGCTAGCAGCCTTTTTGGGCAAGGGCGACACCATGGCGAGGACGGAAATTGTCAAGGCGCTCTGGGAATACATTCGAGAACACAACCTTCAACATCCTGAAAACAAACGGCCAACGCTGAATGATTGTGCCATGATTTATGGATTGAAGATACAAGAACTCGAACTCCAATCGCGGCTCAGAACATCGTCTACACACCAATGAAGCTGTCGTAGCATTTGATTCCATCTTCCCATGGTTCCGACGCAGGTATTGTATGCAGCAGTCGGCGGGGTGTCAATGGACGATGTGCCGCCGAGTCTTGAGCCGTTTCTTGGATAGTTTCTTCTTTCCGCTTCTTTCGATTTGAGAACATTGTGGCATCGGCAGTAGTTTTTTTCTTCAAGGAAATGCAGAATAAGCGTTTCGTCGTTCGCCTTTCAATCGTTGTTATATGCATGTGTACGATTTTCAGCAAACGCACTAGCCAGCGTTCTCCATTTCGTCCAAAGATCCACAAAGAATCATTTTTCCAAGATGAAAGTGTCAAGTGTCGGGTGTCAAGCAAGTGAATAATGATAAAAATGTGAATGCCAAATGTCAAATTCAAAAATGTCAAATATGCAAATGCCAATGGTGAATGACGTGGTGATGGTCTGCCATCGCCCGCACAGTCACTCTCCAGCCATCAACATATTGAACATAAAATATTTATCATGCTGTACCTATATGGCAGTGCCGACACTGTAGTATAGTTCCGTCCGAGATGATTCCCAGTACCGGTATAGTACCTGGTACGAACCATTCGAAAGGCATTCAGCACGATGCCACTCTTAAGCAACCGCAATAATGCCAGTTGCCGCATTATCCACTCTCGACGCAAGTGAGATGAGAATTATCGCTTTCCCTATTGTGTCGAACAACCCAGAAGAGTAAATGACGAATTCCTGCTTCGTTGTTACGACACAGGCACTCTTGCAATTCAGCATCACAAATTCAAGGGGTTGCTGACGGTAGTGTGTCGACAACCTCGGAAGATGGGACCATCCAGGGAGCTGCCAAGTGTTTTGCTTGTGAGGAAGATGAGAAAAGGTCATGGCCTTGGAAGAAGAAAAAAGGAAGAAAAAGGACAAGAAGACGGCGACAGTGAAAATGACATCGCAAAAGCTGAAGAGTTCAAAGACGAAGAGCAGGAGGAGGAAGAAGAACAAGATCAAGAACCTGCTGAATTCCAACCTGACGAACAACAGTGGTGTTTCGTCAAAGGCGCTGCCGATTCCCTCAATTCCAATGCCATTATCATGAAGTCAATTTCGACGGGATTGAATTTGGGCATTGACGATGATGGTCAGATAAAGTTTGGGGACGACGATGCTCCTCCACGAAAACTCTATTGGTCCATTGATTGCGTGGCGGGTGAACTGTGCTTCCTGTCGAATGAATCCTCGTTTGAAGTCACAAGCCCGATGTGACATGTCCGGTCTGGTCAACATGGACATCAACATGAAGGGATGGGAAGTCTTTCGGTTCATAGAAGCCGGTCATGGATTCGTCAAGATATCGAGCTGGATGCACAGTCAATGGCTGCTCTGTTCTACCAAAGATGGAGTGGTAGGTACTTGGAGCCATGCCGAATCCTTCAAGGATTACCGACCAGAGGCAGATGGAAAATCAGATTCTCCATCTCAGCCCTATAGATGCAGCAAATGGGCTATTGAGAAGAATCCTGATGGCGAAGGGGTGATTATTCGCTCCAAGACACATGGAAGGCTATTGTGCGTGCGTGAGAACTATGAATTGAGAGCTTGCATTGCATCGTGGGTCTCACAAGAAGCGACAATAGAATCAAATGCTACAACAGCTTCATTGATGACAGTACGGACGACGTTCTGAGCCGCGATTAGAGTTCGAGTTTTTGTATCTTAAATCCATAAAGCATGGCACAATCATCCAACGTTGGCCACAGTGGGCCTCTGGGTGCTGCCAGTTCCCGAATGATCAGCGAGTCCACGTGGCCGCTATGGAAACCGAGAGCCATTTAACAACACACCGGTCCCTTCTTTTATCCATATGCACAGAGCACTATACGACTAGCTTATAGTTTCGCCCGAAAGCTATATCGAGAGCCCACATTGAAGCCAACAAAGCAGCTGGGATTGCTCAGCAAATCACTGTTGCTCGAATGGTTGGTCAAATCTTTTTCAATTACTTTATTCTAACGAAGAGGGGACTCGCCGTCCAGAGGCATACATGACAAGGCTGGGAGGGTTGGAATTGGAAGTGAGATATCAAGGTAGAGATGTTTCAACGGCGCCCACTTGAGAGTTTGAGTGCTTGAATCTATTGGGAGAATCGTTCGTTCGAATGGAGTCGCTGCGATCCATTCAAGAAAAATGATTCGCGAAATCTCAAAACCTTGCTTACTGCGCTCTGAAACTATTGGTATCTCTTTCTAAATTCGCAGCTGGCAGTCGTCAAGTCACTGCAACGATTGGATGGAAAACAGTCCTAGATGCTGCCAGGAGATACGCTGACGACTGTTATGCACGAGGAATTTCCTCATCTTACTACAGAACTTGGGAAACCACAAGCACGCCGCTACGAAACATGAAGTTGCCGAAAGCGACTGCATCGATTGTGTGAATGCAGAGTTGGCCCGATGATGCGTAGATCCAGTACTGTGGATGTGACTACTTCTCGTATTGTTAGCATCAATGGCATGCCCTCGCACTCGGGAAGTTGATGCCTTGGTGTTGGGTGTCATACATACATTCCAAGACAACGACGAGGCAGACGAACAGATTTGCAAGTGTGCTAGAAGCATCATAGACAAGATTCAACAAGGCGAGAAAGGCTCATAATAAATCTGAATGAAATTCAATGTATGCATTGGATTCCACGCAGTAATCCAAAAGGTGTAATGAAAGGGCAGACAGGAAAGGATAGAAGAAGGCAAATGCCCTGGACTCGAGCTTCTTGATTTTGTCAGCAACTGAATGATATTTTGACATTATCGTGTGACTACACTTATTACTGCGGATCAAAAAATTTCATCAGGGTAGGTGCGCGATGACACGATATAAGCAATTTCTTACTCATCCTTCCGTTGAGAAAAAAGAGCTCTACGTGCATTCAGGTAAATGCAATTTCCAAACGAAGAACTAGCTGCAAGAAAAACATTTCCTACTACATTGTTTATTTATATGAGTGTGATGTGTGAAGAGACATATAATGAAAGACCCCCATCACCTTCCGAACGAACGGCTCAACGAAAGATTTGGACGAGCTCGTTTGACTAGGAAGATCAGCTCAGCTGGGACCTCGTTCAATGACGTCGATGGAAGCTGCCACGAGGAGAGCCTGTAAGACCAGACGTCTAGGGGGAATATCGACCTGGAGGCTCTGCACCGCGAGAAGGTGTGCCACGGACGTTTCGGCTCGAGCTAGCGCCAGGCTGGGCGTTGGAGACAAGATAATTCATACTATCTTCAGACTCGTCAGAAGAGCGGTGACGAGTAGCCCATGTGCCGCGAGAAATTGGATTATGGACATTTCGGGTCGAATCAGCGCCAGGCTGGGCGTCAGAGGCTGAAGCACGGTTGTGAATCTGCCATTCCTGGAATCGCTGGAAGTCTTCATTGGAAATAATTGCTTGGCCTGTGTTGGGAGCAGCACTAGGGACAATCACTTTTTGATCAGGTTGCGAGGATTCCGTGATGAGTTGGGGTGGACCAGGGACAGCGGCTTGCTTGGAATACTGGATTGACGATTCTGCTTGAATTGCAGGAAGCGTAGGTTCAAGAGGTCGTTCAGCATCGCCAACGAGCACCTTGAGGTAATGAACGAGCTCCGCCTTGGTGAGGTTATTTTTTCCTCTGCTGTGACTACAAACGCTGGAAACGGCTTGCGTAGCAATGTTTGCTCCGAATGACTCACGGAACCACTGTTCGCCAAGAAGAAAATTCCATCTTTTATGTTTTGCATATCCAAGTTTATCAAAGTTGCCAATGATTCCTTCAATCTCCTTTTTTCTCATGCAATTCATCATTTGATCCCAAGGCAACTCGGGATTAGTGGGATCGGTACATGACAGCATAATCCCTTTCATATCCGTAAGATGATATGCCCCAAGGCCAATATAAGGGCACTTGTTGCGATCCCTGCGAGAAAAGAGAAAATTAGGATCAGGTTGCTTGTTCCAAGAATAAAAAGGTTTCCGTTTCCGATTGGAAAAAAACTTACAAGAGATAGTCGAGCACCAATCCAAGTGCCTCCTTCTTCAAACGATGTTCTCTTGACGAGTTCACTAGATCAGGCCATGGTTTCCCCAAGCCTTCGACATCGACAGAATGGGCAACCCAGTCTCTGCACCTGATGTCAATACGCTCGATATCCTTGCAAATCTCATCCAACTCCTTCTGGTCTTTCGCAATCTCGCGACGAAGTTCATCTTCGTCAAATTCTTCAATAATTCCTTCGTTTTGCCACTGCTCGATTACAATTGTCTCTCTTTCGTTGGTGAGTTGGCCTTTCGACATTACCACACAATCAGCGACAAAGTGTCGATCTTCAACACCAGGCAATAGTTGTTCTTTTGGATACCCTTGTACAGTGTTCAAAGAGAAGCGATTATATGGGAGGCATTTCCTGCCTAGACTTGGTGGTAGTGGCATGGTGACGTGAGAAGTTCTGTAGACTGGTAGAGCTTTGCTGGGCAACTGAAACTTTGGTGTTTCCAAATTCCTAGAGTGTGTGACAAATTATGATGGTTTTCAAAAAGTTCCACAAGAATGAATCGACGAATTGTGCGCCATCCTCGCGTTGAATTCTACTGAAGGCAGTACACGTGTACCAGCCCACGGACCAATGGTAGCATTTCTACAGCCACAACTTTGGACCTGGTAATAATAGCCTCCAAACTCCAAACAAGTTGAAAGTGGAGAAGACGCAACCTATCAATATATATGTATATATAATATAAAAAAGAACGGAACCAACGCAGCCCAAGAAGTGATTCAATAAACGAACTTTTAAATTTAAAAATAAGGAATAGTCTGTATATTATGGAGAGCACTGTTGGGTATCTTTATTATCTTTGCCGAAACTCATATTTCTTTGGAAGTCAAATGAATGGAAAGGCAATCTTTATAATGTCATTATATGGTACTTTTCGTGTGAAGTATATTTCATTTTTTAAAATAAATCAAATGGAGGAACAATTTTAGTTTGCAGTGAGATACTCGCGATCAATATTCACCACTCCCAGCAGTTGCGTCAAACTTCAGGTTTGTTTTGATTTCTTCTGCTTTTCCCCTTCCTCTTTGCTTCCGCGGTGTTTCGTGTTTCGTGTGGTCAAGAGAGATTGGAACCATGTACATTTTACTAATAATATTGATCGTCCTCATATCATCATTTGTAGGCTCCATTCACCATCTATCAATGGTATACCATAGGTAACAATAGGTAACCATAGGTAGGTAGGCGCAGGAACTTGTGCGGTGTCTCATTTTTTTGGCTTCCCCTATACTGTAGGAGATGATGGAAGAAACAACACACGGTTTCGGAGAACATTTGGATCGTCGTCATCGTCAGAAGATTGATGTCCGATGGAAATGTGGTTGATGAACCAATTTCTTTGCATCAGAAGGAAGGTGTTTTGGGTCCCTGCTGGGTTGCTCAAAATCAACCTGGGGCCCAATCGGCATCGATCATTTCTTCGCTTTGGAAAAAAAAAACTTGATCACTCTCACGCACAGTAGTGAGTGGACGAGTGATGATTCCTTCATATAAAATGGCAAAACAACAGGCCACCGCCTTCCTTATGGACCCTCACGAGTTTGTCCTACTCAAGAAATTGCTTGAGCGATTACAGCATGGTACAGTTCTTGTCGAGTGACAATGATGAGTTCGATCTTCGTAGGTCCTGACCACAATCAATAAAAGAGAGACCCCTTGAAATATAGATGTTTTCAGGTTCCTTCACGTGTTGAGCCTACTTTCATTTGGCTTGGTTCCTTCTTGGAGCTGAATACAGTTTTTTCTCGATGATACTAGCTTCGAAGCAATGAATATATTTTAATGAATCAATCAATCAATCAATCAATCAATCAATCAATCGTCGGGTGGATGGCGATACGACACCCGTAATCTGGAGTGCTGCGGCACGTTCTTGATTGATTCTTGTGGAAGGAAGATATTTATGCGATTTGTTCTCTAGTAGTGATGTATAGGACTGGTTGTCTGTGCAAAAAAGAGGCTAATACGCCAGCACCATACAATCAGCAGCAGGATTGAAGCTTGTCCATACATCCTTCAATTATGGTTTTGCTGTTGTGGCGGTTGCAAAAAAAAATCATGAAAGTGCAGTGTCGCTCCACGCATGCATCACACATGGATGACGAGAGATCAGCAGCAGCATGCGATCCATTCGTTCCGCTAAAAGCTTAATTCTGGAAGCATCCTATCTTTCATTCATTCATACATGGAGGCTGTCTTGTACGTCACTCATTGATGCAGTTTTGTTGCCGTTTTTGATGCTACACAACACAAGTGTCGTCCTGGTTGATGGTTATTCTCATTTTGGAATATCAAGATGATGGAGGGAATGATGTGTGAGGCCATGGCCAGGCGCTGGTTAAAAGGTACTGGCGTAGTCTTCCGTCTCAGCCTCCGCGCCAATTTCGATCGAATGTCCGTCCTTCTTCCCACTACCACGCACGAACACAGAAACTTGGATATTCTCATCTCTCTCAAAAACTACAGTACGGTACAAGAGTACTGGTAGTGTATTAGAACTGCCGACTTCAACAAAAATTCAGCTTGCGCTATCATACAGTAGTAACTAGTAAACACAGCAGCAACATATAAGAGGATCAAAACAAGTCACATATTGAATATACAACTATCAAACACAAAAGACAACACCAACACAGCAATACAGTACAGTACAGTACAATACAAAAACACGAATTTCAATACAAGACAAGAATCAATCCAATAAGACAACATGGCTGACCAACCCACCGACGACGATCTGAAACGAGCCATTGCCAAATTGATTCCCACGGTGGATTTGCAAAGCACAGGAATCAAAGCCTTCATCAAACTGCTGAGCAAAGAGTTTGGAGGCGCTGATCTCAAGGCCAGGAACAAATTCATCAAGAAGGCATTGGAAGAGGCCATTAATGCCATGTCCTCTGACGAAGAAGACAGCAATGATGATGACGAAGAAGAAGAGGCAGCTGTGGAAGCGAAAGCAAAAAAACCCAAGGGATTGGCGCAAAAAAAGAAAATTTCCAAAAAGCTAGCAGCCTTTTTGGGCAAGGGCGACACCATGGCGAGGACGGAAATTGTCAAGGCGCTCTGGGAATACATTCGAGAACACAACCTTCAACATCCTGAAAACAAACGGGAAATCATTTTGGATGACAAGATGAAGGAAGTCTTTGGCTGCGATCAATTCTCCATGTTTGCCATGAACAAGTACATTTCGGTTCACGTTGATCCCTTCAAGCCACTCGATTTGACCACCAAGCCAAAGCCCGAAAAGAGCAAGACGAAACGCAAACGCGGCTCGAAGGACGATGGCAAACCCAAGGCCAAACGCAAGGCTGGCGCCCAACCACCCTATCGTCTCAGTCCCGAACTCCAGCTCGTCGTGGGCGGCAAGGAAATTTTGCCGAGACCTCAAGTGGTGAAGGCCCTTTGGGTCTACATCAAGGCCAATGGATTGCAAAATCCCGAAAACAAGCGAGAAATCTTGTGCGATGACAAGCTAAAAGCAATCATGAATGGCAAGGACAAGGTCACCATGTTCAACATGAATTCCTTTGTGGGACAACATTTGGTGGAAAAATTGGACAAGTCAGCCTATCAACATGAGGATGATGCGGATGCCGATGCTAAAGATACCAAGGTAGCTGCCGTGGTAAAGGATGAAGAGGTTGATGATGACGATGATGATAACAATGATGATGACGATGATAATGATAACGATGATGATGACGAGGTGGACGAAGTAGAAGAAACGGGAAGTGACACCGAAGACGAAGATTGAGCATGCGATGACATATTATATATATCAGTTTGTGTTTTTGGTATAGAATCGATAGAGGTCATGTGTAGTATAGTAAATAGTACCGGCAGTAACTAACTGAGTAACTAACTAACTAGCTAACTGGGTATAATACTGCAATACGCATTTGCACAAGGGGTGACTTTTGTATATTTGTGCAATGATAACAATTTAGGAAGTCCAACTAGTCGAAGATTGTTATTGCTTTCATCGATATCATATCTCGTGTTCATGTATTTTCATTCCTATCGCAACGATGATGCAATCGCCAATAAGGATAACTGTACTACTCTATCTTTCATTACTGCTCGTCATCACTACAGTAGTAGCAGAAGCAGCAACTAATGATGATAATGACTACTCCTCCTCCTCCTCCTCCTCCTTTGGACTCGCCGCCTATCTTCCTGACTATCGCCCATATGAAACGATTGTAAATGCGTCGGCACCTCACTTGACCGATTTGATATTATTTTCCATTCAACCGCATAAAAGTGGCATGATTACTACTGAAAAAGACCTTATTTGTTGTTTACAAGAAGAAGCCCATTACAAAGTAGCCCAACAGGCCAAACAGAATGGTGATGATGATGATGATGATGATGATGATGATGATGATGATGACAGTAATTATAAACTCTGGGTGACGATCGGTGGTGCAGGTCGGGCGGATGCCATTCCAGCAATTACCAAAAGTCCCACCAAACGAAAACGATTGATTCATGGCATGATGGACTTGGCTTCCAAATATGACATTGATGGAATTGACTTGGACATTTACTATCCCACGTCGAAAGAAGAATTACAAAACTATGTCACCTTTGTCCAAGAAGCTTCGCAAGTTTGGCATCACCATCATCCTCATCATCATCATCATCCAGCTGGGTTATTAGTCAGTGTCACTTGGCATCCGCATCGACTCCCATTACCACAACGTATTTTTGAACTAGTGGATCGAGTCCATGTAATGGCCTATGATATGATTCAAAAGGTGGGAGATTATCATTCGACCTTGCATGATAGTCAACAAGCCGTTCAATCATTATTGAAACAACACGGGTGTGAGGCACACAAGATTTGGTTGGGAATACCAATGTACGGCCGCAAATTGGACAATCCAGGAGACGCTCAAGCCTTTGGAGACCTGTGGACCAGTTATCGGCAGCAGCAAGAAAAGAATCCAATCGACGACGACGACAACACAATGGCTTTGAATGGGACTCTCCAGATCGAATTCGTGCCAAGATGGACTATGCCTTTGCCCAACACTTGGGAGGTGTCTTTTTCTGGGAATTGGGACACGATTACTACCACCACCACCAGCAGGATCAGGACCCGCCATCAGTGGCACAAGGTGGTGGGGGGCTCTTGTTGCAAGTGGCTTCTCAACATCGAAACAAAATTTTAGCATCGGCAAAACAAAACAAAAAAGGTCAAGACGAGCTCTAATGATTGCAGAGGTTTTAGCCTATCAAATTGGTAGAGAAAGAATCTGCCCTCTTTCAGCAAGCTGCAACGATACGGCAGGCTTTGGACTCTTAGCTGGCCGGTCGTCTTGGTTTTGGTAAATGGGCTCTTGCTGGAAGTGGCGTCCGAACGACAAAGCCAACCTCTGCATCCTCCAAAAGAAAACAAAGACGACGAGCTCTGCAATATGAATGCATGTCTGTTATACTACTATTAGCCTGCCAAATCAGCACAGAATCTGCCTTCGTCCATCATTGTTCGAAGATGATCTTCGGACTCTTCAAAGGTCATCTTGCCATGCTCTTGTACCAAATCAAGCAATTCTGCCTTGACAGTAACTCCAAAGGCATAGGCTGTGAAAGAGAGAGAGCGATTGAGAGAGAAAGAGAGCGAAGAAGAAAAAGAAAAAGAAAAGAGCAAGGTCTTTGTGAATGCGAGTCGTGACAAATCAATAAGGTCGATTTTGCGCAAGCGATTGTAAACACGTACCTCCCCCACAAATGTAAATGTGACCACCACTCTGCATATGCTCCCACACAGCCATTCCGTTTTCACGAATCAGTTCCGACACCATCATGGTTTTTTGAGTGGGCAGTGTGCAACCACTGGAGTACACAATCTGGGCGTCGGTCAGAGCACCACATTCCAAGGCTTCTTCGACTAGTTTCCGATAAATTTCATCGTGTGGATTCCGATAGCCCATGAACAAGATTCCTGGACCAAATTTGTTGTTCCCATTATTATTGCTAGAGGAGGAGGACGACGACGACGACAAGAACACACGTTCCTGCAAAAAGGACCGAATGGGCGCCATTCCGCTTCCGCCTCCAATCATCAAGACTGGAGTTTCCGGCGAAGAAGGTAGTCGAAAGGTGGGATGGGGAACCACGGAGGCCGGAATGCAAGCTGCTGCTCGATCTCTCGAATCAATGTCATGCGTCAGGACTCCCTTGTGCGACAAGTAGCTACTGCAGACACCTTCCCGTAGGTATCCATAACTGCTTACATACTTGATGGGCCGATAGGCCAAATGAATGGTGTGAGGATATTGGACATTGGAAGAGGCAATCGAGTAATAGCGTGGTTTCATGGGAGATGCTTGATAGAGTAAATCTTCCAGTGATAGTTTGCCAGTTCCATTATTCTTTCGTTTTTGTTCCAATACCAAATCTATGATGGTGCGGCGTGGAATGGCAATTTCTTCTTTGTAGTCCATGTCCTTTCGTCCTAGTAAGGTTCGGGCAAAGAGTGGCGACGGTGGTGCTCCCAATTCCACACAATGCATCAAGGTTTCCATGACTGTGATGCCAGTCGGATATGGATACTTATTGGAATTGCCCTCATCATCATCACCCTTGACGATAATGGCATGGGGGTCGACCTCCAGGAGATCGACATAGGCTTGGACCATGGCATCCGAGTTTCGTGGATATACGAGCAAGTGATCCCCACTAATATATTGGACGTCTTTTGGTAGAGAGATTTGTAATTCTTGCATACCCGCTTCTCCACCATCCAAGGCCAATCGTTCGTTCTGAATGACTGGTAGCATGCGAGTCGACTCGGAATAAAAAGCATTACTCTTTGTCTTGGAAGTACTAGAGCTTTGCAAAAAGAACAAATCGTGTCGAACCACATCACTCGTAGCAGGTTTCAAAGACAGTGTGGGGTATTTTTTGGAAATAAACCTTGTCCCATCGGGTAGTATGGAAACTTCTGGGCAAGATATCCGTGGCAGATCATCGTTTCTGACACTCCTTTCAGTATGGATATCCATTTCAGCTTCAGCAGGACTACTGCTGCTATCAGTACTAGTAGTATTTTCATCATGTTCCTTTACCTCCTCTGTGTCACTCGCACCAACACCCAATTTCAATCGTTCCAAAGTTTCTTCCATCCATTGATCAAAATCATCGTCCAGACAATCTCCATCATCTCCCAATCCCAAAGGCTGCATTCGATTGGCTCCCAAGGTATCCAATTGGGCATCCAGTTTTTTGCCAATGACATTGTAATGATTTGGATGAGCCTGCTGGTTGCCTAATCCAAAAACGGCGTAATTGACTTGGTTCCAGTCATTGGGAGTGGCACTATCACCATCACTTTTACTACTAGCCATGACCCACTCGAAAAAGGCTCGACCGTTGCTAGGAACTTCCCCCACACCAGTACAACTGACAAGAAAGAAATTTACGATATCTTCCTCCTCATTTTTGCTAGAAGCATTGGAAGAAAGAAAGGATTCGGGTGGGTGTTCGTGCAGTCCTTGAACCATGACATCACTGTCTGGCAATTCTTCTTCCACACCTTCTGCCAATTGATGGGCAAAGAGTTGGGCGGTTCCACTTTGTGATGCATACCATATCTTGATGTCTTGAGGTGGTCCTGCTGATAGTGCAGCAGAAGCCGAGTAGTGTCGACATAGGAACTTGTTGTGCTGTCGTCGAACCACAGAGGAAACAAGTCGTTGCGCATGCCACATTTTGGATTTTGGCTTTTGGTTTTCGTTTTTGACACCCACCCACTTCTTCGAAATTTCGAAAATAATGCTTTGAAGCTCATGTTCAAAAAACAAATCAAATACCGGTTACTTCAAAAAAGCGGAATATGTACAGTAAATTTGGCCGATAAATACTCGGTCGTTCAAGACCACATTTCCGTTCCATAACGTTGTGAAACAATAGTCTGATTGAGCTAAATATATTTGTCGCGGTGAAACCTGCAGCTACCATTGCAGTAGGAAACGAACGCGGGGTCCTTTTGGCTTCACAAAGGGTTCGGGGTTCTCAAAACGACCTAATTTTTTCAACCCGAACCCTGGTGCGAAACGACACTGTTCTTTGCGCAGTTGATGGCTGACACAAGCAAAAAGCATATCTTTTTTAATTCTTTCGACGGGAGAAGAAAGTTGCTACAGCACAAAAACAGCTTCTCATAAATCAACGCACACCTCACACACACACACATCATCATCATCATCATCATGTTTCCTCGAGCTGCCATTCGGGGTCTATCCTCCAAATTCACAGCAGCTGCTACCAGAGCTCCTGTTCGAGCAGCAGCAGCAGCAGGACGATTCGCAAGACTCTCCTTGCCGGCAACTTCCGCCATGGCCACCACTGCCACCATGTCCTTTTCGACCAAGACTGAGGACGGCAACGAGGTCGCCAACCCCGACATGTTTTGTCGTCAATGCGAACAGACCAAGGATCACTTTGCCTGTACCACAGTCGGTGTCTGCGGCAAGACAGCGGAAACCTCGGCCATGCAGGACGCCTTGATGCACACCCTCAAAACCCTAAGTATCTGGGCCATAGCGGGCCGAACAAAAGGACTGACTGCGGAAGAGTTGCATGCCGTCAATGTTTGGACGCTAAAGGCAGCCTTTTCCACACTTACCAATGTCAATTTTTCAGAAGAACGCATTGCCGAATACATTCAAGAGGGCATGGCCATTAAAAAGGATTTGGAAGCCGCCATTGGACCCGAGTCCGCACCCACTGGTGACTTGGCAAGTATCGACTTGTCTGGGATGGACCTAGCTGCATTGGAAGACTTTGGATATTCTGTCTCTTTGCCAATCCGCCAAGAAGCCATGGGAGACCCCGATTGCTTTTCCTTGAATGAAATTGGAACCTATGGTATCAAGGGCGTCAGTGCCTATGCAGCGCATTGCTACCAACTAGGAAAGATGGACGAAGAAGTGATGGCTGATATCCATCAAGTCTTTGCCAAACTTGGTTCCGATGAAGCTGATATGGAAGGATTATTGGCCAATGCCATGAAGGTTGGCGAGATCAATTCCAGGGTCTTGGCCATGTTGGACGATGCACATGCAACTACATTTGGAGAGCCAGAACCAACGCAAGTCCCGATTACTGTCACGGAAGGCAAGGCCATTTTGGTTTCCGGTCACGACATGATGGACTTGGACATCCTCCTTCAACAGACAGAAGGCACCGGAGTCAACGTCTACACGCACGGAGAAATGCTCCCCGCCCATGCACATCCTGGACTCAAGAAGTACCCCCACCTCAAGGGTAACTACGGAACTGCCTGGCAAAATCAAAAGTTTGAATTTGCAAGCTTTCCAGGACCCATTGTGGTGACCACCAACTGTGTGTTGGAACCCAGACGAGCATACCGCAACCGCCTCTACACCATGAACGAGGTTGGTGTCGACGGTGTATCACACATTGGAGAAGACCGAGACTTTAGTGAAGTCATCGATCAAGCCTTGCACATGAAGGGATTTAAGAAAACTATTGAGCCAGTCCAATATCATACCGTCGGATTCAATCATCGAGCTGTATTGCCATTGGCCAATGATATTATTGAAGCAGCAAAAACGGGTGTCTTGTCTCGAATTGTATTGATTGGAGGTTGCGATGGCAGTCAATGGGAGAGAAGGTATGTGAAAGAAATGTGTTGTACTGTACCGGTTGAATGATACTGGAGAAAGTGGGCTCACCATTCTTTTTGTTAATTTACCATTCTGCCGTACACAGCTACTTTACGGATTTGGCCGAGGAATTGCCTGACGATACTTTGATATTGACACTAGGTTGCGCAAAGAATCGTATCATTCACAGTGAAAAGCTACTTGGTGCCACGCTATCCAACGGGATGCCCCGCGTCTTGGATATGGGACAGTGCAATGACTCCTATTCGGCCATCGTGGTTGCTACGGAACTCGCGAAGGCGTTGAATTGCGGCGTCAATGATTTACCCTTGTCTCTAGCACTCAGCCATTTAGAACAAAAGGCGACCGCGGTACTTTTGACTCTTCTCTCAATGGGAGTGAAGAATATTCGATTGGGTCCCACTCTTCCGGCTTATGTGACGCCCGGTGTCTTGGATGTTTTGGTGCAGAATTTCAATCTCATGCCCACGACAGATGCCATCAGCGATATCAAACAAATAATGCAGGGCAACTAGATACGGTATAATAGTTCGCCACTCACTCGATCATGGCTAGGGAGACATGCAACAAGACAACAGTACAAGCTCTGCACACGAGCAAATCCATACAGATGCATACAGTAGCATTTTTTGAAAAAAGTACGCAACATATTATTGAGGAAGTATTGTTCTCGAAACTCTATATAAGGGTATTATGTATGATATGTGTTTCAAACACTTTCCAATAGTTCTCGATCATTCAGCAGGGTGTAAATCTCGTTGATGTGTTTTTGCCTTACATCCGGATTCCATCCAGACGGAAGCTTGTACAAGGCATCTCGTATTTGCTTTTTCCAACGATCCAAGCACAACGCATTCACTCTTTTCTTGACTATTTGCTCTACTGTAAAAATGACAAGCTTTTTCGAAGTAGGTGTATCATTCGTGCATAGATAGTCAGCAATGGTGTGCTCAGTCTCGTCCTTGGCTGTGAGCTGCTCAACAGTGTGCACGGATATCAGGCCCTTTGCGAACGAAAAATTGGGAAATGTCGACATGGACAGGATGGCTAGTGGAGTCATTCCCGTACCATTGTCAGTTGATGACAGGTCCAGTTGTTGCCCATCCCTGTCAAAACTCGCAAAGGCTGTCTTTAAAGCTTCCATCAGATCTTGAGTTGGAAAGTAGGATTGGTAGTAGCACAGCTCATGAATCGGTTTGCTTTCAAACCGCGACGCTAAGCCTTCGATTATCGATTCACCATACTGCGATTGCAGTAATTTACAGTTTGCGAAGGCATCCTTCCCGATCTCTTCCACAGACGAGGCCAAGGCAACATTCTTCAGCTTGGAGCACCCATCGAATGCATGGTCGTGAATCTTCCGCATTCGCCAATGTAGTTCTACCGATATTAGAGACTGGCAAGCGGAAAAGCAGCCATCTCGAATTTCATCCACAGTGGATGGAACTCGGATATTCCGCAACGACATGCAGCCACAAAAGGCATCTTCACCAATTCTCTTGAGACCTTCGCGAAGGCCAACAGACACCAAATCTTCACAGCTCATAAAGGCATTATCCCCGATCGTCTCTGTTGTAGAAGGAATATCCACGCTCTTGAGCGACTCGCAAAGAGCAAAAGCTTCATCGCCAATCAACACAAGATTCTCTGAGAACCCAACAAATTGCAGCGCAAAGCACTTGAGGAATGCCTGATCTCGAATTTCTGTAATCGTAGATGAAAGTTGCACTGTTTGTAGTGATATACATGACTCAAATGCGCCTAGTCCAATAATCTTGACACCTTCTGGAAAGTAGATCTCTCGCAAGTATTTACAATTTCGAAAGGCCTTGGCGACGATTTCAACTACCGATGGATGCACCTGAACGTGGGTGACATCGGCCGGAACACAAGCTTCCCCATGGTAGACATAGATTTGCTCTGTCTCTTTGGTTTCTTCCATGTTGGGCGTGTCAGTGTGAGTTTTGCCAAAAGTGGTTGGACGTGGGAAGCATTCTCATGCGTTGCGCCGAACCTCATGCCAATGCATAAAATGAATTGGCGATATCCAGTCGTTCCGGGAATCCGTAACGGACAACGTCTGGCCGGCCCTCTGCCGCAACATTTTAAAACGCTAACTCAGTTCCTTCGGTTCGCAGGTTTGTTATAGGCTACAGTACCAGTACTTCTATGCAACAGGTGGCCTTTGAATCCTAGTCCTAAATACATAACTTATTATATTACATGCGAATCTTTCCTCCGGAGAACATTCAGCACCCCATTTGATCTTGCCCCGTGATCATGAACTAGTAGTACTAGTACTACTAGATAGTGTGCCTATAGCAGGGCGCGGATGATTATTCAATGGTGACTTCGCTCGACGTCGCCTACATTTTGTTCAATATCTTTCGATTGCGATACATCAAAGTCGATGTAACCCTTCGAGGTTCTGATCATTTCATCTATGGAGTGCCGTTCGCTGGAAAATACTTCTTCCTCGCTTGAGGTGGCTGCCAGGCCTAGTTCCTTGCGGCGAGACTCGCGCAGTGCTAGCTTCCTTCCGACAAAAGGAACAACAATCAGAGCCAACGTCTGTACGACGAGGAATATTATACCGACTGACAGCACGACATCTTTTTCTTCCTGGCTTATCCTGTTTGAGAGCCAGAACTCTGCTTCCTTCCCCACTACAGCTACCCTACACCCGTCCAAGGAATCTTGGGCGATGTAATTATTTTGTAGCTTGAGCTCCAGTGATCTTTGCAGATTTCTTTGTGTGTCCATATCGCCCAATCTATAGGTCGGAAAACTAACATTCCATATCGTATAGTTGAAGGAATCGTATCCCACACCTCGTAACGTCGCAGAATCCACCTCTGCTTCCGGCATATTCCATATGATTGAATCCGACCAGAAGTCAATCTCCCGACCCAACGGAAAATTATGGCAAACGTTTTCAAATAACAAGGGATCCATCAAGTGGATCGATTCCGAGTTGAAGAAAGAAGAACCATCATCACAGAATACGTGTTCTGTCAACCATTCGAACACGCCTTCTTCGTCTACTCCCTCCTCAAATACTTCAGAAGAAGTAGACTGCGGTGGACCGGACCAACAGCTGAACCATAAGAAGAGTGTATCATCATAAGGAAGCCGTGAATTGTCCATTGTCGTTGTTCTTTCCACGAGTCCTTTTTGTTGGTTTCTAGATTTCTTGTATTGATGGTTGATCAGAATGATTTCTGGTTTGGAATTTCGTACGATTGGTGGCATTTTTGGCGGCTTGAATTAATCACGCTAAAACAAGCGTTTTGGATGGTTTGTGAACTATTTTGCAACAAGATAACATTCATGCGAGTGCAAAACTGTGTAACTGCGTTGTCGATTTGGAGAAGACAGGTGACATCAACCTCTGAATAACCGAAAACCTAAATTATATAACATATATATATGTACTTCTACGCGAACACCAATAAGACAGCACGTGTTGCTGCATCATCGTCATCACAATGTTGCTATTCAATCACATTCCATCTTTCATGAATGAATCCCTGCTACCCCAAGCTCCCACTACAGCGGTGAATTGCAAACCCCCCGGCAATTAACTTGATTATGATTTCCAGAATAAAATGCCACCGAAGAATGAATGGAAGAGCCGGTGGGCTTCCCATTTGCACCTCCATCCCATTGTCCCAAAGTTTCCTTTCACACCCAGGTGGATTTTAACGGGGTGGTGGCGGAGACACCAAGGAATGGACCAGATTGCAAACTCAAAATCTTTCGGGCTTGGTCTGATCTGAGTTTGTCCTCGTCCAACCTCTTCTGCTGTGCCTTGAGCCATCTGGTTTGACGATCCCCTGCCACACCGCACTCGCGAAGTTGGTCTCGCAGGCTCTCAAAGGTAGCATTCCAATGGTACTCCTTTAGGTTCCAGCAAAAACCAATTTTGTTCAGCTCGAGGATTTCCTTTTCGGAAAGGGATGCCGTGGAATTTACGAGTCCTCGTACAGTACGAGAATGAGCCATACGCATGGTCCTCGCCCACTTCGCAAGACCAGGATTTTCTGGCAATTCCAGCGGAATTGCGCAATGTCCATGAGTCTCGCGAAAGCTTAAGCATTGGTTGTACATCTTGGAGAATTTCTTGGAGAATTTGATGCGAATCGGATTATCTGTCTTATTGGTCTTCGTTTCAGACGTGGCAATTTTGGAAACGAATTGCTCGGATACCTTCGTTACGAGCATGTTCTCCTCAATGGCCAAGATTGCGCCAATGTCGAGGTCATCTTGGGGATCGTGGCTGGACTTGACTCGCTTCAATCGATGCGATAGGTCATCCTTCGTCTCCAAAGATCGCTTGTTGCGGTCACACCCGAGAAGGTCTTTCTGCAAGTCTTCTATTGCAAAAAGGTTTCCAAAAGGATGCAGAGCGTCCATTCCAGTAACCTTGACGTCAAAGGACAAGGGTCCTTCCAATGCCATGGATTCTTCTTCCTTCACTTTCATGCCTTCCAAAGTGTGTGGTAGATGAAAAGGAAGAGGTTGGATCAAGCAGCACGCCGAGTCGGCAAGGGCATCATCTGTAGCACTCTCCTCAGAGACAGACTCGTCAGTGACCATGCCCAGGGCTTGCTCCGAATCATTGGCTGGACGAATTATCATGGTGGGATCTTGAACGGCGATTGTATCACAGATACGATTCGAGTTTGTGAAGGACAGCGCGTCTTGAAACGAGACCATTCGTGGATTCTCTTGAAGTTCGTGCATTGTTCTCAAGTTCTCATCTCTAAAGACATGATTACTAGGAATGGAGGTTGTATCACCAGCACCAGTCATAGGAACTATTCCTGTATTGAGCGTAAGAACTGCTGTAAAAAGACTATGAATTAGCAAACAATCAACAAAAGAGAAGAGCAACACAGGTAGGTAGTCATGGTTCTTACCTTCTTCTTCACTGGGTCTCGCCGGCATCTTCTGATCCATGTAAGGAATAAATTGACTGAAGCGATCATCGCTTGGATTTTTCTTGTCACGCTTCTTGGAAGAAGGTTGAATGCAATCAGAAGCGTTTGGGTTCACGTCTGTTACATCCTTTGTTGGACTGCCGAATTGAGTGATGAATTGGTCCAGTCCATGACGGACAAGGCTGATATCCAGTTGATTCTGGCTGACTTTGTGCGGTTGACGCTTTTTCATTCCGTCGCATTCTTTCTCAAACTCTTGCAAAAATTGGTCCATTGGAGTCTGGGTGGCACGACGGTTGCCAGAAGGAGTAAACAAGGATTCATCTGAGGAGGCTCGAGGGGACGCTGTAGCATTGTACTCTGAAGACATGCCATGCTCAGTAGAAGCATCCAAGAAAGTCTTGAAATCATCAGAGGAAGTTTTCGTCTGATGTTGTTGTTGATTTCTTGTCAATGTTCGGACCGTAGTGGGAACATTCAAACCTTCCCCATGTAAATTATCTGCTTGTAATACGTTGCGATTGGTCGTATCCATTAAATTGCCTTCAGTATTCTGTAGACTGTCTTGGTCAATGACGTTGTTGTTGCTGTGGTCTCCTTCCCAAAACAACAACGATGAGTCGTCCTGCATTTCGAACGTTTTCAGCACTTCAGCGTTACAACCTTCAGCTCCACCTTGTGGAGGCTGGTCAGATTCGTTATGTTGGTGATAGCGGTATTGGCTGTTGGCATGAGACTGGTTCATGGTAGCACCCGTTGCTTTCGTTTGTTTCTGATTTTGTGTTTCCGAAAAAAAGCTCTTCAAGCTTTTCAGTCAAGGTTATTTGTGTTTCAAGATTTTGAGCGGCAGACTATGTCTGCCTGTATGTACACGTGTTCAGGTGTACCACTCTGACAAATCATCAATCATCACCTTTGCGGATGACGTGACGCTTTCTTTGTTTTAGTTTTGAAGCAGCATCCTTGTGGTTGAAGTTCAGCCATTCATGGGCGATGACGATGATTCACACATCACGAGGAGGCTGTGAATGGAGTTCGTCAGAGAGCTCTTGACGAAATAAACTTATGGCAAGTCATTCGAAATTGGAGAAGCCACCGCGTGACGCACGGCGTCCGTGCACCGATGGGAACGTAAGCGATCCAATCCAAAGCAAGGATGTCCAAAGGGAGTGCTACTGTATGAAACCAATTATTATGTATCAGCAAAATTGAAAATCACGTGGAGCTAATGCACAAAATGTCAGATCGCGCTGGAACATTTAGAAGTCTCGCTCCGGCTTTTCCTTCCGTTGTTGGGTAGTCGAAAGCCACTGCAAAGAACATTTGCGAACCTTTTCGGCCCACTTCAGCGACGTTGATGCCGTGGGAAACCATCATTTTCTGCATACTTCCAGTAGATTGTGTACCAGGAATTCGAAATGAGTTTACGACTAATTGATGAAAGTCAGAAATCTTTGGAAATTTTCGACTTATTGATATCTGAAATCCTTTTCAAGATCTGGCAAAGAATTGACGTTCCTTCGCGTCCGATTTCAGGTGCTTAAGTGTTAGAGGGGCTTCCTGTTACCAAAATTGTCCTAACAAATGGCGGCAATTTAAATGAGTAGAAAATTTACCGACACTACGGTATTTAATTGTTAATTTGATTGTGTCTATCCGCGTCGGAAATGCAATGCTGGTTGACGTACGTCACACGCTGAACTTTTCTAAAATTCCTATAATGTACCGGTAGCTGATTTTGGTTCTTCTACTGCTTCAGACACCGACTGCCGATTGTCATTCACACACTAACAAGATTGAATTGTCGAAAAAGATTGATACATTCATTGCGAGACTGCCATTTCTTGCAAAGCTACAAGACAATGAATAACATTGAGAACTACCGGTACGATTCTAACGATATTGACGGCGTTCCTGGAGATATTCTAGTGGACATGCACTGCAATTCAGACAATGACACAACGTTGGATGATTGTAGTGTAAATTTTCAGGAGCTCCCTAGCCTCGAACCGTCACTGCTTAAAGACTCGTCTTTCTCCGATTTTCACATGCAAGACTATTGGGGCAGTGACTCTACTGTCAGCCCCGACGAGGATGTGCCAAGTACACCTTTGAAACGAAAACGAGACGACGAACATGTTGATGAATTGTCGATGCATTTCTTCACGGATGATGTCATCAGTTCTCCCATGACGACTCCTTCGTTGCCCCCCAAGAAAGCCGCCAAGCTTCGAATTGCCACTCCAAGTACTGACGACGACACCACTGTTGCTCACTGTAATAAGGACGACAACATGGAATTTCAAGATCCGCTCCTCGCAATGCCACTGTCCGAGATTCCCAGCGGCTTTGATACTCTCATGCGCCCTGACAAAATCTGTTCTGGAACCAAAACTGTCGCTAGTCCTCGCAGTCCCATCGAAGGCAACGAGACAAAAACAATCGTTTGCCATCCTGAGGCTCCGAATGGGACAGGTGAAGTGGTGCGTACTACTTCCAGAAAAGGAATGGATCTTGAACTTCTCCCCCTTCCAGAACTCGAGATTTGTCGTCCAAAGGCAATGCTCCCACAAGTTACTCTGCACCCCGTGAAAGATCCAGTGTCTCGACAACTCCTCTTTCCACCAATGGAAGCCTCCCCGTTCATCGGTCTACCGGTCCTGACAAACAAATCCAAGCTTTCCTTCCCACTGGCGCTGGCGACCAGTGGTTCGATTCAGTCGAATCCGTCGATTTCGACTGCAAGACGTCCTTTGCCCAAGCTTCTCCCAAGAAACTATTGTAGCAATCCTTTCGACAGCCGTGCTGTTTTCAAACCAGTCACACCTTCTACACCAAGACTTCCAAGAGAAGACATGTTCCTTCATTTGGCTGCAGTCGGACCACTTCCGCAAAATGCTATGAAAGAGCAATTTACTCGTCCTGCGGCCGCAGTCACACCGGAACAACACCACATGAAAATGACCGTGCAAGAGACTCCCAAGGTCAAAGTGAAGCGAGGACGACCCCCCAAGAAGACTCCAACCTCCAAGACAGCACAAGAAAAGAAGCAAGCCGCCAAGAAAAAGGCACCAGTCAAAAAGGAGACACCCGTCAAGAGACCAGCAATCAAGAAGAAGGCAAAAAAGACCAAACAACAGTACCAGACCAAGAACGCAGGAAAATGGAGCAAGAGATATGAAGAAGCCAAGGCCTTTATCAAAACACATGGCCACGGTCTCATTCCCAATCAATATTCCCCCAATCCTGACCTTGGTGGCTGGGCCAAGCGCCAGCGATACCAGTACCAACTCTTTACAAAAAATCGAAACAACGTCCGCGCCAACGGAACTTGCAAAAGTTCCATTTCCGAGGAACGCATCGAGTTGCTCAACAAGATTGGCTTTTGCTGGCAACACAAGACCAGCAAGTGGGAGAACCGATACGAAGACCTCAAGCGATTCGTCCAGAAGTATGGTCATGCTGCGGTGCCCACCACATTCGCAGAGGATCAGACACTCTCTGGATGGGTAAAGGTTCAGCGTCGCCAGTACAAGCTCTTTCTCACCGGAGAGAAGAGTTCCATGACAATGGAACGAATCAATCTCTTGAACAAGTTGGGATTCTGCTGGAGCATCAAGAATATCACAAATGCGCCCGGCCTTGAAGAACCACCAAGAGCTGTGGAACAACCACCAAAAGACAATGTCTTGGTTGTGGACAAAATCTCCAGCGCGGATATGTCCAAGTAAGGACGTTCCGTTCTTCGAGCATCGTCACTGGGGTACGATGCCAATGGGGGTGGTGGGCACGGGCTGGGTTACAAGAGCTCACAACGTTTCGCACACATACACACACACACACACATGGTGTGACATGCATGCGGGGCCAGGGGACATTTTAGGATTTTAGGGCGGAAGAAGGGATTTTCCGCAAGTTGCACACATTCATTTTAAAAAAATTCACACTCGCACACGGCACTCGATTTTCTTCAAACACATAAACACAAACATATCATCATCAAACGATTAGTATGGGGATACTCTTCGTTGATGCCAAGATCCATTATTCGTTCCTTCCATTGAAGCTTTCAGCGGGAAAGCATGGGTAAGACTGGAACGAAAAATATGGATTTCCATTAACCATTCACGCACACACTGTGATAAATTTATCACCAGCACACAACAGCTTAGAATTTCGTCATCAACCAGACAAATGGGTTTAAAAGAAGCTTCTGTCTGGTAATCCTGTAGAAAGAACGTACAAGAATAACAAAATTAAAAAATCATTCATCTCATCAATCCTTTCTCATTCGTTTCCGCTTCACATGGATACAATCATCAACTTACCGAGATCATGGGGAGGCCTCCTATAAATGTAGGACCGTTCGGTGGGCAGATGTTGGACCTAAAGTTGGTCCACTTGTTGGTGCTAAAGTAGGACCCCATGTGGGTTCAGAGGTGGGTCCACATGGCGGACCTGTCGGTAAACTGGTGGAAATCTTGGTTGATCCGAATGTTGGCAAATCACAAGGACCCTTTGTTGGTACTCCAGTTGGTTCAGCAGAGGTTGGACGATTGGTGGGTGGGTGGGTGGGTGGGTGGGACCCCTTGTTCGACAAGAAGCAGACCGAGAAGTTGATTCACTCTGAGGTCCAACTGTTGGACCAGTGGTGGATCTGTGGTTGGATCTGTGGTTAGAAACAATGATGTGTGAAGTCCACGAACACCTCATGACAGATGGAGGCATCCTGTCTTTTGCACGACACACGTATTTCAGAGTGTCGGAACAAGAGTTGAAGTGATCGACGGAAGGCTCAGGGGGAAATCGCAAGTTCCTATCAGATCCTGTTCCATGGGAGGGCGATATCAATACAGCACTGTACCTATGTTGGCTAAACACGCATGCTGTCTGCTTCCAACATGATCTTTCCAGCCATTCCTTCAATGCGAATAGCAGTACATACGTAAGAGATGAATTTTGATGAGAAAGTCGGGATGCTTTGCTTGGTGTTTCTCCAATTTTGTGAAATCCAACTACCATTGACGTAGGATGGTACAGGCATGATCCCCGCTTGCCGTGAGCGTGCATCGCAAGTCATAAGTAGTCCATCTTGGGAAACTGTTCAGCTGGCTTGACTTGTGAGCCAGCATCGATAGGCTCTATCTAAAATCCCGACTACAGCTGGACAGCGAACTTCTACATATTACAAAGCTAGCATCGCCTGTGAGCCGGCATCGAATGAATGTTGACGTGGGAAAGCAGGATAGCGTTTTGATCCGATCAGCTGTGCTGTATGTCAGTCCAGCGCGGGTGATCAAAAAAAGAGGAAAAGGAAAAAGGGCGAAGAGGAGTAAATTCGATGGGGAATGGAGAAAAAGGAGAAAGTGTTCGAAGGATAAGCCGACAGCCGACCCAACCAAACCAAACAAAGCAAGAGTCAGTCATTCGGTGAAAAAAGAGGATTGTCTGCGGCTAGCTCTTCCGAGAGAATCTTACCTTTATTTCCCATTCCACACTCGGAGTCTCCAATTTCGTTGCTGTCCTTCAATACCTATAATACATTAATACTCCAACCATGGTGAATTATCATCGAGCTGCGTCCAAGCTCGACATGTATCGGAAAGTACCAATGGACTTGATGGAAGGTACCAAGCGAGGGAGTATTCTCAGTTATATCGCCTTGTTCACCATGACAACGTTATTTATACTCGAGACCAAAGAGTTTCTTTCGCCACGGTAAGTGTCCCATTTTGGCATTGGCTGGCTGGTTGAGTCTCAATGATTCATCATTTGCGATGTGATGCACATGCTCTGAATTTTAAATCTACTGATTCTTCTATTTGCTAACAACCTGTGCCTTTTCATTCTCCCAATCCTTCCAATGCAATGCGGAATGCCGATCCACAAACTTTTGATCAACAAAAAGAAACAAAACGGATCTTGCTCTGGATGCTTCCGAAGATCCTCGCATCCGTCTCAATTTCAACATTACCATGCTGGATCTGAAATGCGAATGGGCCGTGGTGGATGTGGTCAGCTCGTTGGGATCCAACCAAAATGTTACCGCCCATGTGACCAAATGGGATTTGGATGCCAGTGGAGTTCGTCAACAATATCGAGGAAGGAACCGATTTCAAAATGATATTACCCTCTTTGATGAGTCCGTGACTGATACACTAGAAGAACTCCACGAAGATGGTGAAGATGCCGTCAGTTTTGACGAACAGACTTTGCAATTTGCCAAGAATGAGAACGAATTTCTCTTTGTCGACTTTTATGCCTCGTGGTGCAGTCATTGTCGCGCTTTGGCGCCCACTTGGGAGGCACTTGCGGAACTCATGTTGGATACTGGGGAACATTTGGGAAAACTGCATCATGACGACTACGATAGTGAAGACTACGACGCAGCGGAAAAGGTTCGCCTACCCGTCATGGTTGGAAAGGTGGATTGCGTCACCCACAAGGAAGTGTGTCAGCGTCATGCCATTCGGGCCTATCCTACCCTGAAGTTGTTCCACAATGGACAACCTTGGGGAGGAGGCGATTATCGTGGACATCGAACTTTGATTTCCATGGTCGAATGGTTGTACTTTGTGGAAGAAAAGGTTATTGAATTGGAGGGTGGTAGCAAGGATGACCAAGTCTTGCAAATTGCCCATCAAGGTATGTCTAGTGCAGCCCTTGGGACCGACTACTTATTGCGATTGTTTCACAAAAGCGCCGTATCTCACAATTTACTTGTCCTCTTTGGTCAACAGCTGCTCATGAACGACTGCTGGGGGACAATGTTTCTGATGAAGAACGCCAATGGCACGAAAAGCTGCTAATGGATAGAAAGAAAATGCATACTAAGGATTGGCGGGAATCGGAGCACCCGGGATGCCAATTATCTGGTCACTTGTACGTGCCAATGTCGCGCCTTTGTTTGCTTACTTTGTGGATTTGCTCTATGCACGAGTGTGGTTTCTAACACGATAATTTGCTGCTTCTTTTCCGTTGCAATCATGATATCCCCCTTCATCCTACAGAATTCTCGACCGGGCACCTGGTAACTTTCACATTCAAGCACGTAGTCAGAATCAAGAGTTTGCCGCACACATGACAAATACAAGTCACATGATCAATTCGCTTTCCGTGGGAGATCCAGCTGCCAAGTCCTTGGTCGAAGCCGGACGAGCTCCCAAGACACTTCCAGCGGAAGCCGTGGAAAAATTAGCGCCCATGGATGGGAATATCTATCCAACCTACAGTCACCACGAGTCATATCACCATTATCTCAAGTTGGTGACAACCCAAGTGGAAGGCTTTACGATCGGCCGAAGGGACCTGCGAGTCTACCAGATTCTGGAAAATTCACAACTAGCACTTTACCGAAATGACATGATTCCCGAAGCCAAGTTTCAATACGACCTGAGTCCTATCGCTGTGACTTATCGAAGCGATAGCCGGCATTGGTACGAGTACTGCACCTCGATCATGGCCATTATTGGTGGTGTTTTCACTGTTGTTGGTATGTTCGAAGCCGGTATCAGTGCTACTGTCAAGCGTGCTCACCGAAACCAGCAACGACGGGGAATGCGTCATTAGGATTTACTAGGACTTTTACTATTGAATGTGCTGCCATCTTTTGACTTTACTCGATACTATTTAGATTGCATGCTCTGAATGAATCACATTTGTTCATCATAGTGGATGGCGCAATTGGTTCTTGGTATTATATAGAAATGCTTCCCTAATTTTACAGTTTCAAAAGTCTGATCCACGATTGATCAAACCACGACGAAATGTCGTTTTCATTTTCGTTTCCCAACACATTATCATGATTCCCTCACAATAATTTGGTCCGGCATACCACCCAGAGAACGATTACTGTTGTCCCGAGACAGTCGACCCAAAGAACTTCTGCTATTGCTGCGACTTCTAGCGTCACTCTTGACGTTTCTCTTGGCCTTGCGCGTGGTCTTGTCCCGACTCTTTCGGCCACGACTGCCGAGGGAACCTCTGCTGCCGAGGGAGGTAAGACTGCTATTCGAGCCCCTTCGTTCTAATCCACGTCTTCGTCGACTACCGCCAATTGCAACACCCGTAATACTGGGTGTAGGAGCAATACCAGTGAGTGCTGCATCTTTGCGGAGTTCTTCCAATGGGTTTTGTTGATCTTCAAATTGTTTGAGCAGTTCTCGTGTCTTGTTCGTGCGATCCATACTCGCAGTGAGTCTTCCAAAAGCGTCATTCAAAGACGACATGGATTTGTTTAAGGATTCCATGGTTTCCTTGCGTATTTGCTCTGTCTTTCTTTGTAACTCTTCGTCGTTTTCATACATGGCTCCATGGCCATGATCAAGCGACAATCCAGAAGCGACAGAACCATGAAAACCAGTGGAGTGGCTGTGGTTGTCGAAATCAGTCGAGTGGCTATGGTCGGGAGAGCGCAAGGCCATGTCCACAAGGTTCGCGTCGTCACCTGACAACTCCAAATCTTGAATGTCAAAAGCATCGAGAGGATCAATGGAACCGGCATCATCATGAAACCCTTCTCCCTGATGATTCGCAAGTACTTGAAAGTCCATCATTGGATCAAGGTCTAGTGGCTCTTCGCTGGGAATGACGACTTCAGGCTTATCCACCAAGGGCACAGAATGGTTGGAACCTGAATTCATGACCCCGCCAGTCTTCTTGGCCCTAAGGAAAGCCATGGTCGGAGATTCGTCTTCGGTCGCAACAAAAGCATCACCACTCGTAGCTTGCATAGGCTCCATACCAGGGTCCATGATGCTTTTGTAGGTTTGCTGTTGGAAGTTCATCACAGGAGCGATGGTTTTGTGCGGTTAATGGGTGGTGTAACTGCGCAGTCATTTTGGGTTGAAGCAACTTCAAGTTAAATTTCCCCTTTCGCTAAAGCAGCGGTACCGCGCTTATGGGACCTTTTTAAAAAAATAGCAGCACCTGCAGATAAAATAGGACCAATGCGATATCACCTTTTCAGTAGATTATCCGGTATCGGACAAACGTTTCCACATGCTCTCCCTTCACAACTCACAACATCCCGTTGTGCCCAAGATGTGGTTGCTTCAAACATTCCGATTGCAAGATCTTGATTAAACTGGGCTAGAAAGTCGCAGGACAAATCTTCAATTCAGAAACCAGAAGAGTAGACATGTATTCCGGTAGATTCCAACTGTATGATAACTAGTTTGCTCCCAGATGTTCCTGCAAGATGGGATTTCGAAATGGAAAAAAGCTACGTCAATCATCACGTAACGAGACCCAAACGCCGTCGTATAGTAGTTCGATCGTAGTCACCAAGTGCAGGTGCAGGGTCCCATATTCAAAATCGAGACCCACATGCCGTCTTGTAGTTCGATCGTTGCCACCAAGTGCAGATGCAGGGTCCCATATTCAAAATTGGCGGTGCCATGGATGATACCATTTTCGTTCCACAAGACAACGGCTAAGTTGTATTTTTCGGTTGGTTTAGTACGTGGCAATTAGCCCAATGATACTTGTCTACGTTATCCTCACCACCCCCACTAGTTTTCTTTAAACAGCCACTGAAGAAGATTTTCATACTCCTTTTTTGGTGAAGAAACTAGTAACTTTACTAACTTGGATACGCCTTAACCGTTTCCTGATCAGGCTGCACACCTCCGCGCAAAGAATTTTTGGATTTTTCATCTCAATCCGAAACACTCGGCTCCACAACGGTCGTAGCTGTAGTACTTTAGTTCCAGTAGGCCAAAAATTGAGTACCGCCAAAAAGCAAATCAACAACAAACATGCCTCCCACCATGGAAGACGAGTACACAGTCATATTGCAAGATCGCCACGACAATGAAGCTTCAGAGGACGAAGGCGATGAGAGTGAAGATGATTCTGTTGTAGCAACAGAAAACCCTCCCCATGTTGTTTCTCCTGCTCCAAAAGGCGCCAATTCTCCCAAGAAGCGACCACGATCTCCAGAAGATGACAACCCCACCATCTTCGTTGCGGAGCCACCAAAGAAGAAGGTCAACAGGAAGTATAGCATTGCTCATGAGTTCATCACAAATGGGAATTTTTATGTTATTCATATTGACGTAGAGCATGGAGGAGAAGGTTGCGGTATTGTCCAACTGTCGGCTGTCATCTATGATCCTGCTCAATGGAAGTGAAAGAAGTTTGACCGGGAGTCGTGTCCCTATTTCAACGAATACATCAAGCCGCCAGACGATGCCGTTTGGGATCCTATTGCATGTGGAGTTCATGGTCTAGGACCAACTGATAAGAGAATCAGGGAAGCTGACGACCTCATTACAGTTTGGCATAAATTTGAACAATTTGTCAACGAATACACAAATAACAAGAAAGGGATTCTATGTGCATGGAATGGGAAATCTTGTGATGTCAAATGGCTTTGGACAGTCACGGAGGAGACCCATGTAGAGCAATGTAACATGCCCAAGAACATAGATTACTTCCTAGACCCTGTAAAGCTGATCAAGCACTACAAGTCCTGTAGGCTCAATCAGAGCAAGTCAAAAGTAAATGGCTATGGACTTGCGGAAGTGTGGTGTTTTGTCACTGAAAAAACAAAGCTAGAAGGAGCACACAATTCTTTAGTAGATACCTTTGCCCAGTGTGAAATACTTCATGACGATCGGCTGCTCCCCTTCCTTGACAAACCTGCTGGCATTGAGTTGATGGAAGACATTCTGGAGCCAAAGCGCAAGGCCCGGCAGCTTCTGATGGATGAGACAAAACGAGACCTTCCAATAGGATGGGTAGACAGGTGTGATGAGTACTTTACTGTGAATGGGCAAAAGAGAACCTCAAGTGAAGTCCAGCAAATTGCACTGAATAGCTCTGCTGGCGGGGGCCGTCGTGGCCCCAACATGGGCATGTGGAATCTACTTCGCCAGGAGTCGCTAGTAGACCTATTTCTAAACTTTTTCAAAAAAACCTTTCTGCAAATTATTGCTAGAGAGACTAATAGATATGGCAACGAGGACTGGGTAAAGCTGACTAGTACTGGAGGGTACTTCAACTTTGCACAGGAAGGTGTTGTTGAGGACTTGGGTGACGAAGAGGAAGATACTGAGCCCAGATCCAAACCAAAGCGGGCCTTTGTCCCATGCAACAAGGACGACCCTGATAGAAGAAAGAGACACAGCGGCAGCAAATGGAAAGATGTTACACCGGGCCTCTTACTTATCTGCTTTGGTTCCACACCAGTGAAAGGTGCTACAAAGATTCGAAAGATCAATCTACTTTGGGGCGAGAAATGGCAGACGGGAATACCTTATGTGCAGAATTCATGTACTATGGCGGCATTTAATCAAGTCAGACGAAACCTTCATTTTGTGGAGACAAGCAAGCTGCCAAAGAAGGGTGATCGAAAGTGGAGCCCATTGCAGAAGATCCAACCTGTTCTAGACTACTTGCAGAAACAGTTATCTAGTTGTTATAATTTGGGCGATAGAATAAGCATTGATGAGTCTATGATCAAATACTGTGGGAAGTATATTTCTTGGATCCAGTATATGCCCAAGAAACCAATCAAGCACGGTATCAAGGTATATGCTTTGTGTTGCGCCTACACTGGCTATCTTTATTCATTTGAGATATACACTGGCAAAGAAGGAACTGAAAGCGGCACTCCAAGAGAGGTAATTGGTAGATTGTTGCGGATGGCTGGTATTCTGCCGTCTCCTGCTGGCGCCGCAAAGATGACTGGAACAGTGCTCTACACGGACAACTGGTATACCTCTTTGGATGTAATGCAATTTGTGTATGAGCAGTTTGGAATGTTGTTAGTTGGCACTATTTCCTTGACAGCAAAGAAATCAAGAACAGCAGATGATTACCCTTTCCACAAATACAAGAACACATTGCTGAGGAGAATTCCTCGCGGATGGACACGGCTGGCCTATCAAACTGTCAGGAAAACTGCAAAGACTGCCGCTACAACTGCCAAGGCCGCCGCTGGGAAAGTGCTTTATCTTGTTCAAGCAACCTTGTGGAAAGACAAGAAAATGGTAGGTTTTTTACACAACCACTTGGTCCAGTCTGAACAGGACCATCAGGTCAAGAGATGGGATAAGGAATCCAGGACAAAAAAAGAGATACCGGCACATCCAATCGTCACCGACTACAACAAGTATATGGGCGGAGTTGACGCCAAGGATAGGGATACGGCTGATTGGAGTGTATCGCTGAAGTCGAATCACTGGTATTACAGGATATTCTATTGGATCTTTGACAGTGTCATTCACGCGATGTGGGTGCTGGTGAAGACGAGGCTCGAGCGGATGACAAAGGAAGACTTGAATCGGAGCAAATGGAAGTCTTTTGCCAACAAAGATACAGGAAGATTTGAGTTCCAGATGACTCTTGGAATTCTCTTGATGAAGAGAGGACTTGAGTGGGATTGGAAGGGGGACTTTAAAGACCCAAAGGGCCGACCGGAGTATTGTCGCAAAACTCAATGGATTCCGTGCGAATGCCCAGAGAATGGAGTCCAGTGCTTCTTCTGCTACTATGGGCACACCAATGGCATTGAACACCAGAAGGCGGGAGTTCGGAAGCGGGAATACAAGAGAAATTTTGAAGTGAGGACGCATGTGTGTGACCGTGTAGACCTCGGGAGGAACCCGCAATACTGCAACCCCTGCTATCATAGCCTCAAGAAGAAGTATCTAGGCATGACTTCGAGAAAGAGGTATTTACATCCTGAATGTAAGAAGACGAGATTGGGGTGTCCTGGATGTAATCGTGGGAATGGTCAGCATGTCTGCAAGTCATGCTGGAAGACATACAAACACGACGATGAACGATGATGTTTTGGGTGATTATGAAAATGTCGGTCGCCTGAAGGGAGAAAAAAAAAAAAAAAATGGATTTCACGTAGAGTCAGTACAAATGCTACGTAGAATCAATACAAAATCGCAAATGTATTGATTTGTATTGTCTGATCAGGAAACGGTTAAGGAACCGCCATGTGGGCCGAGACATTCTCCGACATCGAACAAGGTGACGTGAGCTGCCGTGTAACAGCACACACGACTAACAATACAACATTAAATACCGCGTTAAGGTCGTGGTAACAATCCTTTTACTAAGGTAATGTACGCATCTTCTGTGGGATACGTCATTCTGATCAGAGACTCTTCCAGAGAAAAAGAAAGTAGAGTAGGTCGC